CTGGTCACCCCAACATAAAGGGGCTGTCCAGAACCTTAAGGAGGTGCAGAGGAGCGCAACAAGGATGATCCCAATGTTAAAGGAATGAGCTATGAACAAAGATTAGATAAGATAGATTATTATATTATTATTATAAGCTCAGGCTCTTTAGTCTTGAGAACTGATAACTCAGAGTGGGACCTCAGAGAGATGTACAAAATTTTAAATGGGATTGAAAAAGTAAATCCAGATCAGTAATTTAGGTTATATGATGACAGTAGACCCAGAGAATATAGGTTTCGATTTGTAAAGTGCAACTTCAAGACAGATACCAGGATGGTTTTCTTTTGGACAGGTTGCTATGAAAGATTGTAGAGTCAGAGATTCACCTACCACCATGCCCCACTCCCCAACTGCCGTGGCGGCAGGGTGGCCCTCATCTCCAGGGCGTCACTTGCCCTATCTCCTTACTCCACTGGCTCATTCCCCTCTTTTGAACACCTTACCCTCTGCCATCCCTCCCACCTCTCTCTAAAAGTCCTCCTAATTTAATGCCCCCCCCAAAATCCTCCCCCACCTTCATCTCTGACATCTCCACCCTCCTAGCTTCCCTCTGCCTCTGCTCTGACCGCCTCATCATCCTGGGCGACTTCAACCTCCACTTCACCCCCTCCTGCTCTACCTCCTCAGACTTCTCCACTCTCCTTTCTCAACCTCTCCCTCCACATCCACTCTGCTGCCCACAGCCATGGTCACCCGCTCGACCTGGTGATCACCCGGGGCCTCAGCGTCTCGGATGTCACCATCACTGACAAGGCCACCTCTGGCCCACCTCTCGCACCAACCCATTCACTGTACTTACTCTTCTTCACAGCACTCTCTCCACCACACTCAACACCCTTGCCCCCCTCTCCTCCTGAACTGCCTTTTATTCCTAATCCTCACTCTGGTTCACCAGCCGCCTCCGCTCGCCGAACGCACTTGGCTCAAATCCAGCCTAACAATCCACATCTGGCTGGACCTCATCAACACCTACCGCTCCGCTCTCGCCTCAGCCAAAATGTCCTTCTATTCCAGGTTAATCCTGGATGCGAAGGGCAATCCCAGGCTCCTGTTCTCCACCACTAACCGGCTCCTCCACCCTCCCCGCCACACTTCGCAGATACTTTCCTCTGACTCCCACTGCAAGAAAATGCTGGACTTCCTCAAGTCCAAAATTAAGGGAATTCGCTCAGCTGCCACTGCCCTCCCAACTTCCAACCCCTCCCTACCCCCTGCCCACACTCCAACAATTACCCATCCCTCCTTCCACACCTTTGAACCTGTCAATCCCTCCTCTGTCTTCACCCTCATATCCTCCATGAAGCACACCACCTGCTCCCTGGACCACGTCCCCACCCCTCTCCTTAAATCCCAGCTCCACCTCCTTGCCCCACTACTTGCCGATATCATCAAACTCTCCCTGTCATTTGGCACTGTTCCTTCCCCCCTCAAAACAGCCACTATCACCCTCACCTTGAAGAAACCTTCCCTTGACCCATCACAGCTATCCAGTTACCGGCCCATCTCAAACCTCCCTTTCCTATCCAAGGTCCTTGAGAGAGCCATTGCCTCCCAGTCTTGCTCTCTCCTCCCACTCCCTCCATGAATCCCTCCATTCCGGCTTCCGTGCTACCAACAGCACGGAAACTGCTCTGGTCAAGGTCACAAACGACATCTTGACCATGTGCAACCAGGGCTCCCTCTGCCTCCTTGTCCTCCTCGACCTCTCCACTGCCTTTGACACTGTGGACAATTCAATCCTCCTCCACCACCTCTCCTCCCACCTCAACCTTCAAGGTTCTGTCCTTAACTGGTTCAGGTCCTACCTTTCACACCGCCTCCACTTTGTCTCAACAAACAGCTTCTCTTCCAGCACCCGCACCGTCTTGTGCGGTGTTCCTCAGGGCTCTGTTCTCGGTTCCCTCCTCTTCACCCTCTACATGCTCCCCTTTGGTGACATCATCCGCAGACATGGGATAAATTTACACATGTATGTGGATGACACCCAACTCTATCTCTTTGCCTCCACCCTCAACTGCAGGAATACTGGCATCCTGACTAACTGCCTGTCCGACATCAAGTCCTAGACGAGGGGCAACTTTCTCCAACTCAACGTCAGCAAGACCGAGGCCCTCCTGATTTGCTCGCACCAGTGCCTCCGCACCTCGGGCGCTGGCAGCATCAGCGTCCTGATGCTGCGCATAGCACGGAAACAGCCCTGGTCAAAGTCACTTATGACATTCTGAACATCTGTGATCAGGACTCCCTCTGCCTCCTTGTCCTCCTCGACCTCTCTGCCGCCATCGACACTGTCGACCATTCCATCCTCATACACCGCCTCTCCTCTTTACTTAATCTTCACGGACCTGCCCTTGCCTGGATCGAATCCTATCTCTCTCACCGTCTCCACTTTGTTGCCTCTAACGGTTTCTCCTGCAGCCCCCGCACTGTCACGTCTGGCGTCCCCCAGGGCTCTGTCCTTGGCCCTCTCCTCTTTAATATCTACATGCTCCCCCTTGGTGACATCATCCGCAGACGTGGGGTCAACTTCCATATGTATGCGGATGACACCCAACTCTACCTTTCTGCCTCCACCCTCAACTCCAGGATCACTGCTGTCTTGACAGACTGCCTGTCGGACATCAGGTCCTGGATGTGGGGAAATTTCCTACAGTTGAATGTGAACAAGACTGAGGCCCTCCTGATTGGCTCACGCCAGTGCTTCTGTACCTCAGGCTCTGGCAGCATCAACCTCCATGGTTGCTCACTACAACTGACCAACCCAGTCAGGAACCTGGGTGTCTTGTTCAACCCTCAACTGTCTTCTTCCCCACATCCAAGCCATGACCCGCTCTGCCTTCCCTCACCTCCGTAACATCGCCCGACTCCGCCACTACCTCACCCCTCAGGCCGTTGAAACTCTTGTTCATGCCTTCATCACCTCCAAGCTCGACTATGAAAACGCCCTGCTTGTCGGCCTTCCCAACTCCTCCCTCCACAGGCTGCAGATATTCCAGAACTCTGCAGCACGTGTCCTCTCCCACACCAAACTCCGTGACCCCATCTCCCCCATTCTCGCCCGACTCTATTGACTCCCTATCCTTCAGAGGATTCAGTTCAAGATCCTGGTCCTCACTTACAAAGCCCTCCATGGACTCACCCCACCCTATTTCTGCAATCTCCTAACCCCCTACCAACCCGCCCCCTCCCTCCACTCTGCCGGCTCTGGCCTGCTCCACGTCCCCCAACCCACCATTAGCGGGAGAGCCTTCAGCCTCTCTGCCCCCAACCTCTGGAATTCCATCCCCCAATCCCTTCGACTCGCTTCCTCCCTTGCCTCCTTCAAGGCCGGTCTCAAGACCCTTCTCTTCAATCGTGCCTTTGGTCGTCCTCCCACCTCTCTGCCTTCCCTCACCCCTACTCCACCCCTCCCCCATGCTCGGGTTCCGACCCCTGAATGTTCAGCGCTTTGGGACGTCCTCCCGACGTGAAAGGCGCTATATAAATGTAATTTGTTGTTGTTGTTGTGGAGGACAGAACACTGGATTCATTTAAAAAGCAGTTTGATGCAGTGATTGGTGCACAGTCGGGTGGTTGTTCTGGAGCGAAGAGATTGGATGGGACGAAGGGCCTTATGTGTTCTGTGAAGCGCTTTGGGACGTCCTCCCGACGTGAAAAGCGCTATATCAAATGCAAGGATTATTATTATTATTATTCTTATGCGTCTGTTTACCTTGATCCAAAACACTGATTGTCCAGCGCCTTGGGTGTCCTCCTGACGTGAAAGGCGCTCAACAAATGTAATTTTGTCATTGTTGATATTGTTTAGAAGGCAGTTAGCTGTAGTATGCATGTCATTAAAAATATAGAGGCCTGAAATTCCACCTCGCCTTAGCAAGTAAGACTGTTTTGTTTCAATGTGCTTAAAATATATATATATTGTATATCTCATAATATAGGGATTATTTTATAACTGATATACGCAATGTTCTTCATCAGCATATTTGTAAGTTAACTTATGTGTTCATTTATCTCACTAATTTATAAATGCTTAACACATTGTCCTAATTTTGAGGGGGTGGTGGGGGCTGGGGAGTATGTGGGATCTCCTTGGATTTAAGTTGGCCTGAAGCTTGGCAACGGATGTCAGAATTGAGACAGTCCTCTGTGGTAGTCTCTGTAGTTTGGTTCCTGAAACAGGTGGATCCATAATACTCCAGGATACTGCTGATTGCCTGGCTCGGCAACAGGACTTAGAGGGGTGGGTCAATCACTGGGGGCAGGGACTCTTCCCATTCAGCACCCTATTAAACCTGGAAGGCAAAGCTCTTATGGGGAGGGTGGTCCTAGTTGGACAAAGCAGCGGGAGCAGACAGTGATTTCAATGGAAAGCTGATTAAACCAGCAGTACCCCATTAGACAGTCTGTGGTCCCAAAATATTGGCTCTTGCCATCCTGTGCCTTATAGTCTCCAGAATTATGTAAGCCGGTTACCCTCCACCTCTCCCTCCATCTTTCCCACCACCACAGGCTGACCGTGTGTATTCTATTCCAGGAAGATTTCTGTGGGTATATATGTATGTAGAACTCTCACCCTGGTGTTTAGTTACTTTTGAGCATGGTGATGGGTTTCCATTCGTGTCAGACAAAGTGCTTAACTGTGAAGACTTTTGTTCTCCTTATTCCCCACGCCTTCATCTCATTTAAGTTTATTTTGTCTGTTAGTGTAAAAGACATTTTCAGTAAATATTTACAAATTTTGTTGACAACATTTTGAATATTTTGCAGATTATGTTGTTCAAGTATGTGACATTCATGTGTTTTGTTTATAGGCACTTGAAGAATATGAAACTCATAATGATTGGTTTCATGTGGAAAGAAAAGGCTGTTTTTTTGTTGTGGTGTTAATGAAGTTAAGAGCAATACATCTGCAAATCTTCTTGCATTTGTGTTGATTGTGATCTTCTGTTCTTTCTTAGCGCCACTGCATTTGTCATCAGTTGTGGAGGTACAGGGGCAATTCCTGAACCCAGAAAAGGCAGATATCCTCTCTGGCCTGAATGGAGTGAGGCAGATATAAATTCTGAAAGATGGGATGCGGGTAAAGGAAAAGAAAAGGATAAAAGTGCCAAGAGCCCTAGTCTAGTAAGTCAAATGTATTCCATCTGAAATTTATTGCATTTATTTCTCCAATTGTTTTTCAAATCATACAACTATGTCAGCTCACTACTATTGATGTAGGAAATTTCTTATGCTCTCACCCCACTTCTGCCTTTAGAGCAGGCATAAGCCCAGATAGTGAAATCCTTTGTGTTTGTACCGTTCACCATGTCAACCTCAAGGAGACCCCTCCCAGTCACTTGTGAAGCACTTAGTCACTAGTTGGTCATTAAATATTTTACATCAACGCAGGTTTGAGCTCTCACTAAGTGGATAACAGATACCAGGAACTCCCTCAAACCATTCTTATGAGCTGTACACCTCAGCATGAAATGCTCCTGCCCGCATCTCCGACACACATCCCTACTCATCATGTGATGGTTCCACTGGTTAAAGGTCCAGAGCTTGAGCAACAGCTGCATATCGATCAAGGTGGATACCAAGTCCTGGATATATGAGCATGTGTTCAACTGGAAATCCAGGAAACATCTTTCAGAAACTGCTGTCCCAAGCCTCAGTTTCCTTATCTTCTATCTGACTTCAGTATGGTGGGAAGACCAATCCAGGACAACTTGTGGTGTTCTGGAGGTTTATCCTTTTGGAGATAAGTGATTTCAAAGAATGTTAACAGTTGATATGGTTTTCAGTTGAAAAATTCTCTTGCAGCTCTGTCGGCTTCTAGAATGAATTGCAAGCTTGTTTATCAAGATGGTATTTTGGTCTCCAGCCTTTGTTGGCTTTTGGAAATCATAATTTACATTTTATTAAATACAGTAAAGCTCACATTAGTCTTATCTTTACAATTCATGTAACCGCCAAGTCATACATGTCCCCGGGTCCCAGTTAGTTTTCTATCAAAACCACTTAGGTTTTTTGCGTTACTCATATTTTATCAAATCATCTCCTAACTCGCAGTACTCTCTCCTATCCATTAATCCTGCCTTTACCGGCTGCATTGAATTTTGAAATTAAGTCCTGATCTCTCAACACATGCGCACTTACCAGCCGGCCGCAGTAAATCGCGAGAAACATTGTCTTGATCAGTCGCGCATGGGCAGAAGAACTTCATTTCCCATGATTCAATGTGATTCCAATGCTTGACGGTAAGTGCGCATGTGACAACGTGCCAAGGCGCATTGAATGACGAGAAACATAGTCTTGACTCATCACCGAATGCGCACTTATTGGGTCCTGTGACGAAGTGCCACATGTGTACTTACCGGCTGCATTGAATTATAGAGTAGAAGTGTAGATTATTGATTGAATCTGATTTTATACAATTTGTACAAGTTTATCTGTAACTCAGACTTTGCACAAGTCATTTTAAATGTTATGGTCCCGACTCATACGACTTGTGAGAGCTTTACTGCAATGCACATTAGACAGCGAAACAGAATTTGCCATTAGAGTTTAACATGTATCAGAAATTAAACCCCATGAAGTATGACAAGCCACTGAAGGCCATTAGTTTTGTTTCCCAGTTTGCTGATAGTTCCATTTATCTTAAAAGCAATTGAACAGAAAGTCTGATTGTATATTTTACTATTTTTTTTAACACAGTAAGTAAGCAGTGGCATGAAATAAATGTAGCTGAGATTGCTCTGATATGAAGAATAGTTAAATGCTTAGAAATATTCAGAGGAGTCAATTCATAGAAATTTTATGCAATGAAACAAGTGAGTTTATCACTGGAGTATAGTTGTCCTGATTAATAATGTTTACTTGTTGATCATTTATTGTATTTGTTGTTTTGTGACATTAATTTTTGCAATACATTAATTACCTTTGTCTTCTGTACAAGCATCTCTTCGATGACCCAGAAGGGAAGATTGAAATGCCACTATCTTTAATGGTTCACACATGGAAACGTCCTCATGAATTTATTTCAGACCGGGTCAGTCTACCGTAAACTATGTATACTATGAAAGGTGCTGCTAAGTGCAAAATGTTATTGTTTGGGTCTGTGAAGGAAAGAGTATTTATTAAAATGTAAGCCTATTTGGTATTATCTTAAATCATTAATTTGTATTAATAACATTATTATCACATGAATTTCAGATGCCGGTTGTAGTTGAAAACGAGCTTTGGTTTGATTTGATGCCTGATAGCCAACGTGCAGTGGACAGTGAGGTGAGTCAATATTATAGGCACCGACAGCATGGAATATAAAGTTCACATTTTGTACTGAGCTTGGTTCTTTTTAAGCATTGCAATTAAAGATTGTAAACTGACTGCAAGCAAGGATTTACAAATGATCTTAAAATTATCTCTGATCCTTGAACTTCTAGGATAGTGATGTTCAACTTGTCAGTAAAGTTACTGGCCTTGCTGGTGTGTGCTTATAATGGGGAAATCCCCCAATAAAATTGGTCAGTCATTTCATGTTTGTTTGTGGATCATTGATTGCTGTGTGCAATTTGAAAGCCACATTCACCAACAAAACACACACATTCACATCACTTCTGTGAAGTGCTTTGGGACATCTTCCTGACACAAACGATGTGATACAAAATGTAATTATTATTTTTAAACGTTATTATTAATAAAATCTGGAGATTAGATGCCACAAGGTGAAAACATTACCATTCAGGTGTTGATTGAGGTCAAGCGTATAATGGATGAACCTTTGCTTCAAAGAGCCACTGGGGACAGGTTTAGGAAATTTCCACAAAATTAAAGAATTAGCAAATATTTGAAATGTGTATATAATAACAATCCTTGTATTTGATACATTGCCTTATCATGTCATTGAGATGTCTCAAAGCACTTTACAGGATATTTACAGTGAAGTGTAGGGACTGTATTTGTAGGTGAACCTAGTACCCAATATGTGCATAGCAATGTTCCACAGGGTGATCAATTTTATTTCAGGATTGTTGTCTCCCTGATACAGGGAGAAACATATCTTTTTTCTCTTGAGTGGTGCAATGCAATCTATATATAGGGGGACAATACAGGAGAGTAGGACTCTTTCAGAAAGCCAACATAAGCACAATGGGCTGAAGCGCTTCCTTCTGTATTGTGAAATTCCATGACCCAAAAAAGCTTCTTCAACCCTGCAACTCCTGTGATCTCATGATGCTACTGCTTTGCCTTGAATATGAAGTATAAAGGAATAGTAAAATCACCCCTTTAGAGATTTAAGCTACTTTATCTTATTTGATTTGAAGTAACATTTACTTTATAAATCAAATAAATAGCAGAAGTGGTATAAAGTAATTGTCAGATTTTATCAAAATTATTGTTGAAATATAATAATTAATTATATTTTGTTACTAGTTGATGCGATGGATTATTGCTGACATCACTTCACTTTGGAAGATCAGCAACAATTCTTTACCTGAAAAAAACATCACATCTGATTCATCATTGTCATGGAAGCCATGGGAACACATATATTCTCTTTGTAAGGCTGCGAAAGGACATATGCCTCAGTACAACAACTACGGCAAATATGTAGTAAAGCTTTTCTGGATGGTAAGAACTCAGTTAAAATTGTTGATGGATTTGAAACTACGTTAAATTTGAAATTTTAACAATCTCTTGAGCGGAGTAGAGAGGAAATGAGGAAGAACCCATGCCATCAAAGAGAATTATAATTACTTCCACCAAGAAGCACACCCTGTACTGCACTCTGTGTGGTATTTTCATTTCCCTCATCAGCAGTCCTTATGGTGCACAAATTTAGCGTTATTGCCAATAACTCTGCTTCAGGCTGCCGAAACCCTCACCCACGCATTCGTCACATCAAGGCTTGATTACGGGAACTCCCTCCTCATCAGCCTTCCCAACTCTTGCCTTCACAGGCTGCAGATCATCCCAAACTCTGCAGCTCGTGTACTCTCACGCATCAGGCTCCATCACTCCCACCCTCGCCCGACTCCACTGGCTCCCCATCCTCCAGACGATCGAGTTCAAGATCCTCATTCTCACTTTCAAGGCCATCCATGGCTTTGCCCCCTCCTACCTCTCTGACCTGCTGACTCCCTATCAACCTGCCCGCTCCCTCCGTTCAGCTGGCTCCAGTCTGCTCCATGTCTCCCACCCGACCTGTCCTACCATCGGTGGCTGGGCTTTCAGCCTCTCTGCCCCCACACTCTGGAACTCCATAGCACGGTCCCTTCGCCTCACTTCCTCCCTTGCCTCCTTCAAGCCAGTCACAAGACCCTTCTCTTCGATCGTGCCATTGGTCGCCCTCCCTCACCCTACACCACCCCACCCCATGCTCGGGTCCTGACACTTGACTGTTCAGCACTTTGGGATGTCCTCTCAACGTGAAAGGTGCTCTATAAATTTTGTTGTTGTTGATAAGTTGGGGACTATTCAAGACTTTTCTGAAATAGATTAGACTACATCTGATTTATATTCATGACCAAGTTTTGAATTTTTTTCACAGTACCATATATTTGGAATATTTTGCTGTAAAAATAGGCAAGAATACTGATACCAATTGTAATAATAATCCTTGCATTTGATTAGCAGCACCTTATCACCTCATTAGACGTCTCAAAGAGCTTCACAGAATTTACTGTAAGTTGAGGAGATGATCGATAAATAAAGATCACGGAAACACAGAATGGTGCCTTTCGGTCCATCATGTCGGTGCATTGCTGCCTATAAAACACCAGAGCTGGAAATAAGGCAGTTAAAAACTGGACATTTCTTAAAGTAAATAACATGGTTAATGATATTTAACTAAACAACTTCAAGATCCTCACATTCGTGTTTAATTCTCTTCACTCTCTGGCACCTCCCTACCTCTCTGACCTTCTCACTCCCCAATCCACCACACGGCACCTCCACTCGACTGCCACCAGCCTCATGCTCGTCCCTCGCACCCTCTGCCCCAACATCGGAGGGCATGCTTCCAACCACTACAACCCAAAATTCTGGAACACTCCCTCAATCCCTCCATCTTTCCCCATTTCTCCCCTTTTTCAAGTCCTGTTTGCAAACCTTCCTCTTCGACCGTGCTTACGGTCACATCCCCCCTGCCTCAGACTCAAGCTCCACTACTGTTAAGCGCTCTGAGACTCTACCCCGCGTGGAGGGCGCTACACAAGTGTGTGGTTGTTGTAAACCCAAATCATTACTTTGAAAAAGCAATACGAGAGAACATAAGTGGATATTATTGAAAATAACATTTGGAAGATATTAGAACAGATATTCTCAACTCAACCCATAAATATTTCTGGATTACAACAACAACAACAACAAGATTCCATTTATAAAGCGCCTTTCACGTCAGGAGGACGTCCCAAGGCGCTGCACAGTTGGGTCATGACCCGAGCAGGGGGGAAATGGTCAGGGTGAGGGGAGGGAAGGGATTAATATACAAAGCAAATACAAGTAATCAACAATGACACTAAGGTTATTCAAAGTACAATTAAATGTTGCGATGGGACACTTAATTATTAAAAATGTATGTGAATATAACAGCATTAATTAGATGACTAATGCATAAATGCATTTAAAACTGAAGGTATATTTTTAAATCACTGAATTTCAACAGCTAAGCCACTTTTTGGATGCAACAACATGTTTGTGATATAAATTTCAGCTTCTTTGCTCTTTTTGATAAATGCAACATTCAGCTAGGTGTTTGGCTGTGTCAATTCTCACCCATCAGCCTCATCAAGAATCAAATAAACAAAACAGCATGAGCTGTGATTATGGAAACTGGGTGTTGCAGCTTTGCCTGCTATCTTCTGCTTTCTGCTTGACCTATTAACGTGTTTTATGCTGCTTGACCTACTATTATTATTATTGCCGACTGGTTGAAAACTTCTATTTGGAAGTGATCCCAGAATGACACTCAACATCCCAGAATTCAAGACACCAAATGATATCACAAATGATCAAAATAAAATGGTAACAGCACGAAACCAGACAAGATCAATGATTGCTCTAAGTAATGTGCGAATACAGTTACAGTAATCTGCCCAAGATATACATTTCAACCCCAAATATACAGTCAATTCACTTTACAGCATATTCTATGAAGCTTTGAGACATCTAGAAGACATGAAAAGCACTATATCACATGCAAGGATTGTTATTATATAGGTAAATCCCTCTTTTTATCATAGAAGTGCTCTGAATTTCCACTCATTGGGTTCTAATTTGCAGTGTTTCTTAACAGACCTCAATAAGAAATGTGTAGTTGTTGAATTTCTAAAATGGAGAAAGTGCTGGTAATTCTATAATGCATACTTCAGCACATTTGATGTTTTAGAAATCTGATAATTACACATTCATTTTTATTAAGAATTCTGTTAAGACCCCACTGTCAAAGATTAATAAGGTATGAGCAGACATGATACAGAGTGTATTTTACAGTATAGGAACTTGTTTTTTCAGATGCCAATAAGTTTTGACTTAATCAACTGGCAGTAAGTAATATGATACAACACTTTAAAGGGAAAATAGCAAGCTGTGATATCATTATCACTGCTAATTCAATTTATGTTTATGTAAAAGTACCTTTTCACATCAGCAAGACATCTCAAATTCTTCACACAGCTGACTGTGAACCTGAGTTGGAGTGGAATTGAGGAGAGGGGAGTAAAGTGACCAAAAGCACTATTGAGAAAATGGATGTTAAAATGGCCTTTAAAAGTGGAAAAGGAGGATAAGAGATGAAGGCTTCAGGATAGATTTTCAGAGAATGGGTCAGAATCCCTCTGCCATTCCCCCGCTCCCCTCCTCCCCTGTGCTGTCTCCCGTAGCCCGCAGGCTGATGCTGCCCCGCTGATTGCTCACTTCCGGTCTCTGCGTGCGCGTTTTAGCTGCTGTCCCGACCCGAGCCACCCCCCGTTGAAAATGTTCCTGCTCCCAACCCCCATATTCCGCTACTCCCACTCTGTCCCTCTCTCCCACTGCCCTCCCTGCCTTCTCTCTTTCCTGGACCCCACCATTACTTTCCTTTGCTCTATCCTGGGCATCCTCCGCCAGGCCCATTGTGGCTCCCAGCGTTGGTTATCCCAGAGCAGCCAGTCCAACTGTCCCATCGCTCACTCTCTTCGCAGCAACCACCTCCAAAAGGCAAACACCCCTTCCCCCTCCCTCATCCATACCCACCCCAACACTGTCTGCTCCTCAAATTCCATGGTGACTTCTCCTCCACAACCTCAAATCCTCTTTGTACCACCCTCCCCATCACCATCCCCCACCAGCAAACCTATCCGCATTTCCCTCCAAAATGTCCGCTCCCTCTCCAACAAAGCTCTGACTGTCCATGACGTCATCCAGGATGAGCACATTGATATTGTTAGGCTTACAGAAACCTGGCTCTCCCCAGTGACCCCGTCACAATTCACCGCCAGCTGTGGTTCGAGCACCTCCACACCTACAGCCTCTCCCTTTCACAGGCCAAAACTGAGTTTTACTCCAAAGTTATCCTGGAGACAAATAACAATCCAAAGATGCTGTTTTCCATTGTCCATCACCTCCTCCGTGCATCCCCCTCAAGCCCCCTCTATCCTCACATCAAACGGTAAGTGCGAAGAGGTCCGAGACTTCATTGTCTCAAAAATTTAAAACATCTGCTTGGCTGCATCATCCTTCCCACCCCATGTCCCCTTCCACCCCACCTAGATCATCCACACCGCCTTCTCATTCCACCACGGTCCCTGCCAAACCCCATTTCTTACACTCCTTTGCCCCCATTTCTCTCTCCCTCTCAATCACAATCACCCACATGAAGTTGACTACCTGCTACCTTGATCCCCTCCTGATCTAGCTGCTGGTCACTCAACTCCCCCTTCTCTCCCCACTGCTGGCCAGCACGGTCAACCAGTCCCTCCTCAGGCTCTGTTCCACTCCCCCTGAAAATCACTGTCATCACACCCCTCCTCAAAAAACCCACCCTCAATTGCTCTAATCTTGCACACTACCGTCCCATTTCCAACCTACCCTTCGTAGCCAAAGTCCTGGAACGCAATATTACAGGTCAGCTTCAGTTATACCTCTCCCCCACTCCCTCCTCGAGCCCCTGCAGTTTGATTTTCGCCCTGACCACAGCACAGAGACAGCACTTGTCAAAGTCACAAAGGACATTCTCGATCTGTGACCAGGGCTCCCTCTGCCTCCTCATCCTCCTGGATCTCTGTCGTGTTCGACACAGTCGACCATGCCATCCTCCTCCATTGGCTCTCCTCCCTTATCTACCTTAGTGGGACAGCACTCGCATAGTTTGAGTACTACTTAACCAATCGCCTCCATTTTATCTCAGCAAATGGTTTCTCCACCTGCCCCCGCCCGGTCAACTATGGGGTACCCTAGGGCTCCATCTATGGCCCTCTTCTTTTCGTTATCTATATCCTCCCTCGGGCAATGTCATCTGCAGACATGGAATAAACTTCCACATGTATGTGGATGACACACAAATCTACTTTGCCTCCTCCAGCACCAACTCCAGGTCCGTTAATGTTCTATCAGCTTGTCTGGCAGACATCAAGGCCTGGATGAATGTAAACTTCCTGCAGCTGAATATGGACAAAACAGAAGTCATATTCTTTGGCTCCAGTCAACATCTTCACTCCCGCGGATCTAAACTTCTCCCTGGGCTCTCCCTCCGACTCACCGAACCAGTGCGCAACCTAGGCATCCAGTTCGACCCCATCTGTCCTTCCTCCCCCACATCAGGTCCCTGACCAGGATCGCTTTCTTCCACCTCCGCCACATTGCCCGCCTCCGACCATACCTTACTCCAAATGCAGCCGAAACCCTCGTTCATGCTTGGATTACTCCAACGCACTTCTTGCTGGTCTCCCCAGATCCACCATTCACAAGACCCAGCTCATTCAAATCTCTGCTGTCCGCATACTGACCCGGACCAAACTCCATACCCACATCTCACTAGTTCTGGCCAGGCTCCACTGGCTCCCCATCACCAAACGGATCGACTTCAGGATCCTCACACTCGTGTTCAAATCCATTCACTCCCTGGATCCTCCCTACCTCTCCGATCTCCTCACTCCCGACTCCACCATCCGGCGCCTCCACTCGATGGTACTGGCCTCTTGCTCACCCCTTGCACCCTCTGCCCCACCATCAATGGTCGTGCTTTCAGCCACTATACCCCAAAACTCTGGAACACTCTCCCTCAATCTCTCTGCCTTGCCCCCTCTCTCCCCTCGTTCAAGTTCCACCTGAAAACTTTCTTGTTCGACTGTGCTTACTGCCACCTTCTCCCTCCCCGAAGCTCGGAGTTAGGCTCCGCCAGTGTTAAGCGCTCTGAGATGCTACCCTGCATTGAAATCGCTATATAAGCGCAAGTTGTTGTTGAGAAAGGCAAATGAAGTTCAATAATTATTGATAAGAAGATATGACCAATCCCTTTGAAGTTGCCACAGTATTTGTATCTGAAGGCAATGTCGAACCACCCTTGAAACTGTCGGCCAGCAAATTCGACTGTCAATTTGTGTTATAAGACTTAATTCATCAAACGAAAATCTGAGTTAAGATGCTGTCCTACAAACAGATACTTCAGTGTAGGTCAATGACAGCCACAGGTGAGCATCAGAGCAAAGCATTATGAGAAAATTGGAGGGAGGAAGTCTGTCACACCACATCATTGAGAATAATCACATTACACCTCGCAATTTTCATCCTTGATGATGAAAGGTGGTCAATTATGTTGGAACACCAATGCACAGTGGTATGACAATTGGACACTTGGCTTTTACCCCAAGCTGATGAGTTTTCATTTGCAACTGTGCTGCTGTTGGGAGACATCTTGAGTGGATCCCAGGTCCTTTTCCCAGAGGTTGGCAAAATGGGAGGCAGAGTCATTTCTAGGTTGCTCAAACACAATCGGATGCCCAGCCCCAAGCAACAATGACAGAGTTCAGAGACCGGTTTGTCTGGCTGCCCTCATGATTGTAGATAGCGTGTAACATTAGGATTGGTACCCTCACACAAATAGAAATAGAATGTGCTGAACATAAAATGCAAACTTTTCACAGAGAATGGTTACTAATAATTTGCAGTACCTGTTGGAGTAAATATGAAAAAAAATTTCTAAATTGTAATCACTTTCATCAGTCAGCTCCATTCATCTGCACTCAGGAGCTTTCTGCATTTGCCTTAAAAATGGCTTATTTATCTGTTTACTAATCTCCCGCTGATTATCTGTCTGCTTGACTCTTCTCAGGGCTGTTGGCGTAAGATCATAGTGGATGACACTATGCCATTTGATCAAGATGACAACCTGCTACTTCCAGCTACAACAATAACATCAGAGCTCTGGCCAATGTTGTTATCAAAGGCTCTTGTAAAGATTGCAAGTATTGAGTATGTTAAATTCATCTTTTAAAAAATTGTAGACTGAGATCAAGTCCAGAATTTTATCCTGCAGAAATGTGTGCAGTGGTTGTAATCCTTGGATTTGATATCAACAACAACAACAAAATTATATGTGCATAGCACCTTTTATATCAAGAGGACGTCCCAGGGTGCTGAACAGTCAGTGTTTCGGACCCAAGCTGGGGATCTGGATGGGGAAGGGTGGAGGGCAGTGGGGAAAGGAGGGTAATTGAAAGCACGATTGAAGAGGAGGGTCTTGAGATGGGTCTTGAAGGAGGCAAGGGAGGGGGCGAGGCGGACAGACTGCGGGATGACTTCCTTGAGCATATTCAGGACTGAGATTGATAGATTTCTTGTGGATAAAGGGATTAAGGGGTATGGGGATAAGGCGGGTAGGTGGAGTTAGAATAGATCAGCTATGAGTGGAATTGGGCAAGGATGGGGGTGATAGGGTCACAGAGCCTGGTGCGGGAGAGGACAGAGGCTGCAGAGTTCTGGATAATCAGCAGCTTATGGAGGGATGCCTTATTTCTTATTCTGTTAAAGCCTTTTTCTGTTAAAGCTATCTGGGAAGCTATATAAGTGCATGTTGTTCTGTTATTGGAGTGTTAAAAGTATTTCACAGGATTTCACTGTAAAGTATAGTAAATGTCTATTTATAGGTAAACACGGCAGCCAATTTGTGTATCCCCAATCCCACAAACAACATGAAGTGAATGACAAATTTTATCTGGAGGATTGTTGTACAGGACATCAGGAGAAACACCCTTCTCTTTTCAAGCAGAGCTATGAGATCTTTAGTGTTCGCTTTAGCAGTCAGACGGCGTCTCATCTTAGCATCTCATCTGAGGGATTACACCTCCAACATTGCAGCATTGAATTAGATTGTCAGCCTAGACTATGAGCTGGAAGTCCTGAAATGGGACTTGGTTAAATAATAATCAGAAAATTGTTGTTCCTTCTCTTTATCTGAAGTCGATTCTCGATGCACTTGTCATCTTTTGTTCACATTATGATAGTGCCTTTGTTTTCTGGAAATATTTTTTGTTGGTTTTATATTAAAACTAACTGATGTTTTTGTTGCAAGTTTCTGAAGGAACACACAATGTATCTGTTTGGGAAGGCTTAAAACTTTAAGCATTTCTGATTTATAATTCATGTACAATTCAGACTGAAGTCGGAAAAATAGAGAAATTGAGAAAATAAATTATCGCAATTAATATTTCAATTATTGGATTTTTTGTTTTGAGCAGGAACAAGCTTATTGCCTCAGATTTTGATGATATAAGCTCATATAATAAGTCGGTATGGTGCTTCTTGAAGAACAATGAGTATTCCTATGTTTGTTTTATAGCATGAATGCAAATGGAAATAAAGAATTGGGGGACTTCACAGTTATTCATGCTCTTGCTGGTTGGAATCCTGAAATCATTCCTATCAAGTAAGTGCTTCTAAATAACAGTGGCTTGTGTAATGTATTCTGTTCTCACCAAAGGTAAAACCTCCAGTGTGTTAATCCATTCCCACTTGTCAGTTCTTCATCCAGATAACCTTCTGTTCAGACGATAGTCTTCCACTCACTTTCTCCCCCACCCCTCAAAGGTTATGGTTTGATATGCTGCGACTTTCATTGATTAGAATAATTAAGAGAAGGCCATCAAACTGAGGATTATCACCAAAAATAAAAAGAGGTGATTGGAAGAAGTATTTTTACATTTTTACAGAGAACTGTTATAACATGGTATAACATTTCCTGCAGTTTATATTTTCTCCTGCTTTCATCTCTGTGGATCTTCCTCCTAAAACCCTTTATCTTTCATCCTCTCTGTCTTCAAAAGTATTTTTAAAAACCCACCAAAGTTAATGCCCTGATCACCTTCTTCTTAATCCATTTCTTTTGACTTTGTTTGGTGCCTCACACCTTCCATGTAAAGTCTCCCTGTATCACATTTTTTCTTCAGCATTAAGCCTTCAGATGTTTAAACAGGAATGCATGATAAATTTTATTATTAAACAAAAGTTTTAATATCAATTTATTTCCCATTATTTATATTCGAGGCACATACGAATAACTATGAACTAACATTTTTTGTTACTTTGGTTAAAAAAAACTATTAACTTATTGCAAAAAAATCAAAAGTTAATCCCTAACTTATTCTTCTTATTTGTTTTAGCAAAAATTATGCAGATAAAATTTGGACCCTTTTGATGCAATTAGTACCTGAGTTTAAATTGACACCTGATGACCTGTCCGAAATTAAACTTAATGAAATCGATTCATTGGTAAAAGATGTAAAGGAAGTTGAAGTGAAGAGTGAAAGCCCTGTCATAAACAAAATTACCGATAAAGTCGTCAAAGGCACAGGTATGCTATTTGTTGTAGAGCACTGAGCTGGTAATGAAGTTAAATTTACTGCTCACACTTTTTTTTAATTATATGCATGCAAAATTCCTGTCAAGGTCTTTTTGGAGAAGGAGCTACATCTAGCTTGTTGTATAACTTCAGATGTAAAACAGATGATTTGAAAAGTGTTGCACAGCTCGTGGGAAGGATCTCAAATATACACGTTTCAACGGTTTTCTTGAAAATAGCAAATTATGTCCATTGTAGACCTCATTGCTACGCAAAACATTAAGTGACGTTGGAATGAACATTATGACCTGGATGTTGGCCATTTTTAGCTTCTGATTCATTAATCACTGACAATGTCACTTTCTGCTTTGTGTGTGTGGAGAAAAAAGGAAGTGACATTGGTGGTGACCCAATGAACCAGAAGTACACTATTTTTTCTTTTGGTACAGAAATCAGCTGGTGGCAGAAAGTCAGTGGATGTACCATGTGCAGTAAAAAAAACCATCTCTTATGAATCCCACAATGGGCCTCCACTGTATTTGTCAAACTGTTGTATATATATTGTTATATATTGTTCTATGTAACTGAAACTGCATGATGCTTACAACATTTGCGCTAGCCTATATAATCATTTTAATTAGAATTTTTTTATAATTAGAACATTTGCAACTCTATTACTAAACACACAGTTCTGGATGGAAAGTTAATTGTACTATCCTTTTCTTCACATCCTGCTCACCTTTTATAACTTTCTATTAAGGATTTTATTTCAGTTGTGTGTCTCACCAATTCCAATAAATATGCTTGCACGTGGGTCCTGTAGGTTTAAGTAGTTTGGAAATTTGTTTACATTCATGCACATTACAGGAACTGCTGCATTCTTCAAATACAAATGACACTTGGTATATCAGTTTGAAGATTTTGGACTTTCCATTGTACGTGGTTTGAATACTGTCTTATTTATATCCCTAGAAAAACAAGAAGCAAAGGATTCTGGGAAGAAAAAAAACAAGGAAGTAGAAAAAGATAAAAATAAATCAACAGTTCATTCTGGACGAGCAGCGCCAATTGCTCAAGGTTCTATTTCGGAAAGTACGTTTACAAGATTGTTTGATGGTTGTTTGGCATTTTATCCTTGGCCAGTTCCCTTTTGTATGGCAAGAACGCACACAGTTGCAATGTTCACGATGACTTGAGTTAATCTTACCAGTTCCTTTTTAACCTGGCAGTACTAACTATAACTTGGCAGTAGCAATATTGCGCTCTTCGTAACCCACTTCATGAATTGTAATATTGGTAGAGACTGGTTGGTGAAGTTAAGGACACTATTTGCAGGGGAGAAATGTCCTCATCAGATTGAGCCTTCCATTTATAAATGATATTTTAAATTCCATTTATGGATTGCAATTTGGGTCAGTTCAAATATTTTTAAAATGGCTGCGGTAAAGTGAATGGACTTTGTGCCCTCAGTACATTACTCATGCTGGTTATGAACAATAATCTGTAGCAGTAAATCTCATGATGTATATGACAGAGTTGCCTGCCATTACATCAAGAAAAAAATGTGTCACAAACCTTCAGGTTAATAGGTAAAAAGTTATTTTTTGGCCAGGGCAAGTGTTGATTTTCTCCCTCCTTGGCCAATCAACCTTGGAAAATAAGTATGAACCAAAAAACTGTTGTAAGAGAAAAAGAAGAAATCAAGTGGATTTGCTTCCACCTGGTGGGCTCTAGTTAACCCTGACAATTTTTTTTCCCAAGTTTTTCAAAATCAAAATTTTTTTTAAATTAAAATACATGATTTTGCATGTTATAACTTTAATTTTCAAGGTAAGGTAATTAAATATATACATCTTACCAAATGAGCAAATACAAATACACAAAGTATTCTGCTTTTATCACTTGAGTTACATAAATCACAGGGAAAGGAAAAGTCTCTCAACCAAGAACGGCAGTACTTTCCATAGTCACATAAAACGTATCCTAACATGAACCATTTCATTGTAGTATGTCATGTGATACTTTTCTGTATTGGTATGTGCATTGATTTGAAACAACTACTTTTACTACATTTTAGTACTGGGTGCTGTTATTCTTAACTGCTTTTTTTAAAAAAAAATGACTCAAATACTTATCCAATAATCTCAGCTCCCTGCAGACTGGCCCAGATTTTTTTCTGATCTAAGCCTTACAAACTAATGAATTCAATGTTACTTTACAAGAGTACATCTCAAGAAAGTTCAAACGATATCATAAACTCCTATGATTACATTTGTCATGATTCTAATGGGATCACTTAATATTACTGACATGTTGGCATATTCCTGTCTATTTGTTAACCGAAATATATACTCTGAAAATTTTGAAGAGATGAAAAATAAGCAACTTTATCAATTCAGGAGTTCTGCCAACGAAACACCTCATTGTTGGGTACAAGTATGTTTCCTTCAGTATGTAGACCTAAACTGCGAGTCCTGACATTCTTTATTTTAAACTAGGCTTGCCTATCAAGTATTACTATTTATCTAGTAAATTGGTTTGGAATGAGAGCAGTTAACGTAAGCATTAATAACCCGTATTTTGTATGTAAACATATTTAAGACGTTTTCCATGTGTACTTGCGGTTCAAAATTCTGATTTCATTTTCAGATACAATTCAAGTTTCTAACGTACAAAAGTTGAGATTTTGTACTGTTGTCATGAACTGATGATATTTTACCACCCTACTATAAAGCTAATAATTTTAAAAAGTGCAGAAAAAACAAGGTTAACTGTCCAGAAAACAGGCAGCATCAATAGAATGCATTCTGTATACAAAAAAAATCCGTTTTCTGTATGTTACTTAATTGGATTTGTCGCTTGTTTAACTTCTGACAAATTAAGTTCAGACAACAACAACAAAATGACATTTATGTAGCGCCTTTCACGTCGGGAGGACGTCCCAAGGCGCTGGACAGAGTTAGGGACCCAAGCTGAGGGTCGGGGTGGGGGAGGTGGGAGGGCAGAGGGGGATGCAGGAAGATCGAAAACAAGGTCGAAGAGGAGGGTCTTGAGGTGGGTCTTGAAGGTGGCGAGGGAGGGGGCGAGATGGAGGGATTGTGGGATGGAGTTCCAGAGGGTGGTTGCAGAGGCGGAAGGCTCGCCCACTGATAGTGGGGCGAGCAAGTCGAGGGACGTGAAGCAGGATAGAGCCTGTTTATGCAGAGGGAGTGAACAGGATGGTATAAATGCTGTTGTGCCTTCTTAATAATGTTTTTGAAGGATCCTGTAATATTTTTTATATACCCTGCGGAGGTGTCACAGTCCATCTGCTCCATTAAATTCTCCATCTGTTAGCTGGAACAATAGCTACTACTCCTCATAGCCTTTCTTACATGACTATTCCCTTGCATCTCTGTGATTTACATATGTTCCTAAATATGTTGACTAACTTCCCATTCAAACAAGCCATTGCATTGTATTGCATAATAAATTAAAGACAGAAAGAATTTGCCTTTTTATAGGGGCTTATCTTTTAAAGTGTCCATAGGCAGGACCCAGGAAAAATTCCTTCTTAATAATAATAATCCTTACATTTGATATAGCGCTTTTCACGCCTTCCAGACGTCTCAAAGCGCTTCACAGAATATACTGTAAAGTAAATTGACTGTATATTTATGGGCGAAACGCGGCAGCCAATTGCGCACAGCAGTGTCCTACAAACAGTCGTGGACTGAGTGACCGAATTATTATTGTTTTTTTTCTTGAGGGATTATTATCAGGCGTGTGAAGTAAGGAAACTTTCCCAAGGTTTCGCCCTGCCGGGAATTGAACCCAGGTCTCTCGCTTGTGAGGAGAATGGTCTAACCACTGAGCTGCAGGACTTTTTCAGTGTCATGGGACTATTAATGCTCATCTGAAGGAAGAGCAGAAATCTCATTGTAGCTAACACTCTGATAATGCTTCTGCAGTGTCAGCCTTTATCGTGCCTTATATATGAATAATTGTTGCTGTCCTTCATGAAGCTTATCCAATTTTCGCAATAGTTTATAACATTTGTACTCCAAGTACCAGAGTTATTATAGATCAAGGTGCTGAGTAACCCTTTTACAGCTTAAATGTCTTAAGAGGACTGCGGTTATTTTCATTGTTGTCACTCGTTACCTGCATTGACCTAGGAAAAATCCTGTCACAATTAGTCTGATATTTTTATATTGTAAGAATTTGGTAGGTTCGCAAAGTTTTGTGGACAGACAAGAAGTCAAAATAGCAATCAGCAGTACAACAATTAGGGTCTGAAACTTCATCAAATTGGGGAGGTAGTATTAATCACCTAACCCTCAGTGTTGACATAGTAGTGCTCCTGTAAAATAACAGTCAGATGGGCATTGTGCCTGTTCACACAGCTCATAGCAGGAATGAGATGAGCAAGTCTTAGGTCCAGCTGGACAAGTGAACTCACAAAGCAGACCATTTCAGTGTAATAATAATAATCCTTGCATTTGATATAGCGCCTTATCACATCTTGAAGATGTCTCAAAGCGCTTCACAGAATATACTGTAAAGTGAATTGACTGTATATTTTGTGGGTGAAATGAAACAGTTAATTGCACACAGCAGTGTCCCACAAACAGTCGTGGATTGAGTGACTTTTTTTTTAACGAATTATTAACCCCAGAAAAGCAATCCACCAATAGACTACCGGGTTCCTACAGACTGGTAGGTAAACAGAGCGTGTGGTGTAAGGAAACTTGCCCAACGTTTCGGTTGCCGGGAATCAAACCTAAGTCTCTCGCTTGTGAGTTGAGTGCTCTAACCACTGAGCAACAGGACTCCACTGTCTAAGTGGTCTTGCCCAGATATGGCCAGTTTCCAGAGCAGCTGCAAATTGAAGCCAGTATCATCTAATATGTTTCAAATGCTGCCACCTTCAGAAGACAATCATAGCAAACTCAATCACTCCAGTGTAAATACTTATAATAGGAAGGTAAAAGTTCTTTTTGATTGTGTTTGAATCCTGCAACACTCCAGCCCAATCTGTATTCTGAATTACTTTGAAAAAAGTATAAAAACATTATAAAAATTAACCAATTAGTTTGTGTTGCAGCTTTTTCTGAAAAGAACAAAACATACTTATGTTTTTCGACTGCAGGTCCTGCCATCCCAGCATTCCCTCAGATGGTGGTTTGTGCCAGTTACTCACAAATAGAACTCCAACATGCTTTCCTTCAAAAAATGGTAATTACTATTTTTATATTTACTAAGGTTTTTACCTCAGCAATTGTATTCCAATGATGACATTAATGTCCATGCCCATGATGCACACTCCACCTCAATGAGCTAGTCAGGAACCTAGGTGTCTTGTTTGAGCCTCAACTGTCCTTTCTCACCCACATGCATTCCATGACCTGTTCTGCCTTCCCTCATCTCCGCAACATCGCCCAGCTCTGCCAATATCTCACCCTCAGGCCAACGAAACCCTCATCCATGGTTTCAACACATCTAGGCTCGACTATGCCAACTCCCTGATTCTCAGCCTTCCCAACTTTTCCTTCCACGAGCTGCAGATCATCCAGAACTCTGCAGCTCATGGCCTCTCCCGCACCAACCTCCGTGACCTCATCACCCCAGCCCCCTCGCCCGGCTCCACTGGCTCCCCATCCCTCAGAGAATAGAGTTCAAAATTCTCATCCTCGCCTTCAAGGCCATCCACGACCTTGCCTCTTCTTACTTCAGTGAACTGCCAATTCCTTATCAATCAGCCACCCTCCAACTCGGGTCCAAATTCCTAACTGTCCAGCGGCTTGGGACATTCTCCCTATATGAAAGGCGTTGCACAAATATTGTATTGTAATGATGTTGTGGTCCATTGTGCACTGATCTACCTGAAGTGATATTTTTGATAAGTAGTCAATGCAATAGAGTTTATACCAATTCGTAGCCCATTTTGGTTAGTTGGGTGTCCAATACATGTGGAAACTCATCACCGTGCTTAAGAGTATCCAAAACAGTCTGAGAGTTCCATGTAAATGTAAAACTACATATGAAAATTCCCACGTCTGAAATAGAATACACATTCTCTTTCCAGAAAGTATTCAACGCAGGTTGGCAAAGTCAAGGCTTGGAGTTCCCCAGTGTGTTCTTTGGAATACTGTTAAGAATTTAACCCAATAAAATGGCACAGTTTGCCTTTGAAATTACTGTCCGGCATACTTCTTGTTGCTTTTCCAGCGAGGACAACCCTAACCATTAGGGTTTTGCCTTGCAGGGTTAATAGAAGCTGTGTGGGATAAACCCATGCCTCCAGTGATTGGTCTTCCCCTCCAAGTCATGCCTATAAGACAGGTTGGCTGGTCTGTTATCAGCAGTGCCTTGGAGAACTGTGGACTCTCCGGGTCAGGAACCAAACTACTGCCACTCCCACAGTGGATTGACCCATTTCTTACATTCTGTTGCCAAGCTGTTGTCTTGGAGCCAGTTCAGCTTCAAGGAGATCTCGTTTACCTTCCCACCAAGGAGCGTTGGTCATTTAAAATCTGACAAGCGCAGGTTTGAACCCTCGTTAAGTTAGGCTTCTTTTACCCCCTTTCATGAGGGAGAGGCTTAGCGAGTCTACCATCAGTCCTTACTCAGATCTTGCAGCTGGAAAATATTTCTGAATAAAATCCCAAATTTGGCCATGTATTCCTGTAGCTTAAAATTTTGTCATGAGAATTTCATGAGGTACATTAAGCCATAAACTGCAAATATGGACCTCCATTGTGGGTTTTGCTGCAGAGAGATACTTTTTATGTAGCACAGATGCGACTTGTAGAAATTAGCCTTCATCTTATTCAAATTCCAGATGCTTCTTTTCTCAAAGAATACTGAATTTGAAAACAGCATTGATATTGCCACAATATCCTTCTTGTACAGCTGTTTGGAATCTACCTTTTTTTGTATTGTCAGGGCTTTTTTCTCCAGAATGACTTTATATGGCAATTTTACATCATTTAGGGAGAATCCTCAGAGATGCTACGATGCTATGGATTTTCCAGTCTATATAGCCATTCTGTTATGATTTCAAGAACAAGATCCTGTCCCCTTAAACCTCCACAAAAGCCTCCTACCATTCCTCGATGGAAGCTTATTCGACCAAGAAACCACACTCTTCCATCAGCAGAGCCAAGAGGTATTTTTAGTATTAATGGGACAAATAATTTAGTAAAACTACCAATTTCTCTATTTACTTATATCATCTTTATATAATTATACATGAAGAGAAATTGTTATACTCCTGAGTTTGCTAAGAATAGAGGCAGTTTGTATAATTTCTGCTTTGAACAGTTATTTCCTTGCTTAATGGGGGAAGGGCGTATAAACACAGTTCTGTAATATTTCAAGTTTCAAAATATGTGATCTTGTATTGTGTATTGTGTATTGTGTACTGCATATTTGTAGGCAAGCGCAGCAGCCAATTGTCACAAAGCAATGTCCCACAAACAGTCATGAAGTGAATAAACAATATTATCTGTAGAATTGTTGACCAGAAAACTGGTAGAAACTCCCTTCTCTTTTTAAATGGTGTCATGGAATTTTTAACATCGGCCTGATCAGGCATATGGGCGCTTTAATCTTGAGAGAAGGTGACTCAGAAGGCATCTCATAGAGATGTAAAAATTTTTAAATGGGAGTGAAAAGGTAAACTCAGATCAATAGAAATGAAAAGCAGGAAGTTATGGTAAATTTCTATAGAACCTTGGAAGGCATTGGAGAAGGTGCAAAGGAGATTCACAAGGATGATCCCAGAACTGAGAGGTTATACCTATCAGGAAAGGCTGAATGTGCTTGCACTCTTTTCTGTTGAAAAGAGGAGGGTAAGAGGGTGACGTGATAGAGGTCTTTAAAACGATGGACGGTTTTGATAGGGTAGACATAGGAAAAATGTTTCCACTTGCAGGGGAGACCAAAACCGGGGGCTATCAATATAAAATAGTCACAAATAGGGAAGTTAGAAGAAATTTCCTCACACAGAGAGTATTGTGAATGTGGAACATGATCCCACAAGGAGTTGTTGCATAGATGTATTTAAGAGAAAGCTAGATAGGTACATGAGGGAGAAAGGAGTATAAGGTTATGTTGATAGGCTTAGTTGACAGCATCAGCATCCAAGGCTGCACTCTCCACCTCTCAAAGCCAGTCAGGAACCTCGGTGTTCTGTTCGACCCTGAGCTGTCCTTTCTCCCTCATATCCGCACCACAACTGGCACCGCCTTCCATCACCTCCGGAATGTCGCCAGACTACGGCACTACCTCACCCCTCACGCTGCTGAAACTCTGGTCCACACCTTTATCACCTCAAGGCTGGACTATGGGAACTCTCTCCTCGCCGGCCTTCCCGGCACCTCTCTCTACAAGCTGCAGGTCATTCAGAACTCTGCAGCTCGTGTCCTGTCCCGCACCAGGCTTCGGGACCACATCAATCCCACCCTCGCTCGCCTCCACTGGCTCCCCATCCCCCAGAGGATCGAATTCAAGATCCTCATCCTCACCTACAAGGCCATTCACGGCCTTGCTCCCTCCTACCTCTCCGACCTACTATCCCCCTACCTACCTGCCCGTACCCTCCGTTCCTCTGGCTCCAGTCTCCTCCACATCGCCCTACCATCGGTGGTCGGGCCTTCAGCCTCTCAGCCCCCAGGCTCTGGAACTCCCTCCACCAGTACCTTCGCCGCCTCCTCCCTTTCCTCCTTCAAGGCCGGTCTCAAGACCTTTCTCTTTGACCGTGCCTTCAGCGCCCCTCTCAACTCTCTACCCCCTCCTCGCTCCCTCCCTTCCCTCCCCTCACCCTGACCATTTCCCCCCTGCTCGGATCCTGACCCAACTGTACAGCGCCTTGGGACGTCCTCCCGACGTGAAAGGCGCTCTATAAATGGAATCTTGTTGTTGTTGTTAGTTGAGGAAGGGCAGGAAGAGGCTCATGTGGAGTATAAACACCGGCATAGACCAGTTGGGCCGAATGGCCTGTTTCTGTGCTATATATTCTAATGTATTCTAATATAATACTTTAGGACGTATCATGATAATAGAACAATGGGACTTTGGTTTAGAGTTGTAAAGGGCAATTTCAGCACAAAATATCCCCAAATTTCTCTTTACATCGTGGGTAATCAATGGCTGGAACAGATTGCCATGAAAGGTGGTAGAGGTTTCTGGACTCATTTAAAAAGCAGCTTCATGCAACAACAACATCTTACATTTATATAGTGCCCTTCATGCTGGACGCCCGCTCAGAGCTCTTAACAGTTGCGGAGCCTGATGCCGAGCCAGGGGGAGGGGGAAGGTGACTGTAGGCACGGTCAAAGAAGAAGGTCTTCAAGTGTGACCTGAAAATGGGGAGAGAGGGAGTAAGGCAAAGGGATTTAGGAAGAGTGTTCCACAGCTTCAGAGCGTAGTGGCTGACAATACTGCCGCTGATGGTGGGGCGGAGGGTCTGGAGGGGCAAGGGGAAGGGCTGGAGCTAGTCAAGTGGAGGCAGCAGTAGTAGTGTAAGGAGTGAGCAGGTTGGAGACAAAGGAGGGGTACCAGAAAGTGAGGCGATTTAAATACAAGAGTGAACATCGTGAAATCGATCCGCTCTGTGACAGGGAGCCAAGGACTGGGGTAATGGAGGTACAGAGTTTAGTATGGGTGAGAATGCAGGTGGTGGAGTTTTAAATTAGTTGCATTTTGTGAATAGTGGAGCAGGGGAAACCGGTTGGGAGGGCGTTTAAACAGTTGAGGCGGGAGGTGACGAAGGCATGGATGAGGGTTTTGGCAGCTTTTGGAGTGAGAGACCTACCTCCTTGTCCTCCTGAACTTCTCCACTGCGGTCAACAGTCAACCACTCCATCGTCCTTTACCGCCTCTCCTCCCTCACCTACCTTAGTGGGACCGCACTCCCATAGTTTGTGCCATGGGTTTTTCCTCTTGCCTCCCGCGGTCACGTGCAGAGTCCACCAAGGCTCCATCCTTGGCCCCCTATTCTTCCTTATCTACATGCCTCCTCTCGGCAATGTCATCCGCAGACCCGGGTAAATTTCTGCATGTATGCGGATGACACAGCGAGAGACCTGGATTCGATTCCTGGCAGGGCAAAACCTTGGGCAAGTTTCCTTCCTCCACATGCTTGATAATAATCCCTCAAGAAAACAAACCCCAAAAAAACAATAATCCACGACTGTTTGTGGGATGCAGAAGAAGAAGGAGATGAAGAAGTGGTCAAAGGTAACCTTGTCTGTGATGGACAGACCAAAGATATCAAGGCTATGGGTGATGACGAGGTTAAACGGGTGGCCACAGTTATGGATTGGAGAATTAATATAGAGGGTGAGGTTCAGGGTAGAGAGGAGGTGGGGCAGGAGAAATTGAGGTGAAGGTTGAAGTCAGTGCAGAGGGACAGAGTTGAGAGGAGATATCCTTGAAGAAGGAGCCAGGAGATTTGGGCAGGCAGCAAACTAGGAGAATTTTGAGGGAGAGAGAGGAGGCATGGTACAGGGTGAGGTGCTTAAATGAGAGGAAACAGCCAGAGGAGTAAGGGGATAGACCAAGGGAGGTTTGGGAGATGAGGGCCACCGCTCCGGTCGAGGTACTACACTGTTTTATAGTTGATTGTTTAATATATTTTCTGTGAACCTACAGAGTTCATAATAAAGAAACCTGACCAATTTGTTGAAATTGCAAGTCCATTCATTCATGAATTGCCAGAAATATCAAATCTACATTTAAATATGTAAGTATACTCTTGTGTTCCATTTTACTATGGCTTTCTTTGTTACTTGGAACAAATTAGCATGTGTTTTGTCACATAATGAATATCAAGGTAATAAGTTAGCGCTTATATAATGTAATAATAATATCCTTGCATTTGATATTGTACCAAAATACGGAATAACTTGGGTTAGAGCAAGCATGCAGAGACATACAATACAAAATTACATTTGTAAAGCGTCTTTCACGTCAGGAGACGTTCCAAGGCGTTGGACATTCAGGGATTTGGACCCGAGTGGGGGGGGAAGGGGGGTGGGATTAGGGAAGGTGGGGTGGATAAGAGGGTGGCCAAAGGCACGGTCGAAAAGGAGGGTCTTGAGAAGTGCCTTGAAGGAGGCAAGAGAGGGAGCGAGGTGAAGGGAATGTGGGATGGAATTTCAAAGGTTGGGGCAGAGAGGCTGAAGGAACCGACTGTTGATGGTGGGGCGGGCTGGGGACATGGAGCAGACGAAACCTGCTGAGCAGAGGGAGTGGACAGGTTGATAACAGGTTAGCAGGTCACAGAGGTAGGAAGGGGCAAGGCCATGGAGGGTCTTGAAGGTGAGGACGAGGATTTTGAACTCTAACCTCTGAGCGATGGGAAGCCGGTGGAGAAGGGCGAGGGTGGGGGTGATGGGGTCATGAATCCTGGTCGGGAGAGGACATGATCTACAGAGTTCTGGATGATCTACAACTTGTGGAGAGAAGAGTTGGGAAGGTTGACAAGTCAGACCATGTGCCATGGGCTCTCTGGGTTCTCTCCACCAGCTCCAGCAGCAACACTTCCCGTGCTACAATCTAGAACCAAAGAGAAACCCCTAGGATCTCAGTTATTCCCTGTGTTCAGGTCCAAGCCCCACCACTCCACTAGTCTAATGGAGAGGGCTCCCGTTACCTAGCTCCCATGGTACCAGTTTAGCACCAGTTCTGCTATAATATAGCACCTTCAAGATGTCTCAAAGTGCTTCACAGGATATATTATAAAGTGGTGAATGTGTGTATTTTATAGGTGAACGAAGCAATCAATTTGTGCACAGCATTATGCTAGAACCATCCATGAAATGAGTGACCAATTTTATCTGGGGGATTGTTGGCCAGGAGAAACTTCCTCTCTTTTTGAATAATGCTATGGTATCTTTGACATCCAACTTTAACATCCACCAGGCAGATGGGATTTCAATTTAAAAGCTCATTTAATGACCAACAATGCAGTATATTAGGCAAGCTTAGTTTCTTGAAAAGAAAATTCCAGAAGGACCTCATATAAGATTGTAAATGGGAAAGAAAAAGTAAATAACTACTTTGACTGTATTTGTACGTGAACTCAGCAACAAACTTCCACAGAGCAACATCTGACAAACAGCCATGTTCCCTGAACAGGAGGACGGAACCTCAACTAAATGTCGCATATGAAGGACAACAATTCTAACAAAGCAAGGCTCCCCAGCATTGCATTAGAGTGTCCTAGACCATAAGTTTCCTTTCCAGAAATTGAACCCACACACATTTAACCCAAGGGCAAGAGCCTTACCAACCGAACCAAAGTATTGCACAATACACCAAAGCAAGAGAATTAGAGGGCACAGATTCTAGAATATAAAAGGGCAATTTCATATACCAGCAAGTATTTCTTTAACCAGAGGGTAGTTAATAACTGGAACAGATTACCAGGAAAGTTGTTTGAGAAATCAACCATGAACTCATTTAAGAAAAAGCTTGTTACTGTAATGGGAGGATGGTAGCATGGGTATTCGAGAAGGATGAAATCAATGGGCTGTAGGATCTTCTTCATCTGAACGTCACTTGTGCTCTTATCTGCACCTGACTTCCACAACCAAGCACTCATCAACTTTATTCGCTCACAAACTATACAGTCAATTCACTTCACAGTATAATCTGTGAAGAGCTTTGAAACGTCTCAACAATGTAATAAGGCTCTATATCAAATGCAAGTATTATTATTATCTTCCAGTAAGGCTTTCTAACAGATTTTTCTCTTCATAACCAATTGGGCTGAAGCCACAAATATGCCTAACTGCTGTCCCAACTAAGATCAGCTGATTAAAGTTTCAAACCTCTAAAGCTCTGGTCTGCACAATCTAATGCCATATTGATGGTGTCTTTATCCACCCTTGTTTACCCAATATCTCAGCCGCATCAATTCTCTTCATTCCAGGATTCATTATGGTGAATCATTTCTGCACTTTCTCCAAGATGAATATATAGAGGGTTAGAGCCCTGTTAAAACTGCGTCAGTTAAGCTCCGCCTTACAGTCTACTGCGGACCTATGCACAACGTGCAGGGAAATGTTTTTAGCTCCCCTTTCAATTCATTAGCGCATAGTACGTGCAACACGCAGGAAGTGACTTATGTGGCTTCCTACCAATTCCAAGTCGGTCATTATTTCGCACTTCACACTTGCCTGTTAGCTATTAGATCTGGATAGTTACGTACTTATTATGTATTTATTGTGATATCTCTAAATACAGAAAGTAGATTTTAACTTCCTTAACTCTAGAGTGTGTAATCAAAACTTTTCCAGCCTCTTACCACAGCTGCATCCTTTCATCCCAAGCATAATTCTTACATGAAGTTTATGCTGAGAATCATTCATGTCATTTCTGAACTTTTTCCTCCACAGTAAAAAAGCACATTCCAACGTGGGCATCCTGCTAACTCTTATTGAGAGTTCAGAACAGCTTGACGTTCTTGAGAATGACACTGACTCACCATTTCCAGAGCCTCTTAAGGTATATATGTTACATATTGCTGAGTAAAATTCTCTTTAACTGTTTAATCGTGAATTAAAATGCAAGATTTATGATTATGTAATATTGAATAAAAGTAAATATAAAATTGTTTAAAACATATCATATTGCTCTGTTTTGTTCAATAATGATTGCTTCATTGTAATTGAAATTGCCGAATAGAGAAAGAACACTCAAAATAGAAACTAACATTTATCAAATTGGATAAAAGATTTCAGATTTCCTCTACAATTGAATATTCTAAAGAAAAGATTTGTTTTACCATATGAAGTAAATATCAGGTCAGAATCACACAACTAGATATACCAGTTATATGGTTTATTTGTAAAACTGCCCAGAACTCTGCAACCCATTTCCTCCCCCACACCAGGCTCTGTGAGTCTATCACTCTCATTCTCAATCTGCTCCACTGATTCCTTTTACCCCAGCAGTTTGAAGTCAAGATCCTCAAATTCCTTCATGGCCTCACCCCAACATATATCCGCAACCTCCTGCGACCAGAGTGCTTAGCAATTCCTTGCTTGCTTCAAATCCCTTGCCCTATCCACTCCCATCGGGCAAGCCTTCAGCCATTCTGCTTCACTCCATGGAACTCCATCCTAGAGTTCATCTGATTTGTCCCCACCTTCCCACTTTTGGCCCTATCATTGGCCCCCTTCTTTTTCTATTTGCATGCTGTGGCTTGGTGATGTCATCTGCAGGCACGGATAAACTTCCACATGTATGGTGCTGACACCCAAATTGCTTTTCCTCCTCCAGCTACGACTCCAGGCCCGCTGATGTTCTGTCAGCTTGTTTGTTGGACATCAGAGCCTGGATGATCACAACCTTCTTGCAGCTGAACGTTGACAAGCCCCACTCCTTGGCTCCTGTCAACGACTTATTGAACCTGTACATAACCTAGACATCAGGTTCGATCCTCAGCTGTCCTTCCTATCCCACATCCGAGTCCTATCCCACATGGAATGCTGTAGCTTAGTGGTTAGAGCACTCACCTTTACTCCACATGCCTCAGTTTACCTAGCAGTAAGTAGGAACCCGGTTATTAGTTGATTGGCGAATCGCTTTTCTGGGGGTAATAATCTCTTAAATTTTTTTAAAAATAAATCAATAATATTAATTTGGTCAATCAATCCACAAGTGGGACACTGTTTGTGGGACACTACTCTACACAATTGGCTGGGACATTTCGCCTCAAACGCCTACAAAATATACAGTCAATTCACTTTACACTATATTCTGTGAAGAGCTTTGAGATGTCTCCAAGAAGTGCTAAAGCGCGACATAAAATGCAAGGATTATTGTTATTATCCGGACCCTAACCAGGACTGCTTTACTCCACCAGTGGTCCAGCGCCTTGGGACATCCTTCCGTCGTGAAAGGCGCTATCCAAATCTAATTTTGTTGTTGTTGTATCTCACACCCAATGCAGCCGAAACCCTCGACAACACTTTCCTCACCTTTCGCTTCTATTATTCTAATATCCTCCTCGCCAGTCTCCCCAGCTCCATTAACCACAAAATCCAACTAATCCAGAACACTGCCACCCATAGACTCGCCCTGTCTAAATTCCGTACCCCCATCACACGAGTCCTCACCAGGCTCCACTGTCTGTCTGTCACAGAACGGATTGACCGTTATCATCACACTCATCTATAAATCCCTTCTGGCCCTGGCACCTCCCTACCTCTCCGACCTGCTTACTCTCCACTCCACTGCCTGTCGCTTCCACTCGCTTGCTCCAGCCTCCTGCCTGTTCCTCGTCCCCTCCGCCCCATCAATGCCGGCTGTGCTTTAAGCCCTATACTCCAAAACTTTGGAACTCTCTCCCTCTCAATCCCTCGGTCCTTCCCCATTTTCAGATCACACCTTAAGACCTTCCCCTGTGACCTGCTTACGGTAACCTCCTCCCTCTCTCAGGCTTGGTGCCAGGCTCCACCACTGTTAGCACTCCGAGACCTATCCCGCCTCTTTGATCAATTGCCTTTCTTCTCCATCCTCTTTGCTACCCTAACCATATACACACCTGACATGTAACTGTTATATAAATGTAAAATGTGCTACATTGGTTATGTATCTGCGTAAATTAGATTAACAATAATAATAATCCTTGCATTTGATTTAGTGCCACATCACGTCTTTGAGACATCTCAAAGCGCTTCACAAAATATGCTGTAAAGTGAAAACAAAACAGAAGTCGCTGGGAACAGTCAGCAGGTCAGGCAGCTTCTATGGAGAAAGGAAAATGAGTCAAAAAAAACTCCTAACATGCCCCAGTTCTGATGAAGGGTTGTGGACCTGAAACGTTGACTCACTTTCCTTTTTCCATAGATGCTGCCTGACCTGCTGAGTGCTCCCAGCAACTTCTGTTTTTGTTTTCAGATTTCCAGCATCTGCAGTATTTTGTGTTTGTTTTATACTGTAAAGTGAATTGACTGTATCTTTTATGGCTAAATTCACACAGCAGAGTCCCACAAACAATCGTGGATTAAAGTGACTAATTTCTTATTTTTTTTAAAGAAATTATTACCCCGGAAAAGCCAATCGACTAACAACCGGGTTCCTACTTACTACTAGGCAAACAGCGGCATGTGGAGTAAGGAAAGTGGCCCAACATTTCGCCCTGCCGGGAATCAAATCCAGGTCTCTCGCTTGCAAGGAGAGTGCTCTAACCACTGAGCTACAGGACTCCACAACAACAACAACAAATTACATTTATATAGCGCCTTTCACGTCGGACATCCCAAGGCACTAGACAGTCAGGGATTTGGACCCAAGCAGGGGATTGCAATCAGGAGGGATGGAGGACAGGGAGGGTAGGGATAGGAGGGTGGCCGAAGGCTCGTCGAAGAGATGAGTCTTGAGACGTGCCTTGAAGGAGGCAAGGGAGGGAGCAAGGTGAAGGGGCTGTGGGATTCAGCTCCAAAGGTTAGGGGCAGAGGTCCTGAAGGCCCGACCGCCGATGGTGGGCGGGCCAGATGGGGGATGTGGAGCAAGCCGGTTTATATGGCGCCAGTTGGTCACAGAGATAACAAAGCCATGGAGGGCTTTGAAGGCGAGAGCGAAGATTTTGAACTCTCCTCTGGGGGATGGGGAGCCATTGAAGCCGGGCGAGGGTGGGGTGATAGAGTCATTAAACGTTATGGTAAGTATAATTTAGTAGTCAACTACTTCTGTTCCCCAAATAGATAATTTACAGAAAGTTTGCTGTGCTTCATGTTTACATATGTTTATTCCTTTATTTAAGCTTCATTCTTAAATCTTATACATATTTTATTCTGGAGGCTAGCACAACGTGGAGAAAGGTTGCTGGAGTGTTACTGCCACCAGCAGTATGACAAGATTGATTAGAGAACTCATTTACTCTGTTAACTGTACCTTTTAAATATCTTATTCATCAGAAAATATTTATTGATTTTTTTTCAGGAAACAGAACCCGTGAAAGTAAATAGTAAATATCCAATTCTATTCTCCAAGACTAAAATTGAACAATATAAGGTAAGTTTAAATTAAGGTTGTATTTTATTTTTACTAAAAGTGTCAAATTGTAAGTTTGGAATTATTAATTGATTTCTATAAATTATAATATTTGCAAAATGTTTACTTGTTGTTATGTTGGAATTATGCCTTATTTGTTCACTTATGGAAATTGACTTGTAAGAAGCTCATTGATAGAAATTGCTATCGTTCACTGGAGATAGAATTATATGGGACACTGTTCTTTGCAACTGCTTATACACAGGATATGTAATATTTCTTCTTTCTCCTGTATATAAATCTGTGTACTTTGTAGGCAAACATGGCAGTCAATTTTGCACTAATTTGGATCCTTGACTGTTTCTTCAGCTGTTTTTCCAAGTTATTTGAAAAAATAATACCAGAGAACGTCACTTTCCAGTCACGTTCTGTATAAAACATCTAACCTGCCCTTGTGACTATTTATTATGCAAAACTAGTTAACAGGAATGAGGATTGTATATTACAAAGAGGAATATTGTACAAGAGGCAGTAAATGGTACTGGCGTGGATTGAACTGACATTAGCTGAGTAACAAAACACAAACTACTGCAGATGCTGGAATCTTTTGTTTTAGCTGAGTAATAGCTGGTTATGCATTCACCACCATACAAGAGCTGTGTGTGTATCATTACAGGTTCAAATAATGTGGAGTCCTGTAGCTCAGTGGTTATAGCACTCGCCTCGCAAGCAAGAAACCTGGGTTCGATTCCTGGCAGGGCAAAACCTTGGGCAAGTTTCCTTACTCCACACGCATGATAATAATCCCTCAAAAAAACAATAATAAATTGGTCACTTCAACCCACGACTGTTTGTGGGACACTGCTGTGTGCAATTGGCTGCCGTATTTGCCCTCAAATATACAGTCGATTCACTTTACAGTATATTCTGTGAAGCGCTTTTTGACGTCTAGAAGATGTGAAAAAGCCCTAAATCAAATGTAAGGATTATTAGTAGTAGAAGTATTATTACAGTCACAAACCCATGCCAGCTTCTGGCATTAAAATTTTGAATGAAGTGCGGCAAAAATTCTTCTCAGTCAGCAACTCCTACAATACTTATCTTGTCTTTCTATGACATTAGGGCAACATGTGCTAATCCCAGCATGAGAACTTGATGCTGTAGACTCATATGAAGGAAAGCAGTTAAGCTCATTCAGTATATAGTTGCATTTAATTAAGGATTTTATTTTATTAATAATAATCTTTGCATTTGATATAACAATGGCATTTGAAACTGAAGCATGGAGTGGGGACAGCAAAGAGAAATTTAATCTTACCAACAGAAAACCTTGGGCTTCAAACTTGTTCAAAGGATGTGAGTACTTGATGGACCAGACACCTCAAGAGAGGGCTGGGCAGAATGCCCCCAATAGTGTAGCTCTCTCAAACCGGTACTCTGTATTGAACATTGAGAGTGTTGATATCTCCAGGGAGGACAGTATAAACCGATTGGTTGAACAGCCGGACATAGGTAACAGGAGCAATGCTGTTGTCATAGGGGATACAACAGAGAGGTATAGACCAATGTTTCTGTAACAGAAGACGGGAGTCAAGGATGGTATGTTGCCTCCCTAGTGCAACAGTCTTAGACATGGCAGAAAGGGTGGATAAAATTCTTCAGGGGGAAGGAGAACATCCAGAAGTGGTGATCCAGGTTGGGATCCATGATATTGGTAAAAAAAAAGGGCTGAGACTACAGGGTCAACATCAAAAGCTGGCGAACATACTAAAGAATCGAACATCCAAGGTGGTGATCTTGGATAACTCCCTGTGCCTCGGGCAAATAAGTACCATAATGGCAGGATCAAGCATATGAATGCTTGGCTGGAGAAATGGTCCAAAAAAGAGGGTTTCAGGTTTCTGGATCATTGGGACCAGTTCTGGGGTGGGTGGGACCTGCATCATATGGATGGGTTGCACCTAAACAGGGCTGGGGCGAATGTACTTGCAGACAGGCTAACTAATGCTGTTGGGGAGGGTTTAAACTAGTTTTGAGGGGGGAAGGGAATGCAAAAAACCAAGAGCTAGAAAATTGAGAAAAAACACAGGGGTGAAGTGCAGAACAGGTCAAGTCGGTCTTGGAGTGCATGTGCCTAAATGCACGGAGTTTAGCAAACAAGATTGGTGAGCTGCAGGCTCAAGTAGTCATAGGGGGATACGATGTAGTAGCAGTAACAGAGACTTGGCTCAAGCAAAGACAGGAATGGGAGCTGAATATTCCTGGCTACAATGTATTCAGGAGGGATAGGGAGGGGAAAAAAAGGGGGGGGTGGCAATGTTAATCAAGGATACGGTTATAGCTGTGGAAAGGGTTGAGTTGCTGGAGGGCCGCAAAACGGAATCTATCTGGTTAGAGTTAAGGAACAAAAAAGGAGCTGTTACGCTGGTAGGGGTATACTATAGACCACCAAATAGTGGGAAGGAAATAGATGAGCAGATCTGCAAGCAGATCTCAGACAGATGCAAGGCCAATAGAGTTGTGATAATGGGGGACTTTAATTATCCCAACATAGACTGGCAAAACAACAGCGCAAAGGGCAAGGAGGGGGAAATATTCCTAAAATGCATACAGGACAACTTTCTTGATCAGTACGTTTCCAGCCCAACAAGGAAGGAAGAAGTGCTAGATCTAGTTCTGGGGAATGAAGTAGGGCAAGTGGAGCAGGTTTCAGTGGGAGAACATCTGGGCAATAGTGATCATAACATCATTAGATTCAGAGTGCATATGGAAGGAGACAAGGAACCATCTAAGGTGAAGATACTCAACTGGAAGAGGGCAAATTTCAGTGAGTTAAAAAAGGACTCAGCCAAGGTGGATTAGAAAGAAAGATTGGCAGGTAAAACAACTAAAGATCAGTGGGAAGTCTTCAAAGATGAGATAGCTCGAGGACAGAATAAATACATTCCCACAAAAGGGAAAAGTAGGGCTTCCAAACCTCCCTGGATGACGAAGGTAATTGTATCTAGAATGAAGCAGAAAAAGGAGGCGTATGACAAATGTCAAACCCAAGATGCAGAAGACAACCAAATAGAATATACAAAGTGCAGAAGAGGTTTGAAAAAGGAAATAAGAGGGGCTAAAACATTATATGAGAAAAGGTTAGCGGGTAACATTAAAGGGAATTCTAAAATATTTTACAAACATATCAAGAAAAAAAGGCTAGTCAAAGGTAGGGTGGGGCCAATTAAGGACCAAGGGGGAAATCTTATTGTGGAGGCAGAGTGCATGGCTGATGTACTGAATGAGTACTTTGCATCTGTCTTCACAAAAGAAGTGGATGCATCAAATGCCGCAGTATCGGAGGAGAGGGTAGAGGAAATGGATAGGATAAGTATAAACAGAGGAAGTACTGAAAAGGTTGACTGCGCTGAAGGTAGATAAGTCGCCCAGTCCGGACGGGATGCAACCAAGGTTACTATGGGAGGCACAGGTACAAATAGCGGAGGCTTTGGCTACAATTTTTCAATCTTCATTGGACACAGGAATGGTGCCAGAGGACTGGAGAGTGGCCAATGTGACTCCCCTGTACAAAAAGGGACCGAAGGACAAACCTGGGAACTACAGGCCAGTCAGCCTAACATCAGTAGTGGGGAAACTCCTGGAGACTATAATCCAGGACAGAATAAATCTTCACTTAGAAGAATATGGGTTAATTAGGGACAGCCAACATGGATTTGTTAAAGGCAAATCTTGTCTAACAAATCTAATAGAATTTTTTGATAAGGTAACGGAGAGGGTGGATAAAGGTAGTGCAGTTGATGTAGTTTATATGGACTTTCAAAAGGCATTTGACAAAGTGCCACATGAAAGACTTGTAAGAAAGATAGAAGCCCATGGTATAAAAGGGAGAGTGGCAGCATGGATCCAGAACCGGCTGGGAGACAGAAAGCAAAGAGTTGTGGTGAACGGCTGCTTTTCTGACTGGAGGGAAGTGTACAGTGGCATCCCCCAGGGATCGGTATTAGGACCACTGCTCTTCTTAATATACATAAATGATCTGGACTTGGGTATAGCAAGTACCATTTCCAAGTTTGCGGACGACACAAAGTTAGGTAGGGTGGTAAACATTGAGAAGGATAGTCGCCAACTGCAGGAAGACATAGACAGAATGGTAAAATGGGCAGACACATGGCAGATGAATTTCAATGTGGAGAAATGCGAGGTAATGCATTTTGGTAGAAAGAATGAAGGGAGGCAATGTAGGCTAGGTAATACAATCTTAAGGGGGGTAAAAGAAGAGAGAGACCTGGGGGTGCAGGTAAATGAATCCTTGAAGGTAGCAGGACAGGTAGATAAAGCTGTAAAAAGGGTATATATATAACACTTGTTAGGCCTCAGTTAGAATACTGTGCCCAGTTCTGGGCACCACATTATAGGAAGGATGTTAAGGCATTGGAAAGGGTGCAGAGGAGATTTATAAGGATGGTCCCAGGAATGAGAGACCTTGATTATGAGGAAAGGCTAGAGAGGCTGGGATTATTCTCATTGGAGCAGAGAAGGTTACGAGGAGACCTAATAGAGGTCTTCAAAATCATGAGGGGATTTGATAGGTTAGAAAGGGAAAAACTGTTTCCATTGGTAGGTGTGTCGGTGACTCAAGATCACAGATTCAAAATAGTATCTAAAAGAAGTAGAGGGGAGGTGATAAGACATTTTTTCACACAACGAGTTGTTCGAATGTGAAACGCATTGCCTGAAAGGATGGTGGAGGCCGATTCGATAACTACTTTTAAAAATGCGGTGGACGAGTATTTGAGGAGGACAGGTCTGCAGGGTTATGGGGAAAGGGCTGGGGAGTGGGATTAACATTACATTGCTTTATTCAAAGAGCTGGCACAAACTCAATGGGCCGAATGGCCTCTTTTTGTGCTGTACAATTCAATGATTCTATGATTCTATGAAAGAAGAAGCAGGTGTAATGTTTAGATAAACTAGTATAAAAAGATAAATAATTGAAGATAAATACACCAGTTGGCTTCAGTTTAGTTTGAAAAAGAAAATATTTAGGAATGAATGTAGATTACTGATTTTTTTTAAAAAAAGGGTTGGGATGCTTAAAAAACATCCTAATGGATGCGGAACAATAAGTTAATAATCATGATGTCAGGATGGAACTCAGGCCACTAACCCCAAAGTCCCAGTTGATTTGAAACATTGTTGTTTTGTATTATTGCAGGAAAAAAGGTTGGAAACCATCAAATCGTCTAGTCAGATTTCTGCCTCTCCTTTGGAAAATAAAAGTCGAAAGGATAGCATTGCTGAAACAATTAAAGTAAGCAAGTAATTTTTTATGAGGAAAATTGCTACAGATGCATTTACATGTTTTTTACTTCACTTAAATTTGCGCTACATCAAATGCAAGGATTATTATTATTATATCAGTATAAGGTTCATAATCTCATTCTAGAAACTGAGGAACATAAAATGTTATTATCGCAAAGTGAATTTGTTGAACATAATCTAATTTAATTTTTTGAGGTATTAACTGAGAGAATAGATAAAGCAAACGTGGATATTGTACATATGGAACCATATAAGAGATTAATATTGCAATTATGGATAAAGGAATGAGTGCAGAGTGGGAAATGGTGGATGTTTATCAGAATGGCAGGATTGTAGCCAGTAATGTGCCCCAGGTTCTGGACACAGACCGTTCCACACATGCCCGGCTCTGGATCCACCAATGACATGTTGCGCCTTGTATCGATCTGAAACAGCCAAACTAGTCTGACCTTGGAAACCAATATCACATGATTGCCAATTAACTCGTTGGATTCCTGCTTACACAGAATTTCAAACTCATGCTAAATTTATAGACTAGAGAAGTGATCAAACACTTGGAAGATGCAGTTTAATGCTGATATATGTGAGCTAATATACTTAAGGAAAAAGAACATGGAGTGAAATTAAACATGAAGGGTATATACAATAGAAATTTACATTTATATAGTGCTTTTCATGATATGAGCCCTAACCAAAAGGCTGAGGGTCCAAATAGATAAATCATTAAAAGAGGGATAGCAGGTAGAGAAAAATAGCAAGAAAGCAATTGGGGTAATGAGATTTTTAAACAGATGTATTCAATATAAGAGTTGTATAGGAGAGTTGTATTGGTATTGTATAGGCTATTGGTTAGCTGCATTTGGAGTTTGTATTTGAGATGCCCATGACAGGCAAGATGATATACATCTGGAAAAGGCTACAGCATAGATTCACTAGAATTGTATATACATTGTATGTATAAAGAGTAGCTGGCTAAATTCTTACCATTTCAATATTATAGAGGTGTTCTAAATTCTTTATTTGGGGTATGTATCAATGACACCGTGGCATAGTCTCAGGATTGTTAACAAAATAATCAGGATAAGGGTAGAAGGAATTTTTGTTATCCAGAGAGTTGTCAAGCTGTGATATTCATTACTACAAGTGGTATTGAAACTGTGTCAATACAATTACTCAAGAGGGATCTGGATAAGCATCTAAGCAGTTAAAAAAAGAGATATGTGGAAAGTGGGATCAATAAAAAGGGGAACTGAAGACAGGTAGCAATAGCGCAGACAATATGGGCCAGTTGGTCCCATTCTATGCTGAAAATGTTCAAGTTGGTATGTATTTTTTTTGTATACTTATAGGAAATTACACTGGAACCCATTAGATCACAAAGCCAGAATGCAAATACTTTTTTTGATAGTAGACGGCCCAGTAGTATTGATACAAACAAGGTAAGTTTGCTAATCAAGTCTATTTAATATTTTTGAAAGTAATATTTTGAACCCTATATTTGATATATTTGTTTTCCAAATGAAAGTAATGTATTTTCCCTGTTTTTTTGTAAACATTGAGAATCTACTTGTATGTTATTCCTTACCACCAGAAATGATTGAAATAAGATTGATAGAATTGTTTAAAAGAAAACTGGTTTAGGGGCAAAATAATATTTTATGCTTATAGTTGGCATTAAATTAAGGGATGTATCCAATTTAGGATGCAAACATGTGGGTGCAGTGTATTCTAACTCCATAAATTACAGTCGTATAGGTTTAAAAAAAGATTGAGCTAATTGGCCATTTTCAAAGTGTGCATTATGAATTCAATGGAAAATAGTGTTGTTTTAGGCCAAGTGAAAATATGGTACCTTAAAAAGTGTTGGAAAGATGTTGTGGTTAGCCCTGGTTGAGAACCATAGAAGTATAGAAATGTACAGCACAGAAAAAGGTCATTGAAAGAACAGATTTGTAGAAATCATGGCTGTCCCATCCTTTTCCTTCTCCAAAAACCTATACATAAGACAGATGTTGTGAAGGATACTATGTAAGAATGCTGCAAATGCACAGCCACCTAAATGAATCGCTTCTGGTTAGAGCTGGCGTGCGATTCTAGATGGGAAGTGGATGTTAATTTAGGGAACTTTACTAATATAAATAAAGCCAATATTTCTTCCACAGAGAGAAAAAACAGATTAAAAAAAAAGTGCATTCCAAACAACATTCATTACCACATGGACAATGTTACTAATCTTGTAACTGATTGAGCTATAAGGAGCTGCAGTATAGTGAATAAAATCAGTAGATAGTCAATGATTACTATATTACACCAAGACAACAGCACGTATCAGGATACGACTTTAGTCTCAGGATACTCCACCCACAGACACCAGCCTAGTTGACTGCTTTTGCAATGACTCCTTATGACTCTTAGGGAGGTAGCAAAAAACAGATGTTTCAAAGAATATTACTAAAGGATGGCAGTGTGTTTGGTGGGATTTAGATAACAGGACAATTACCACATCAGTGGAATTCCATTACACTTCTACAAGATGGTTATTATACAAAAAATCTTACATTTGATATAGCACCTCTTACATCGTTTCACAAGATTTCCTGTGGAGTTTTGTATTTGTGCAGACAATTTACCCGCAGTGTCCCACAAACAGCGATGAAGTGAATATCAATTTTTTCTGTGTGATTGTTGGTAAGGATGCTCCTTTTACTTTACAAGTATACCATGGGATCTTTAACACCCACTTAACAACAACAACAACAAGATTCCATTTATAAAGCGCCTTTCACGTCAGGAGGACGTCCCAAGGCGCTGCACAGTTGGGTCATGACCCGAGCAGGGGGGAAATGGTCAGGGTGAGGGGAGGGAAGGGAGGGAGCGAGGAGGGGGAAATGGTCAGGGTGAGGGGAGGGAAGGGAGGGAGCGAGGAGGGGGGAAATGGTCAGGGTGAGGGGAGGGAAGGGAGGGAGCGAGGAGTGGGAAGAGTCGAGAGGGGAGCTGAAGGCACGGTCAAAGAGAAAAGTTTTAAATAAGCAACAATACAATACAAATTTACATTTAGATAGCGCCTCTCACGTCAGGACGATTTCGCAAGGCACTTAACAAATGGGAGCTTGATTTAACATCACAAACAAAGGATACTGCATACTCAGATACTGCAGCACTGACCCAGCACTGACTTGAACTCACAACCTTCTGACTCAGAGATATGAGTACTAACTGCTGAGCCAAGGTAACACTGTTGTCAAAAAATAGTTGCCCAGCTGTGGTTGTTTCAAAAACTGGCAACAGTAGGGTCACTGACTCAAAGGAAGTATAATAGGAGCAAAGCAATGTCTTGATAGATTTATAGCCATGATTGCAGATGCTATTCCAATTAAGATACATTTTCACTGATATAATGTAAGTAAGTGAAAAAAATGGGAGAATGGAAAGATGACTTCTTGGATCGACCACTCCCTGACTTCAGTGTCTATAACATTGGTATCACTGAAGCTTCTTCACTGAAGCAACAAGTTATGGAAGGCTGGAATGAAACTGCAACAGCAAAGTAAGAAGTGGCTCCACTGTTACAAGCTTGCCTGCAGGAGTTTCAACCAGAAAGAGAATGATTCATGGATGATACAAATTGGATAACAGCTGAAGATATGGTGGCAGACTGTAATAGCTACATATACATTGTTTCACTATATCCTAAGCATAATTTTAATTGTATGTTTATTAATAATCCTTGTGTTGGGAGGCAAGACCCCTCTCCTTACCTCCCAGCTCCACCTCCTTATTCCTCTACTCACAGACAGCATAAACCTCTCCCTATCCACTGGCACTGTTCCCACCGCTTTAGAACGGCCATCATCATTCCTATACTTGAAATACCCTCCCTGGACCCATCCCTGCTCTCACATTACCGTCCCATCTCCAACTTCCCTTTCCAAGGTCCTGGAACGAGTCGTTGCTTCCCAGCTTCATTCCTTCCTCTCTCGCCACTCCCTTCACGAATCCCTCCAATCGGGTTTCCGTGCCGCCCACAGCACAGAAACAGCTTTGGTCAACATAACAAATAACATTTTGCCCATCTGCGACCAGGGATCTCTCTGTCTTTTCATCCTCTTTGTACTCTGCTGCCTTTGATACCGCTGACCACTCTATCCTCCTCCACTGTATCTCCTCTCACCTCAACCTTCATGGTTCTGTTCTTGAATGGTTCAGATCCTACCTCTCACACCGTCTCACTTCATCTCCACACACGGTTTCTCCTCTCGCTCCCGCACCATCTCGTGCAGCGTTCCGACATCAAGTCATCTACTGTTGAACGTCAACAAGACCGAGGCTCTCCTGATTGGCTCCCATCAGCAACTCCACACCTCAGGCACTAACAGCGTCACCATCCATGGTTGCACACTCCACCTTGCTAAGCCAGTATGGAACCTTGGCGTCTTGTTTGTCCGTCAACTATCCTTTCTACCCTACATCTGTGTCATGACCCGCTCTGTCTTCCCCCACCGCCGCAACATCGCTCGGCTTCACCACTGTCAGACACCGCAGGCCGCCGAGATCCTCATACATCCAAACTTGACTGCAAACTCCCTGCTTGTCAGCATCTCATACTCCTCCCTCCATAGGCTTCAGATCATCCAGAACTCTGCAGCTCGTGTCCTCTCCAGCACCAGGCTTCATGACCCTATCACCCCCATCCTCGCCCGACTCCAATGGCTTCTCATCACACAGAGGATACAGTTGAAGATCCTGGTCCTCTCCTTCAAAGGCTTCCATGGCCTTGCTCCCCACTACCTAACACCCTACCAACCTGCCCGCTCCTTCCGCCTTGCCCCCTTCCTTGCCTCCTTCAAGACCCGTCTCAAGACCTTCTTCATCGACCGCGCCTTCAATCATCCTCCTTCCCCCCTGCCCTCCACCTTCCCCAATCCCGACCCCAGCTTGAGTCCAAAACATTGATTGTTCAGCGCCTTGGGACATCCTCCCAACATGAAAGGCGCTATACAAATGTAATTTTGCATTGTGCGTGTGTGTTTTGATATGGTGATAATAACATCATGAATGTCTAAAATAGGAGCAGGAGTAGGCCATTCGGCCCCTCGAGCCTGCCCCACCATTTAATAAGATCATGGCTAATCTTCAAACCTAATTCCATTTACCCACCCTATCCCCATATCGCATAATCCCTTTAGTTTTTAAAAATCTATCGATCTCAGTCTTGAATATGTTCAAGTGATTGTGCAATGCAGTGATTGTGTATTTGTAGGTATTTGCAGCATCCAGTTTGTGTACAGCAATGTCCCACAAACAGACAAAGTAAATGACTAATTTTATCTGGAAGATTGTTGCTCAGGATACTGGGGAAAACAACAATAACTTGCACTTATATGGCGCCCTCCACGCAGGGTAGTGTCTCAGAGCACTTAATAGTGGTGGAGCCTGACTCCGAGCCGGTGGGGTGGGAGGTGATCGTAAGCAGGGTTGAAAAGGAAGGTTGCTCCTGACGTGAAAGGTGCTCTATAAATGTAATTTTTTTTTGTTTTCGGGGAGGACTTGAAAAAGGGGAGAGAGAGGGCAAGGAGGAGGGTTTGAGAGAGAGTGATCCAGAGTTTCAGGGCATAGTAGCTGAAAGCACAACCTCCAACGGTGGGTGGAGGGTGCGAGGGACAAGCAGGAGGCCGGTGCCAGTCGAGCGGAGGCCCTGGGTGGTGGATTGGGGAGTGAAGAGGTCGGAGAGGTTCAGTTGTGCCAGGGAGTGAATGGTTTTGAACACATATGTGAGGATCTTGAAGTCGATCCATTCGGTGATCGGGAGCCAGTGGACCCAGGGGTTACAGAGTTTGGTCCAGGTAAGTACACAGGCAGTAGCATTCTGAATGAGCTGGATTTTCTGAATAGTAGAGCTGGGGAGACCAGCGAGGAGTGAGTTGGAGTAATCCAGGCGGGTGGTGACAAAAGCATGCACGATAGTCTTGGCTGCAATTGGGGTAAGGTATGATCGGAGAGCGGGTAATGTGGCAGAGGTGAAGGAAGGCGGTCCTGGTTAGGGTCCGGATGTGGGGGAGGAAGGACAGGTGGTGGTCGAACCGGACGCCTAGATTTTGCACTGGTTCAGTGAGTTTGAGGGTGAGCCCAGGGAGGTTGAGGAGTTTAGGTCCGCGGGAATGACGACATTGACGGAAGCCAAAGAGTATGGTTTTCGATCTCCCTATTTCCCCCCTCACCACCACACTCCCCGACCCTGACCCCCACCTCAGGTCCGGAACTCTGTCTGTCCAGCACCTTGAGATGCCCTCCCGATGTGAAAGGCGCTATTCAAATATAATTTTGTTGTTGTTGTTTAACCCGTGTCTGCGGATGACATCACCAAGAGGGAACATGTATATCAGGATTTTTTTGAATAGTGCCATGGAATTTTAATGCCCATCTAACAAGGCAGATAGGACTTCTTGCCTCAAGGACCTCTGACAATGGAGTAATCGTCAGCGCTGCATTGGAGTGTCAGCCTAAACCGTGAGCTTAAATAGATGTTGCAATGCACTATAATACATCAACACATTTTTGCAAGATATATGTATATTCTAATGTTTCTGAGTTTGTTCATGAAAATTCATTGCATTTTCAAACTTTGTTTTGTGTAAGTGTTATCACTTGAATGCACCTGCACATTAGCATGATCAGACTTACACTGTCCAGTGGTGGTGAGGTGTATGGATGCAGTGAACCCACTTCACAGTAACAGAAAGTCAAGTAGACCCTATGTGGTGGATTCGATCGTCTGGTTCACAGGCAGAATCGTTCTAGCTGGACAAGCAGTGGTAAGCTTGTCAGACAGTTCTCAAAATGGCAAGCTATGTGGTTTCAGCTAGTTAAACTCTAGTAGTATACCCCAAAACATACTCTAGTCTGGTTTGGATACTGATACTCTTAAGTATAGTGATGGATTTCCACATGTGGTTGACCAAACAAAAGTTGTCAAAGTACTAAAAAGGTTTGTGAGCAATACAAATGAGAACATATCTTTCTTGTTTATTGCTGCATTAAGATTGAAATTGTCTGATCATAACTATTCTGTGTTTAAACAGACATTGAGAGTGAAATCTCCCTGTATTACTTGCTAGTAGAGTTGGACCCACCAGGGTAGGTTTGAATCTATTCTGCTAGCACGTTTCCATTTTTTGGGTGAAGATGCAGATGAATCTTTTGGAGCAGTATTTGTATGTATATATGTAGTAATGTACCAAGGAATGGTGTTACAGTTTGATGCTGTACTTCAAGATGTAACACCTTAAACATTACCAGTGTTTTTTTGTATTTCTTGCTTGGATAGGACGGTTCAATGAACAGTGAAAAAGTCTCCTCTGGCAACTCCATTTTGCTCTTTCCTAACCACACTTACATTTTATTTACTGTCACATTTCAATGTTGTTACTATTAACTTCAGCTCCCATTACCTGGACAAATACCTTAATGAAACCACATATGAGTAAAGTGTTTGCGCAGATAAATGGCAGTGATCACCTCACCAAATTTTTGGAGATTGTTCCAGATGTTCTTTTTTTTTCTTTCTGTATATGAAGATTCCATTTAATTCAAAGATTAAGTAAGAGCATATGTATACTATAAATTATCAAAAGTCAAGATCACTACAATTCACATTTCAGTACATCTCAACCCAATAAAGCTGAACAACTTGCAGAAACTATTCATTTCCTTAGTGAAAGAAAATTCTTTGTTTTGCTTAAATTTTTTTAATGGATTGGTGAATTTTGTGCTCGTCTAAGTGAAGAAGTACTTGTGACAACAACAATTTACATTTATATACTGTCTTCCACATTTGGACACCATCACATAGTGCTTCATGCAGCTGATTAGTAGCCCAATCTGTGAGTAAGAGAGCTGAGGAAGGTTGTCGTGAAATGTCACCACAAGTACAGTTGAAAAGAAGGCGTAAGGTGGGCTTTAAAAGTAGGGAAGGAGAGGGCGAGGCAAGAGGGACACCACCTGGAGTCCAAGAACTCTGGATGGAGTTTCAGAGCTAAAAGCTCAACCATAAAGTAGGAATATTAAGCAAAGGGAGCCTTGGTAGGGTGGCAGAAGGTGACAGAGTTAGGGTTGGGTCAGGACGTGAAGAAATGTAAACACACGGGCAAGGATCTTGAAAGTTAGCTGCTGGGAAGCCAATGGAACCGAGTGAAGATGGGAATGGTAGGCTTGTGGACCCTGGTGCAGGAAAGAATTTAGTTGTAGAGTTCTTAATGGTCTGTAGTTTGTGTAGGGAGGTTTGGGATATTTAAATTATGGAGGCTGGACCTGAAGGTGCAATTGAAATTCTTGGTGGCCTGGGGAAGAGGTAGTGATAAAGCTGGGCAATGTTCAGACATGAGGGAAAGCTGATATTTAAGTTTCACTCATATCTGAGTTTCACTGATGACTGAAACTAATATAAAATAAATTGTTCAATAAAAAATATCTGCACATTTTTTGTCATGATTAAAAGTATACAAAAATGTGAAAACTTGTTTTGGAATAACCGACCAGCAGTTCTATTATACATATATCCTTCATGCTTTAGGTGTTAGATGTACAGCTAATATTTTGAGGGTGAGGAAGGTGTCAGAGAAAATTCAAATTTGCCAGTGTTTGGAGAAGCAGATAGGTTTATAAAAACATGACTCATTGGCCATATAAGAAACTGAAAAAATGATATATGTTTAATTTGGGACAAATACATTCTAGAACATATGAAGGTAGCTGTTCTAGGTGCATAGGGCTGCCTTTTATTTAAACTATTGAGTAGTTGATGTGTTATCCTACCAAGGGAAGGACACAAGCCCTGCACCAAACAAGAATTTGTTGAATAAATATCATATTGTACTTTGCAGGAAATAGGGCTAGACGGCATACCATCAAATTCTCAAGTTGCAAGTCCATCTCCCTTCCTTAGTAGAATTCAGTGGAATGCTGCTTTGGATTTAAAGGTAAGTTTATAATTGAGGTGGTTCACCATTTTGAAATGGATAATTTTGAGTTTCTTGATTGTTCTATATTATTACTGCTTGAAGAAGGTGCAATGTTTCTATGTGAATCTTAAAATCTACTGTTCGCTAGATTGTGACTTTATTTTGGTCAACTTTAATAATCAGAAATTTACTTCATCCCATTTTTTGTTTGGTCAGTGATTGACACATGTGAAAACTCATCACCATACTTAAGAGTACCATAACCAGAATGACAGTTCACACCTGCATGCCACCTATACATAGAAAGTTATCTGGGATAGAAAGCATATATCCCTGGAGGAACATATACCCTGTTTACTTAATTCTGTAATATTAGGCACAGGTTGCTGAGACCAGGGCTTGGGAACCCCAGAGTGTGTATTGGCCTCTGCTGGAGTTCAACCAGCTAAAACTGATTAGCTTACCATTGAGAGCATTGACTGGCAAGTTTTCTACTGCTTGTCCAGCTAAGATCACCCTACCTGTTAGGGCCGTGTGGCCATCCTGTCGCCCACAGGCCGGAAGTGGCCCGTGAGAGCATCAAGATGCCTCCCCTTGAACATTCACACGAGTGGCATGGCATAAATGAGAAACATTCAATCAAGTATATTTATTTTTTTGGCCAACCCTAAAGGTTGGTCACTGCTGTGTTAGGGTTTGGACTTGCAGGGATAACAGGAGTGCTTTGTGTTTTTTAGACCATCAATGATATAATATTTTGGAAACCTGAGTAAATTAGATCTTGATTTATCAATATCTTCATTTCAGCTCCTCTTAAATTCTCCTTGGTCAGGAACAGAGTTAGAGTCATCAAGTCTTCAGCATTGAGCCCAGGCCATAGCAGTGGTGGAAAGAATCACATTGAATCTATCAGTAAATGTCATTATCATCTCAACAGTTCTAGTGCACTTGAGACAATTGTCCAATTGGGCTTTTTCTGGATTACAAATTGAGATTTCAGTGGAAATTAGTATGAGAGAAAATGGTTCCAATGAGCATAACCTTTACAAGTGTCTTTCTGTGCTGTAATTTCTGTGATTCTATGATACTTTCTATTCCATTTTTAAATATTGAAATAACATTTATTTTCCTTCCATTCCAAGGTACACCTCCTTCAGTTATTGTGCTTCTAGAATGTACCATCTACCTTATTTATCTCTTGCTCCTATTTATGTGATTCCGGGCTGTATTCCATCTGACTCAGGCACAGCACATATTTAATTTTTGAGTTTCTTCATGAATCCGTCTACAATTTGTGAAGGCTGTTGTGAAGGTTCTATTCAGCAGATATCATATGTTTCCATTTCCAACTAAATATTTTTTGTAAAATGTAACACATAGAGAATTACCTATTTAACAGTTAGCATCATATGTTATTTTAATAAAATGCATAAATTTGTAGCAGAATCACTATGCCTTGTTCCTCAAATGAACTGTCTTGATTTTCCTGCATTTTGGTTTATTAGGACGAAAGTGCAAATTTACGGTACAAAGGAGAAGTTTCAATTCGAGGTCAGTGTGTGTCAGCCATTTACAAACTAAGTCAGTCTAAATGCCAACGTAATTTATAATAAAATAATAGAGGGTACAGTTCTATGGTCATCTGAAATATTATTTGAGTAGATACCAAAATATACAATTTCATTCTCGTGCTTTATTTTTCACTCTCATGTTGACTTTGTTGTTGTGGTATCAGACACAAAAAAATTGTAAAGCTCATGTATCTAAGAATCTTTAAAGGTGTTCATCAAATGACAGCTTTTTTGTGTGTGTGCAATTTTGCAATTTCCTGTATGTTATGTACAATTTTTTAAGATTGTTTTATTATAGTAATAATTTCAATATCTGGATGAACTGGAGCTTGTGTAGGATAGAATTTAAGGAGGCCAGTTAAGGGGGCATCAGAGAAAATAAATCTTAAGGTGCTAAAAGCGAGGATTAGGGAATCGGCAGCAGAAGTTCTGAAGGAGGAGAAGAGCAGACTTGGGAGGAGAACTTGATATATGGCTTGAAAGAGATGAGGGTCGAGAGTTGTTTTTCTGAGGAGGGGATGATCACAAGAGTTTTGAAAGGGAGATGTGGTCTCATAGGATATGGAGAGGTTATGGTTGACTATTATGGGAAAAGAAGAAGTAGTTGAGAGTTTGGAAAAGGACTGAGTGAGCGCATGCAGGGGAGACAGGAACAAAGATGTGCAGTGCACAATGAATGGAGTAAGGGATAGGGGAAGAGGGGTAAGTGGAGGTGCTGAAGGCAATAGTTCTTTTCAATTTTAGGGACTAGGAAGACTACTAGGAAGGTGTTGGAGTAAAGATGGTAGAGGCATGGGAGGTAGGTTAGAGGAAGTAATTTGTAGAGATTGGAGCATGGTACACTTCTAGATCCTGGCACTGAACTGGCCCTACTAAGAAACCGTCTTGCACATTATTTGCAGGGCGCCACTAATGTCACTTCAGTATTCTCTCAAACTCTTTTCTAGTTTTGAGCATTAATCCTCTTTACCTTTGCTGCTCCAGCGAATGAATGAAGCAGCAATTTTTTTAAGAGTTTCATCTTAACTATATCCTCTCACTCCAGGTAGCAACACCAGTTTGCTTAGTGATGGAAGACTTTTGGCACAACCATTGCTGAGTATGTTGCCTGGTTCTGATTTGAATATGACAATAGAAAAAAAGCCTATTGGGAAGGAAACCTGGATTGATTATGACGACTTTTGCAAATGTTTCCAGTAAGACAAAAGTATTGACATTATTATATTGTATCTCCAGTTACAACATTCTCACATCTTTGGTTTCTATAAAGTGCAATTTTAACAATTAAAGGTGCAGGAAAGTTCAGCAAGATTATTTTCTTTGTAAAATATTCCACCAACTACATAGGTAAGAAGATCTCCTTAGTGGAAAGGGGAGGGAAAAGAAGGAGAAAGGAATGGTCTCATCCAGATTTTTCTTCCTCTTTTTACTAATATTATTAGATATTATTAGAGTTGTGCTAATGAATTAAACATAAATTGAGCAGTGTAATAAGATTGATTTGCCTCGTAAGGAAGCTGTGATAATGATCTCTGTATATATTTTGCATAAACCCATTTTCTTAATGAAAGTTAATAAATGTCATTGTTCAAAGCTGATTAATTTTCAGTTAAATATCGCAATTAATAAAAAAAGTAGCATAGTAACAGTTTCAGGCACTTGTAAGCCATTAGTTAATCTAGGGGTTTAATTTGAGTTATTTGAAAAAGGGGTGGGAAACACCGATTTAAGTTTTCTTGTTTGCCCTGACTGAGAAAGTGAAACTGAGGAGAGGTTGCATTTCACTCTCAGTTTGCACTTTTATTTGCACTTAAGACACCTTCAGCAAATAGAGCTTCTCATTAATTTAGCAAATATTGAATCCCCGAGTCCACTCATCCAAAGTGATAATAATTTACCATTTTAACAGTATAATTTAGAAATATATTATCCAAGACTTTTTTATAATAATTGAGCAGAAAGGGTCAGCTTTCACCTCAGTAAAATTGTGCAACTAACTTAAAACAACACAACAGTTTGGACTTATATAGCGCCATCCATGTAGAGTAGCGTCTTAGAGAGCTTAACAGTGGTGGAGCCTGACTCCGAGCCGGGGTGGAGGTGGGGGTTGGTGGCAACCTTAAGCATGGTCGAATAGGAAGGTTTTTAAGGGGGACTTGAAAAAGCAGAGAGAGGGGTCAAGGCGGAGGGTTTGAGGGAGAGTGTTCCACAGTTTTGGGATGTAATGGCTGAAAGCGCAACCTCCAATGGTGGAGCGGAGGGTGTGAGGGACAAGTAGGAGGCTGGTGCCAGTCGAGTGGAAGTACCGGGTGGTGGTTTGGGGAGTGATTGGGAGATGATAATATATTAATGTTTTCTTAGTTTATGTTTGCTTTAAAAACTGTTTTATTAAAATATATATTTACTTTTAAGGACATTGGTGATTTTCCATAAACCCAATTCGTACCCATTTACAGCTCAAAGGTCAGATATGAAGGTAATTTCTTTGGTTGTGTTGTTATTACTGTAAATATTTAAATATGATACACATATTCTGTTTACATTGCAAGCGGGCTAACGATGTGTCATTGCTACAGTGTTTGTGGTCTGTTCCTGGCTCTGGATCTCAAAGTGGATTTCATGAATTTCTATATGGTGTGAACTTCATAGTGTGTCTTAATACTATAGAGTCTACTAATGTTAGTCTGGCTCAATTGGTAGCCTTCTCAAATCTGGGTCATAAGGTTGTGGGGATTTAAGCCCCAAATTGCAGACTAAGTTGGCATTGTGGAGTCCTGTAGCTCAGTGGTTAGAGGACTCGCTTTGCAAGCGAGAGACCTGAGTTCAATTCCAGGCAGGGCGAAACCTTGGGCAAGTTTCCTTACTCCACACAGAGCCTAATAATAATCCCTTCAAAACCAAAAACAATGATAAATTGGTCATTTTCAATCTACGACTGTTTGTGGACATTGCTGTGCGCAATTGGCTGCCGCGTTCACCCACAAATATACAGTCAATTCACTTTACAGTGTGTTCTGTGAAGCGCTTTGGGACGTCCTCCCGACGTGAAAAGCGCTATATCAAATGCAAGGATTATTATTATTATTATTATTATTATTATTCTAGAGCAGTAGTGAGAGTGCTCTGCATGCCAGAGCTACCGTCCCTCACATGAGGTTCCGTCGGCCTGTTTAGGTGAATGTCTAAGTATTTGAAGAAGGAAGTTTCTCCCAACAATCTTTCAGATTAATTGGCCATTTGTTTCAAAACTGTTTGGGGAACTTTGCCATGTTCAAAGTAGCTGCCGTCTTTGCCTAGAGAAACAAGCAAATGTTCTTTAATTATTATATTAAAGGAAATATGCTTTAAATACAAAATTACTTTGATTTGACATGGTAATACATCATAAAAATGTAAACTTTCTTCATTCTGTACAGAACTAAAATATTTTCTTGTGACAATTTTTTAGCCCATTGATGAACGAGGAACTTACTACCTATTTGTTGACAACCTGAAACCCACTGAAATTTTGGTTACCTTCTCTGCATTAGTACGCTGGGGAGATATTAACTGTGAGAGACTTCCCAGCAAAGATAAAGTTGAAAGAAGTTAGTATATTCTTACGTTTTGCATTTTAAAGTGTTTTAACCCTAACCTCTCTGACCTATTATCCCCCCACGTACCTTCCTGTACCCTCCGTTCCTCTGGCTCCGGTCTGCTCCATATTCCCCACCCTAACTGCCCTATCATCGGTGGCTGGGCTTTCAGCCTCTCAGCCCCGAGGCTCTGTAACTCTATCCCCCAGTGCCTTCGCCGCCTCCTCCCTTTCCTCCTTCAAGGCCGGTCTCAAGACCTTTCTCTTCAACCATGCCTTCAGCTCCCCTCTCGACTCTCTACCCCCTCCTCGCTCCCTCCCTTCTCTCCCCTCACCCTGACCATTTCCCCCCTGCTCGGGTCCTGACCCAACTGTCCAGCGCCTTGGGACGTCCTCCCGACGTGAAAGGTGCTCTATAAATGCAATCTTGTTGTTGTTGTATTGTAATTCATATAAGTAGCTTGGGTTGGAATGTCACAATAATGGTAGCAATGTGCATCTGTGTTCATGAATTGATCCAAGATCTTTGAAGACTAACAAATATTTCCATTTGATGTAACATTTAATCATGTTTGTCTTCATACAATGAGCAGACAATTTGCACCATTAAAGCTTCGCTTGGATGACGGGGTAATATTCATCAATACACCAAAGAGCTGATTACACCTAATCTTAGCCTGTAAGAGACCATCTTGTCTTAAACTTTCAAATTGTGAAAGTCAGAATTATGGAAAACTGGCTTCAAAATCAAGATTGGATTTTCAGTATTTGCAGTATTTCAAATTTGCAGTTTTGTACAGTTGTATTTGGGTGGGATATCTTAATTTATGTTGCTTTGCTTACTTCAAACGAATGAATGCCAATTTATGTTTAGGAGATTATCAGAAGGAATCTTCAAATCTTCTGTCTGGCCTCCTTCTGGCTGAGCCTTACTCCTGGACAAGTCTTATTACAAATGCACCAATTTTGCACATGCGCACCTATGCTACAAAATCAGTTATGTTAATGCTGCCTGAAGGGTAAGTGCTTAGTTTTTATTTTGACAACAAACATCTTGTCTGTTATTTAATAATGTTTTCATTAAAATTATTTGAACTTGAAGGAAATACATTTATGCCAGGTGCCAACATCAAAAGGCATCTGTACAAAAAGCACTGGTCTGGTTCGATTCCGCCTGGAGTTTTAAATGAAGTTCTGAGGCCTAAAATGGTTGACAAAAGGCATTCCCCACAAAAACAATAGATGGTGCTGCTGGTAAACCTAGAAATTCTAGTTCATTCCAACACAGAAGCATGTTTCAAGGTAACTTTTTCTATTCCAGACGCCATGTGCTTCGCTTTATACCTAGTTCTCCCTTGGGACATCATATCCAATTATGTTCCACTGTATCATTTACCTTTGGTGAGGAGGAAACAATTCTGTCAAATCTTAGCAAGGTATGTTTTCCAATAGCAGTTTCATAGCTCTCAATTTCAAACTCAGATTCATTACTGAGTTAAATAACGTTTTGATTAAAACTATTTGATTGATCAATATGCGCAAAAGTTACAAATTAATAGACGTTTAGATTTTGGTTGTTGGCTTAATAAAACAGTGTTGAAGTGCTCCAAGATAATCCTTTTTTACCTCTACTTTATTACTGTTTTTTCCTGTTTGACCTTGATTATTATCCTGTATTTTTAATACCTATGTGTCCTTAAATAAAGTACAATATATGTATGAGTTTAAAAATCACTTTGATCAGCCATGATCTTATAGAATGGTGGAATAGGCTTGAGGAGCTGAATGGCCTACTCCTGTTTCTGTGTTTTTATGTGATATTTTGTGAAATTGTATTTAATTTGGCTACTGCAAATTAGCAAGATGAAACTGATTGTATAAAATAATGAAACATTTTTATTATGAAAATACGATTGTAGCAGTGGTTAGAAAGACAATGGGGCAAAAAAGTGATTCACTGATCACAACATCAACAAATTGCTAACAGGGAAATTCTGTTAATAGACTGTGTGTCAAAGCTCACTCATAGAAGAGCTGGATTGTAGATGTTGAGGTTCCAGCAAATTAGCCATGACATACCAGCAAGATTCTCTGTTATTGACTCTTGAGTTAATTAATCCCATTGTGAATTGTCACTTTTCAATCCCAGTGATAATTAACTGGGAGACAAGTGTGGGAATTGAGTGAAAAGAATGACAGTGAATCAGCAGAGAACGAGGCAAGTAGATTGAAAGAAAATTAACCTGCTAATCCCCCAAATTGAAAGAACCAGTTTTGACAAACCTTTGGACATATTACATGGAATCCCAATTACAAACTCTATGTAAATTAAACGCTCCGGGACGCTACCCTGTGTGAAGGGCGCTATATAAATGCAAGTTGTTGTTGTTGTACATAAACAAATAATATTTAAATGGTGTACAATACCAGCATCCTGATTAGCACGAGAAACAAGCCACATTGAATAAGAATCTTCCCAAGCATGTTATGCTGTTGGATATTTACTATCAACCATTGTCAATGTTATCTGAACGTAAGCTTCAAATACACCAACGTATGGTGTGAGTATCTAGGGATTCATAGGAATATGCAGGACTGGAAAAGACAATTGTTGTCTTTCTTTCAGAAAAAGATAGGTAATAATATTTTGAAAATAATATTGTCTTATCTTACACTATGCCGATCTCCTACACGGCTCAATTTAATTCTTCACCAAATAGCTACTAGCTTCCCTTTGAAATTTTTCTGACACAGTTTATCTCCACCACCTGCATGGATAGTGTATTCCAGTCTTTGGAATGTCAGCTGTTTCTCTACTAAGATAAAACTCAGCAACAGAAGCAGGTTCCTGAGCAAAGGTTTGAAGCATGAAAAGACAATCACAGATTTGGTATTAGATTCTTAAATAAAAGGATACATAGTAGAATTCGCCATATAATTAGGAAAATGAGAGGGCTGAAACAATGATGGCCATATTAAAGTAGGAATATGTATCTTACATTGGACTATATTGCTGAACTATTCTCAAATTAGATCCGTTTAGATCTCCAGAAGTCATGTTCTAGCTGTACAGTGTCTGTTCAGGTAGCAATTGGAGTGATGTGTACAGTTCTGATCACTGCAGCACAATTTTAACTTGATAGGCCAAATGGGCTTCATCTGAGCTTTAAATTTCTATATTTTTAAAAGAGCTGCCAAGGCCCTACAACAACATTAACAGCAACATGCACGTATATAGCATCTCTCACACAGGGTAGCATCCCAGAGAGCTTAGGCCTAGAGGAAGGTAGAGAAGAGGAACAAGGATGATCCACTTTATTAGAAAAATGAACTATGAGTAGTAATAAGACAATCTAGTAGGGTTCTTCAGTCTTGAAAGGAGACATCTCGGGTAATTGCAAGATTTTAAATGGGTTTCATAAAGTAAACCAATGTCTCCAGTGTCTCCACTTACCTATCAATGTCTATTTCTATATGCTTAACCTGTTCATATCAGTGGAAAACCAGCAATTCACCCTACTCAATAAATACTGAATAAAGGAAATTCATAATACGTTTGTGCTTTTGTTTTGTGAACATCACCAGGAGAGCCTTCGATTTGTTCAGCAGGCACAGGAGATCATGAAAGCACTTGGGAATGTTTTAAATTCCTGTGGTGATGAACAGGAACTAGCCAAAGCCGAAATGGAACTGATGAAAGCTCATGTTCCTCCCAATATTGGAAAGGGACAAATGTTGGCAGAGCACATGCAGGTGAATTGACTGTTCAGTTAGGTTAGAATTGGAGAAAGAATTATTTTCAAAAAGAATTGAACACTTTTCTCTGGTTAAGCCATTCTCAAACTACTTCTTCCTGCCACCCTTCCTGGCAACCTGTTTCAGTCGTTAATTACCCTCTGCATAAAAAATATTAACAAAATGTAAAAGAACAAACAACCACGTGGTTCACCCAGGTGACTGTCAAGGCAACATTACTATCACAATCAGAGGGATTCACATTGTTCACAACTATTGGGTAGAGAACCCAAGAGATTATGTTTAGGGGATGTAGAGATAAGAATTGCCAGCTACATGGGAAAGTATCATTCAGATCACAAACACACAAAATATATTTTTGCTTCATTTTAAACAAAAACATTTTTTCATTATTATGATGGTTCATCACAACAAAATGTCACGAGTGTCACATGTAACTACTCTCAAATGTAAGGACTGTTTTGAATATAAATGTAGCAGCCATTTTGCACACAGCAAGGTCCAATGCACAGCCATTAAGCGAACGACCAATTAATCTAAATAGACGGGCATATATATACATAAATGTATGTACAGAATTTGCAAAGAGATATGTGTAGTATCACAAACAAGGGATGGTTCAATGGAAATTACAGTTTTTTTTAATATTTAATTTTCTTGAAGGTTTTGTTCTGTAAGAATTATCTGTATCACCTACAAAATACATCATCACTACACTATGCTTCACTGTAAATCCCGTGAAACGTTCTTCTAACATGAAAGGTGCTGATATCAAATTCTAGGATTAGTTTTATTTAAATCTTGTAAATTGTTTGTTTTCCATAAAATATATGTAAATAAACATTATTTTGTTGTCATCCGTTTTTCATTATAATTTTAACCATTTTTTTTCACTAGAACTTCCAAAATGCTTTTTATGCTACCTTGGCCCTTGCTCTTCGTGATTCTTACACTTCTCAAGATTTGTTTGCTATTAGAGTTATTACACAAGATTTCAGAGTAAGAAATATTTTTTCAGAAACCCTGAATTACTTTGGTAAGTGAAATTTAACATTTGAAGCTTTCTATAACAGATATGTTGTTTGCTTTTAAGTTTACTTTTATTTAATATTGATAATGTTCAGAAATAATTTTATTTTGAACCCTGATTGTTTTTCTCAATTATGAGATAACCAACTTTCATCAACTCAATGTTGACGAAACTGAAGCTGTTGTTTGGATCTCACCAGCATCTATTTGGTACTAGCTCTTTTTCCTCTTTATCCTTTCTGATAGTTTGGTCAGGCTGTATCTGATGTTAATTAATATTGCTTGAGATGCATTTCAACCCATTTCAACGTGGAGTCCTGTAGCTCAGTGGTTAGAGCACTCGCTTTGCAAGTGAGAGACCTGAGTTCAATTCCAGGCAGGGCGAAACCTTGGGCAAGTTTCCTTACTCCACACGCCTAATAATAATCCCTCCAAAAAAAAAAAAACCAAAAACAATAATTAAATTGGTCATTTTCAATCTACGACTGTTTGTGGGACATTGCTGTGCGCAATTGGCTGCCGCGTTCGCCCACAAATATACAGTCAATTCACTTTACAGTGTGTTCTGTGAAGCGCTTTGGGACGTCCTCCCGACGTGAAAAGCGCTATATCAAATGCAAGGATTATTATTATTATTATTATTATTATTAATACCAGGAAAACTTGTGGATTCAAGATAAGAGGAAGCAACCTTTAATTTAGAAAAAAGCCAGTGAAAGGGTAGTCCAGAATAATGATGGTGATATTCAGCCAGCCAGCCAACAGAAAAAAAGGCGTGAACTGTTGGAGATACCATCCTTTGGATGAGACATTAAACTGAGTTCCTTTCTGTCTGTTCAGGTGGTTGTTGAAGATCTTGTGAGCCAAATAACGTACTCCAATTGTTTATGTGGAAACTAATGTAATCATTAAATCTTGTTACTACCATTTTGCCCCCAATGTGATGTGGCTAAAAAGAAAATTAGCCTATTTGAGTAATAATATGTAGCTTCAGTATTAATTCTGAGGCCATTAATGTTTTTCAGGAGAAATTTATGATGTGCCACAAATGTGGAAAGGCAGGAGACCAACTGCTACAGAAAATAACGCTGCTATAACAATACAAGCCCAATGTCGAGGCTTTTTTGTCCGAAGACTCCTAGCTGCAAGAGTTCCAGGTAGGAAGTCAACTTGTTCAAATCACATTTTGCTTCAGAAATGAGCCGTTTTATACCTGTATCATGTGTTATTTTGATAAAGTATCAAGATGGAGTTCTTATCTATTATCCTCAATTTTCTCAACTGCTGCTTTAAACTGCCTTTGAAGACTGTGCTATTAATTAGCTAAATATTTCAAGTGCTCCGGGACTCTATCCCATGTGAAGGGTGCTACATAAATACAAATTGTTGTAAATAGAGAGAAGGATATTTGGAAGAACTGTGTCGAAACGGAGGAATGTATCAAGTCAGTGCCTCAGGGTCCTGCTTGAACACCTCCTTTTGCAAACTACATAAATGACTGATTTGCCCACTGAGAGTGTCAAATGAATCTGCAAATCCAACTGAACTGTGGAAAAAGAGGAGGAAGACAAGATGGGAATGGGAGGCGCATGTAAATCAACAAATATCTATATTGCACCCTTCAAAGTCACAGGGTTGCACACAATCAAGGGAGCAGGAGGAGGGGGAGGTGACTATAGATGTGTCGAAGAGGTAGATTTTAAAGCGCTAAAGCACTGAGACAGTACCATGCATGAGGTGTGCTATATAAATGCAAGTTGTTATTTATTTAAAGACAAAAAGAGAGTAGTCAATGTGGAAATTAAACAATGGAGGGATTTTTGGTCAGCTGGGTGTCTAAAACTTAAGGAAACCAATTGCAATGTTAAGAGTAACCAAACCAAACTGAGTTCCACCTATGCATGGCAATTTGCCTGTGTTGGAATAGAATGTGCACACTCTCCCCAGAGAGAGACACCCTGCTTGGAGGTTGGAGGTTATTTACCAACTAAAAGGCATTGTTTGCCATTATAAATACTTTCTGGCAAGCTTCCTGTTGCTCGTCCAGCTACGCCACCCTATCTGTTAGGACTTTGGGTTCCAGGGTTAACAGAAGGCAGGTGGGAAGAATCCGTGCCCCCAGTAACTGGTCTGCTCCTCGAATTCCTGCTGACAAGCCAGGCTGGCTGGACTGCCACCAGCAGTGCCTTGGAGAACATGGTTTGCCTGACTCAGAGAACCAAACTACCAACCAAGGCTGCCACAGAGGAGTGACTCATTTCCAACATTCTATTGCCAAGGTCATGATCTTGGCTACCCCAGGCACAAGAAGCCCCCACTCACTTCCTCCCCTACCTTCCCGAGGTTAGTTCCAAGTAGAGGCTCAAAGAAATCTAGGATTGTTAACTGACTTCTCACTCAGCGTATTTTAACATATGAGGGAGCAATAAAAAAGACGAACAGAATTCTTAGCTGCAATACTGAAATCAATTGAGTTAAAATATATCCTGGTCATCCTCAAAGTGTACGGTTTACCAGTTAGACTGCATTTTAAATAATGCATATATTTCTTGTTGCCACAACATAATGTTAAAGTGCAGAAGAGTGACATAGAGGATATGGCACGGAAACACGCCATTTGACCTAACCGGTATTCACCAATGTTTATACTCCACCAGTGCCCCCTCCGCTGCTATTCTCTTATTCTATGTCCCTCTATCCTTTGAGAACACAGAGACTGATGCCTGTATTAGAAGAATAAGCTCCGAGAATACATATAGTAGAACCCCTGCTATAAAATGGGGTTGTTTATAGCTCAAGTTGAAAGTGGGCCCCATTCATTGCACATGTGTACACTCAGTTGGCCCACTTCACAATACCAGATGATCCTGCGCTAAAAATGGCCAACTTCTGTCCATTACAAGAAGTGATGTCAGCAGTGACCTAATGGAAATGTGTGGGAGAAAGGATTTAGAATCTATAGTGGAGAATCCGGCACTAGTTCAGGACTAATGGTCGAATGGTTTCCTAAACTGTAATTTCTACAGTATTCATACTTGTATATCAGAAAAACAATTTGAATATCAGAAAAATAAAGGATGTTTTATTTGTCTGCACCATGTGTGCCATGATTTGTTGATTCACAACAAACCTGCATTATCAGATAATACAACTGCCTGCACCACCTGTTTACACTACAACATTCAGTCCCAAATTCTGAAGATGATTTACGCATTAATGTGCTTAACTAAATCACTATTCTAATTATTTAAATTAATCATCATGTACCTTCAACTAAGATGCCTCAGGAAGTCAGGAAAATCAAAATTTTGGAATTATGTTTGTGGTCTCTTTGATAATCTTTCAAAAAAAATGCTCAAAATGGAATTCTGAGTTTGGCAAATGTATGTCATGGTATCTCAATAAGTGTTTATTCTGCTTACAGAGTGTTAATATATTGTCTTATGTGGGTGGAAAAATAACACTGGCTCAGGCATAAATTCATTGGTATTTAGACTGCAAGATGTAGGATGTTCTTATTTGCTGTCACAAATTTTCACTGCCTTATCTTATCTGTATTGAATGTCTTCAGCAGTTCCTTTCTTTTGTTACCTACCAATTTCAGTTAAACCCAGCTTTGCGTTTTCCAAACTGATCCAAACCAAACAGAATCTGTTGTTTATGGAGGTTAAAACAATTAAGCTAAGGCTAACCCTGCTGACAACAAATCCTTGTAAATTGTTCTTTATCCTCCACAAAATAAGAACAGAACTATTTGAGGTTAGGGTTTCAAACTATTTAATTTAAGGTGTGAAATAACTTCATCGTCTTTGGGACAATATCCTTGACTTTGTTAACTCAACACATTTAAAGTTGAGCATGAGCAATCTAGAAGATAATGTAGTTGATCACTCTGCCTGCTAGACTTTCCCTATACGCATAGTGGCTTGACAGCGACGGCTTTCTCTTATCTAATAAACTCAATTGGTAATTATGTAAATTTCTATACATTCAGGTTTCAAAATTGTTCATTTGTTATTTAACTCCTTACAGTAAAATAAGGTGACTTTTCTTCAATATATATTTAAACAGTTATATGTAAAGATCTGAAAGAGATCCCCTGAAAAAATTAAAGGTTTTCAAGTTATAAGAATGCAAATTTCGATGTGGGAATGTTAACGCTCATCAATTCTGGGGCTGAATGATAGTTATAGTCCCTGGAAGGGTCATAATTGAACTTCAAAAGAGTAGCCAATTAAAGTGCCCAAAACATGTCATCCACCATAACAAGGTTATTATTGGCCGAAGGAAAGTGTCTGGAGTATATTGATACCAATTTGCATTGGAAAAACATGCAACAACAAGTAAACAAAGAGAAATGCAGCAGCAGTATAAACGGGGTCAGTAATCTGCAATGAAGTATTTCCAATTGTACTAGAGGAGGGTGTTATGGAGATTCATGTCCATTGTCCGTGGAGTGCTGTAGCTCAGTGGTTAGAGCACTCGCTTTGCAAGCAAGAAACCTGGGTTATATTCCAGGCAGGGGAAACCTTGGGCAAGTTTCCTTACTCCACACGCCTAATAATAATCCCTCCAAAACAATAATAAATTGTTCATTTTCAATCCACCACTGTTTGTGGGACACTGCTGTGCGCAATTGGCTGATACGTTTTGCCCACAAATACACGGTCAATTCACTTTACAGCATACTCTGTGAAGCGCTTTGAGATGTCAAGAAGACGTGAAAAGCCCTATATCAAATGCAAGGATTATTATTATTGTTTTGAGCTGATGGTAAGATTAGTAAGGTGCGAGGCAATGAAGGAAATAACCATAAAATTCAACACGTCAGTTTACCAGAAAAATGTGGCTGAACATACACAAAAAGTAGAATAATATGTAAAGGAGTGCAAAGGTAGAGTAGTCCTTTTTTTATTAGTTACATCAATTGGTATGCTTTGTTAACACAGGCATAAATGGTGGTTCCTTTGCTTGAGCAGGCTTTCAGTCCAAGGATAGAATGCAGATCATACTGCAATGCATGTCAAGTGTACATTGATTATTTATTTCTCAGAGGAAAACAAGTGAAAAGGGTCTGTAAAGAAAGGTTTCCAAATGGGCAAAATAGCAGAGGACTGTGTGGACAGAACCATATCCCAGTAAGAGTGAACACCTTCCGGAGAGGAGAGTGGAAAATTTTAAAAATAAGTTGTTACTGCCTCTCCAGCAACAGAACTCTTCCACACCTGATGAAATGGTCACCTTTGACCTTTCTGGGGCCAGTGGATCATTCACATCTTGAATATGGATGAACATCATACTCTGGATAATACCCACTAGTTGGTTCAAATGAGCCAGCAGAATTTTTTAAAAATAATCTATGACCTTCACAGCCACAAGCAGAGTACATCAAGTCATAAAGCAACTCTCAAATTGCTACCTTTAAACACATCATTCACTGACCTAGATACTGCTTCTGATTTCATCTCAAATGTACTATTCTGGTGGATCTTCTGCTTAATGTTAAACATTCATGAATAGGACCTTCATGACCCCATAGAAGTCACATGCCTGGGTGTCTCATCCTTTCATCCTGTTTTTTGCCACCAGAGGAGCATATGCTTATTGAAATGTTCATCCCCTCAGCCTCAGATTTGAACTAAATACTGTCCATCGGTGACATACGAACAGATAGTTTAACTGAATAGAGACCTAAATGTGACCCTCTGGATCTATTACTTACCTAATAGATCAAGCTTAGTTAGTGTTTTACAACTTTATTGACAAACAATTTATTCGAGGTGTATAATGCTGCTCCTTAGAGCATTAAAATCATTAGTAACACACAGAAAATTATTGTGCTAGTTACTTAATATACAGAGATATTTTGTCCTACTGCACATGGGAATTGTTGTTTCTAAAATAGAAACCGGGTCAGCCAACCTAAATCTGAAGTGTCAAACTGAATCAAATTTAGTTGTGCAAAATAATGAAACAATTATAATCTAGAAATATCCAAGCTATTCGGATATGAGGTTCAGTTCAATGAACTAATATTGTTACATTTTATCAAGTATTAACTTGCAACCAATCAAACATTATTTTTAGAAAAATAAACCTTTTTATCATTTCTATATGTTATGCACTGTTTAAAATTTCACAAAATAAAGCTTAGATCATTTGCTTCCCAAATTCCATATTATTTGTAACTGAATAGTCAATCAACAAATACATTTAAATTCATTTTGACAACAGAATTGATGTGGAATCGCAAGTGACTGCACAAAAAGTCCTAAGGCTAATAACATGAAGATGCACACATGAGCAGTGTAATATAATAATAATAATAATAATAATAATAAGTGTAATGAAGAAGCAACGCTTTGAGGCATGATATACAACATGTGTGCCTAAGGATTGGTTCATTTAAAATTAAACAGCATTGAGCAATATTGTGTTACGTTTTTTTGTTGTTGTTGACAGTCCCTGATGACATTTCTGCCCTTGGAAGTTGTATGAGTTCTATAAAAGAAAAACTTAGTTTGAAAGCTTCCCCATTGGCTCATTACTTCCTTGACAAAATTGTCTAACACAGCATGGGCTTTGGATCAATTCTGGAACCGCCTAAGTTGAAATGATTCAATACCATGCAGTGCATTGCTCACTGAATTATGAAGAAAATCTTCAGTATATTCTCTACTGATTACTGTTTACCATCAATAGAGTGATGGCACAAGAGAGTACCATAACTTTTAAATGTGATAATTGTACTGACTATATTCAATCCAATATGGTCTCATAGAAGTAGCTTTTCTTATGTCATTTGCATGTGCATCAGAAGTTTAAATTTAACACCAAAAAATACCTCAGGTTAAATAATGGCATTTTATGATAGCATTAAGAAAGTACAGTACTACTCGGTCCACAAAACCCAAGTATAATTTATTATTTAAATAATTATATAAAACAACAGTTTTATTATTTGAATATAATGTAATGGATCTATGAACTAAACAATCAGTTAAATATAGTTTTTGATTAGTTACTTTTCTTAACCTTAATATAGGATATTCCCTTTTAAGTTCAGTCATTCTCCAACAGAATAATTAATGCAATATTAGCACATGTATTTGCTTAAGTGGAAATGAATTAACAGTATATAGATGTGCTATGTTGTGAAACCTTTGTGACAGTCAGACTCTTGTTACATATAACATGTTGTCAACAAGGCACAATTTATAACAAATTTTATAATTTCGTTTTTTATGAATAGAATCATAAATATTTGCAGCTCATAAGGAGGTCAGTCCATCAAGTCTGTAACAACTCTCAGAGCAACCTGTTCATTCAGTCCCACTGCCCCGCCCTATTTTCTTCAAGGGTTTATCATACAAGTATCCATCTACTTCACTCTTGAAACCTGCAGTGGACTTGGCAGGGCATTCCGCTTAATTCCAATAACTGTATGAAAAACCATGATGAAACCATTATGAAAAAAGTAATTCATTCAAATAATCCTTGATTTAATACAGTGAAAGGGAGTTGGGCCTGGAATCTAGTCTCTCATTATCCAATAATATCTGTGGGGGTCAATGTTTGATAATATCAGATTGTGAACTTTTCCATTGCTGTCTTGCTTGCTACCATTTTTGAATCTTTCAAATTCATGGGTCCCTGGTCATGAATTTTGCCATCCAATATTCACAATTATTTAATATCATAAACTAGAACCTTAGTAGTCATTTTGATGTTGGTTGTCTTTTGGATAGGAAGCACCCACTCTGCAGACAGTGGTATCAGCCCAATTCTTATTATTATTATGCTCTGGACACACTTTGATGAATGTTTCTGTAGTGTATAACATGTGTGAAGCACAAAACAAAGCACAACATAAATTCCATCTATCCTGTAAAAGTATGAATGATGCTACATCCACCTAATTGCCCTACTATGGGGATGAGTGTTTGAGCTGCGGACAGGAAGATAATAATAACAATCCTAGCAATTGATGTTGCCCCTTATCACGTCATTTAGACGCCTCAAAGCGCTTCACAAAATATATTGTAAAGTGAATTTACTGTCTATAAATGGAATCTTGTTGTATTATGTGGGCTAGACATGATAACTGATTGCGCACAGTAATGTCCCACAAACATTCGTAGATTGAATAATTTTTTGGGGGGAGGGATTATTACCCCCAGAAAACGATCTGCCAATCGACTAACAATCGATGGTAGCAGCACATGTGATACTGAGCTGTGTTGCCCATCAGGGAGCTCCTGGTATCTGCCATCCACCTAGTGAGGGCTCAAACCCGTGCTTCCTGGATGTCAAATGACCAATAGTGACTGTCTTCCTAGGGGGAGGTAAGCAGGATCTCCTTGAAGCTGAACTGGCTCCAGGGTGGCGTGTTTGGCAACGGAATTTCAGAGTCAAGCCAGCCCTCTGTGGCGGTTTCAGTAGTCCAGTTCCTTAGCCAGGTGGGTCTGCAGGATACAAGGGTACTGCTGATGAGGCATTTGGGCTGCCAGTCAAGCAGTGGGAAAGCTTTGTAGTACTGTCAATGGCAAGCTGTGCAGTTTTATCTGTTTAGACCTCATCAAGACCCCAATACATCCTCTGGACTCCCCAAGCTATAGCTCTTGCCAACCTGTGCCTAATACTTTCCGGAATTGGGTAAGCATGATGAGTCCCTCCAGGGAGAGTGCACATTCCATTCCAATAAACATCTCTAGAATATCCATGTGTAGATGGGAACCAAATTCTTAGTTTGATTTGGAGTCTTTTAAGCACAGTGATGGGTTTTCGCATTTATCTGACACCTGGCTGATCAAAAAAAAATATTCGTTACCAATAAATTACGTTTAAACTTTATAAAGTTATTCTTAAATTTTAGTCCACATTTGCAGCAAAGATATTTTGTTTTTAAATGTGTCTCCAATACAATAAAAATATTCATGACTTTTCTGACGTATATTCTGTTGCATTACTCCAGGAACAAAGGATAATGAAATTCTCAAAGAATGCACACAAAGAGTTTGGCTCACACTGGAACCAAATGCTGATCAACATGGATTTATTTTACTCAGGTATTGAGCATAACTTCTGTATGAGAGAACTTGGTCTTACCTGTTACACTGAATATGTTATTTATATTAATTAAGATATCTATACTCCGTTGCAGGAAAGGATAAGAAGATGAATATGAGTACTTAAAGAAAAGCAGCAGCTTGTAAAGGGTCTTCCCTTTAGGGAAATGAAACATATCTAAAGTACAATCATTTTTAATCAATGAGCACGGTAAATGTATAGAATTAAATGATGGCTACAACAACAACAACAACAAGATTACATTTATAGAGCGCCTTTCACATTGGGAGGATGTCCCAAAGCGCTGAACAGTCAGGTGTCAGGGCCCGAGCATGGGGGAGAGGTGGTGTAGGGGTGAGGGAAGGCAGAGAGGTGGGAGGGCGATCAAAGACACGATCGAAGAGAACGGTCGAGACCGGCCTTGAAGGAGGCAACGGAGGAAGCGAGGTGAAGGGATCGTGGGATGGAGTTCCAGAGTGTGGGGCCAGCGAGGCTGAAAGCCCGGCCACTGATGGTAGAGTGGGTCGGGTGGGAGACGTGGAGCAGGCCGGAGCCCGCTGAATGGAGAAAGCGGGCGGGTTGGTAGAGTGTCAGCAGGTCAGGGAGGTAGGAGGGGGCAAGGCCATGGATGGCCTTGAAAGTGAGGACAAGGATCTTGAACTCGATCCTCTGATTTTGGATGATCTGCAGCTTGTGAAGGGAAGAGTTGGGAAGGTCGATGAGTAGGGAGCCTTGATGTGACGAATGCATGGGTAAGGGTTTCGGCAGCCTGAGCTGTGAGACAGTGACGGAGTCTGGCAATGTTGCGGAGGTGGTGGTAGGCAGTGCTGGTTGTGGCGTGGATGTGGGGGAGAAATGACAGTTCAGAGTCAAACAAGACCCCTTAAGCAAATATTTCAATTAAAAATACCATTAATCAGAATGTATTGTAATAACTCAACCTCTCTCTCTCCCAATCTCCCACATTGGTACCGGCTGAGCTGGCTCCAAGATGACATGTTTAGCAATGGAATGTCAGAATTGAGTCAATCCTCTGTGGTGGTCTTGGTAGTCAGGTTCCTAAGCCAGGCAGGTCAGCAGTACTCCAGGCCACTGCTGATGAAAGACCAGCCAGCCTGGCTTATCAGCAGAACTTGGAGGGATGAATCACTGGGAGTAGGGATTCTTGCCACTCAGTTCCTGTTAACCCTGCAAGCCAAAGTCCTAATGGGCAGGGTGGTCCTACCTTGACAAGCAACAGGATGTTTACCGTACATAGCTATGTGGTTTCAGTTTGGTGAACATCAGCTGGACTTTGCCTCTGAGTCTGTGGGTCTAATTGGTGTCTGCCAAGCTTGGACATCTTTCAGTGTGTAAAAAAAATTCAGAGTGGTGTTGAGAGTGCCAAGGAGATAACTTCCCATCTGCCTGCAAAATTCCAGTCGTGCATTTGAAAGACCAAGGATAATTATTTCATAATAATAAAACAAATGTGCACCTTTGTCCATGTTTAAACCTGTTAAAATTGTGCCACATTGTTTTTCCTTTGTCTCTTACAGACACATATTTAAAGCAAATCCAAAAATTGCAGCACAGTATCAATGTGCTGGCGATGAATGGACGAAGGCAGTATATACTGATTATGTAACAACCTACGCTGATCAATTTGCCAACTCCTGGTTTGTGCCATTCAGGTATGAACTGAAATAACTTTCAGCCATACTTTTGCTAATTTAATCTGAATGTATTTGTTTTCACTAATGTCTCTTCATATTTAATCTGAGTATATTTACAGAGCATATGATATGATTTTGAAACATAAAAATTTACAGCACCGAAGAAGGCCATTCAGCCCTTTGTACCTGTGCTGGCTGTCTTTCAAGAGCAATCCTTTCAGTCACATTGGCCTGCTCTTTCCCCCGTATCCTGTATCTTACTCCTTTTTTAGGTATTTATCTAGTTTTCTATTGAAGACTAATGTGGATTCTGCCTCAATCACTGCTCCCAGCAGGGCATTCCATATCCTAACAACCCTGCATGAAAAAATATTCCTAATCTCCCTATTTGTTCATTAAATTACGCACATTACATCTTAACCTTAATAAATGGTCACTGCATTCCACAGCAGGAAAAATTGGAGTAAATTGAATAAGACAGTCCAAGTCCTTCATTTTGTGCCTTATCGTTTATCCCACACATCAAGAAAGGTAGCAACGATATATCCAAACAAAAACAGGGGGATATGGACGATGGGATTAGGAGAGGTGAAGGCTTCTATGAATTATAAACACAAGTGCGAACTAGTGGGCCTAACGGCTGTTGCATTCTATGTAATTCTACGTATAAACCTCCCCATGAAAGCATGGAGAGTAACCAGTGTCTGTGAGGGGGTTAAAATAACGTCATGAACCACAAGAATGAAGTTAAACTGGTTGAAAATTTTGAATTGATTCAAGTGATTTAGTCTCAGGTTTAGGATTTATTTCAATTATACCAATCTTTATTTATACCAATTTATAAATTATATCAATTTTAATGTTTATGCAGAAACTTTTGTAATCAATTTATATGGAAATTAATTAACAACTGCATTATAATTATTTTTATACATTTATCAAGAACCCATTATCAGTTGACTCAATGAAATTTTTATACCCAATATATTTAATAATTGACATGTAGTAGTATGATGGTAAACATTTATTCCAAATCAGAAATGACACCATTTATTTCCTCTATTTTGCTATTTGTGCTTCTGTGACTTCTTTGCCATTTTCTTTCACAGAGAGGTGTTTTATGCCTCTGAGGATGTGCTGGTGGTGCCCAAAGTATATTGTTCAATACCAATCTGTGCTCTCCATGTTATCAATAATGACACAGGAAAGGAATTTTCCAAAGTGTTTCAAAAGACAACACCCTTTATATGCACTAAAAATAAGGTAGGTTTAATGGTTTTGGAGATTGCCTTTTGATTTTTAATTCATGTTTTGACAGTGCAGAGATTTTCTTTAAATTAACAAAATGTAGTCATGATTAAAACTGTAAAATGTTTATTTATCTACATTGTGCAGAAGGGCTATACATTCGTGGCTGAAGCCCGCACACTAAATATGCCGCTTTTGAGTGGTAAATGGAAATTGCGCCTTATTGGTTGTCAGACTCCTCTCCCTACTCCTGCAAGAGATGTGAATGGTAACTTTTCAGTGAGGGAAATTAAGGACTACTATGTAACAAATAAAAAATGCATTATCTTCAGGTAAGAACAAAAATGTACTTTGTATTTTAAAATTGAAATCACTAATGCCGCGTATATAACTGCACAGTTCATGGAGAATTGCTATGAAGCTGCCAATGTCACTGGGATGGCTTCAGACAGCTCGCACTAGATTAAGTATTTTGAAATGATTGTGCAATCCTTCTACTCTGGAGGGAGCTGCCATCCAATCAGTTTCAACTTCTTTGCTGCCAGTTTCATGGAAAGCAACAGAAATGAACTCAGCTGATTAATTAAATGACATAAAACAATTAAATAAAGTAAAACATTGTACTTGTTCTGGCAATGTTATGGGCCTCCAGTCAGCTTCAATGTATTGAGAAACATAATACAGTACAATTTACGTTTTATAGCGTATTTCACATCGGGAGGGTGTATTAAAGTGTTTCAGGTGCTGGGTAAACACCCGAGCGGGCAGTGGGAGCCAAGGGAAAGATGACTGAAAGCACAGGCAAAAGGATAGCTTTGGGACTTGCCTTGAAAGAGAGGAGGGAGCAAGTTGGAGTAACACTGGGATGGAATTGAAGAGAGCAAAAAATCTTTTTTCAGTTTGGAAGCACAATAAGCACTCAATCAAACAATAAAACAGGTGGTTGCTTTTGAAGGACGTTAAAATAATGCCTCAGTTTTCTTCCAAATCTCCTGGGATATCTGAAATACTGAAGTACTGTACAGTTTTTGTCAATGCAATGTTATTCATTAAACTTAACATTGTTTTATGAGCCTGTAGGTACCAAGTAAAAGTGATGGCCAATCACATGGTGACAATTCAGACACAGACCTCCAAGCCCGAAGTATATATTAAGCTGCTCATCTTTAATAAAGGGCAACAAGTAGCTGCAGCAACTGGGAAAGGACAAGCTATCATTCCTGCATTCAAATTTTGTAAAAATACAAAACTTTCCATTTCTCACTGTAAGTATGCTATCAGAATCCTACAGTTACTCTAAGGTCCTATGCATATTTAGGTCCTGTTATTTGAGGTGAAAAATTATTGCTTTATCTGAACTACAACCCTACCATCAGTCACTTCAAAAAATAATAAGATCTTTACTTTTTTTTATAGTCCTGGAGTGGAGTCCTGTAGCTCAGTGGTTAGAGCACTCGCCTTGCAAGCGAGACACCTGGGTTCAATTCCAGGCAGGGCGAAACCTTGGGCAAGTTTCCTTACTCCACACGCCTAATAATAATCCCTCCAAAACCAAAAACAATAATAAATTGGTCATTTTCAATCTACGACTGTTTGTGGGACACTGCTGTGCGCAATTGGCTGCCGCATTTCGCCCACAAATGTACGGTCAATTCACTTTACAGTATATTCTATGAAGCATTTTGAGACGTCTAGAAGACATGAAAAAGCACTATATCAAATGCAAGGATTATTATTGGTTATTATTATTATAAAACAAAAAACAGATAACATTTGATTAACCTTCAGTCCACCAGCAATTGCAGAGACATAACTGCTCCTCTGGGCTAGGATTTAAAATTCAGCTCCTCACCCGTGATGTTGAAATATTGGATATCACTTTTTTCTAAGAAAAATAAAAAGTAGTAAGTTTAATAAATAATAAGTGGGGAATATTAATGTATCTATTAGGAAAAAATACTATTCAGAAGTTATTGGAAGCATTATTGCTGTAATATTAAGCTGGAAACATGAAAATAAACACAAAGTACAATTTATCTTCCCCCTTTGTTCCCTTTTCTGCCTTCCTCATTTTCTATCTTTCATAGACACTGTATATTGTTTTAATTTATATTTTTACAAATTACATCTTATTTTATTTCTCTGCCCTAATACTTTGTGTGTTTTTAAACTGAAGCTGATTACATCACAATATACTTTTTTTTACCCATAGAAATGTAGAAATATACGGCACGGGAAAAGGCCATTTACAGCCTTTACGTGTCTGTGACGGCTATTTGAAGAGCAAGTCTTTCAGTCTTATATGCCTGCTCTTTCCCTGTACGCTTGTAGTTTATTCTTTTTTAGGTATTTATCTAGTTCTTTTTGGAAAACTAATGTGCATTCTACCTCAACCACGGCTTCTGACAAGGCGTTCCACATCCTGACTACCTGAAAAAAATTATCTTAACTTCCCCATTTTCTCATATGGAGCCTGTAGTTAGAGCACTCGCCTCGCAAGTGAGAAACCTGGTTTTGATTACCAGCAAGGAGAAACATTGGGCATGTTTCCTTACTCCACATGCTTCTGTTTACCTAGCAGTAAGTAGGAACCCGGTTGTTAGTTGATTGGGCATTACTTTTCTGGGGGTAATAATACCTTCAAAAAAAATTTAAAATCTTAGTTTGATCACTTAACTCATGACTGTTCTTGGGACACTGCCGTGCACAATTGGCTGCCACGTTTCGTCCACCAAACATACAGTCAATTCACTTTACATGCTGTATATTCTGTGAAGTGTTTTGGGACGTCTAGAAGACGTGATAAGGCACTATGTCAAATGCAAGGATTATTATTTATTAACTACCTTAAATTGATGCCCTCTTGTCCCTATCAATTCTAACTATTTTATGTTTATTCCTAGCTTCCTCAAGTAAGAATCAGCATGTTCTCAATCCTACACCAGTAACTAAGAGAACAAGAACTAATTCAGCGGCAAATCTAAGGATTGGAAGAACTTCACCTAGGACCGTAATTGGACAAACGTCAAAAGTATCAGTGGAAGAGGATTCTCCACTTGTAGCACCAGAGAGGGAATTATCACCTGAGGAAGAGGTAAAACTCAAAAATGGAACAAGTAATAAAGTTATTTTTATTTATCATGTTCTCTTTGTCCATTAGGATCTCAAACTACTGTAATATTTTCAAATGAAAATAAGTTACTTGTTAGCATGTAAAAAATAGAATACAGTATTATGTAGATAAAATGAAACACCTAAATACAGTTTGATAATAATGATAATTCTTGAATTTGATATAGCATTTTATCATGTTGTTGAAACGTCTCAAAGCACTTCACATGAGATGCTATAAAATGGTGTGATTGTGTGACAGTTTGTGGACAAATATTGCAGCCAATTTGTACCAGCTATGACCCACAAACAGTGAATGACCAATTTAATTTGGGGGATTGTTGCTCAGTACACCAGAAAAAACTCCCTTTTCTTTTTGAGCACTGACATGGACAGGCAGACAGGATAGTTTAACATCTCATCTGAGGAACTGCATCTCTGACTATGCAGCACATCCCCAACACTGCATTGAAGTTTAGACCAGACTATGATGAGAACACTTAGCAGAATTCAATCCACTTGTTTATAGAATCATGAAAAAGTTACATCAAGAAGAAAGCCATTTGGCTCATTGGGACTGTGGTGGTGCTGGCTTTCCCACTAGAGCTATTTACTCAAATCCCAGTTTGGCTAGTTCATCCCATATCTTAGCACTCTCATATCATGATCAGAAGCTTGTGAGTTCAACTCGCCCACAAAGTCCTGAGCTCATAGTCGAGGCTGATACGTCTTTGGATTACTGGAGAATACTGCTTTTTCAAACTTGCCTTTGTTTGGATGAGGCATTAAATCGAGATTCTGTCAGAATATTATTCAGGTGGACAATAAAGACCGCATGATGATGTTCAAGCATAATCATCTGAATGAATTGGTCAAAATGTCTACAGCATTTGCCTGCAAGAAAGTTGTTACTTGTAACTAATTAATATTATTTTGATGTAATAGGCATTATAAAAATACAAGTTCTTTCATTAATTCTCTTGCTCTTTCCCCATAATCTTTAACATTATTGTTCTTCATTTTTGATATAGTCAATACCCTTTTAAATACTATTATCATTATCACACTCACAGGTCAGGATTCGAGACACAGCTTATTTATCCACCCTCCCGGGTCCTTGGGATTCCTATAGCATAGTGATTAGTGCATTTGCCTTGCGAGCGAGAGGACCTGGGTTCAATTCCTGGGTGGGGTGAAAGCTTAGACAAGTTTCCTTACTCCACATGCTTCTGTTTACCTAGCAGTACGTAGGAGCCAGGTTGTTAGTTAATTGGCGGATTGTTTTTCTGGGGGTAATAATCTCTTAAAAAAAATTATAATTTGGTCACTCATTCCACGACTGTTTGTGGGACACTGCTGTGCGCAATTGGCTGCTGCGTTTTGTCCACAAAATATACAGTCAATTCACTTTACAGTATATTCTGTGAAGCGCTTTGAGACGTCTCAGTGATATGATAAGGTGCTATATCAAAAGCAAGGATTATTATTATTATTATCAAATTGGCTTCAACAGCCATTTTGTTGCATTCCACCTTCTATCTGTATAATTTCTGTCTCTTATTTCAGCATCTCTATCATAATAAAAATAATAATCCTTATATTTTACATAACCTCTTTCACGTCAGGAGGACGTCTTTTTGACTTGAGAGGATATTCTTTGTATAACACTCTCACCTTATCTCTATCCTCTGTTTAAAAGCTAATTCTAGTTTGGTGTGTTAAAAAGTTTTGTCTGTAAAATGGTTACCTCCTGTGTAACTCTGAAGACATATCATCCAATATGAGTAATGATGTACCTAATTACTGTTACTAATTATGTAGCTTTTAGTTTTCTTATTTAATCAGAAACGACTCATGACAGATGTAGTTGCATTATTTGTTAATTTCTAAAATTATCAGGATATGTGCAATTGGTTAGTGAAACGGTATCTGGTCAAATACTTCCTCGTTATTTAAAATCCATTCTCCTGCAGGGGCACAAATACATCATTCAAGGAGAAGTTCTTAACAATAGCTGGACCTTAACTAAAAACGAAATGGCTTTTATTGAAGAATTGCAAAACTTGGACAAGAATGAAATCAAAGGTAAAACGAATGCTACCATTCTATTCATATATCAAGATTAATGGCAGATTAGATTCCACTTAATGTGCCCATAAAATAATGGAACTTGCCATATTAATATTTTTATGACATTTAAAGAAAAAGAACCACGTCCCTTTATTTTGCGACAACCTTATTTTTTTGGTTGTCACTTTATTGTGTGACAACCCACATTGACATGGAGCCCCAGGAACAAACAAGTTCAACAAACAATTCTACAACCAATGCTTTAGCAATTTAGGAATGCACAGAACTGGAAATAAAATATTGTGATCTAGCCAACCATTTTCCAAGTTTGAGAAATACTGTACCCTTCAATCACTTCTTTCACCAAACATCTATCCAGCAATGTTTTGAATTTGCAGAATTCAAATTGTGGTCAAATTTGCAATTTACATGTTCATGGTTTTGAACTGCTGATTAGTGGCTTGGTACAAAAAGAATTATAGCCATAAGTGCAGTTGTTAGAAGGATCTCGCAACATATTGTAGTCTGTTTGAGCTATCAGAATGAGCAAACTTGGAAGCCTCTTTGCAAATTTACAACAACAACTTGTACTTATATAGCTCCCTCCATGCAAGGTAGAGTCTCAGAGAGCTTAACAGTGGCGGAGCTTGACTCAGAGCCGGGGGGTACGGTGGCCGTAAGCACGGTCGAAAATAAAGTTGTTCAGGCAGGACTTGAAAAGGGGGAGAGAGGGATTGAGGGAGAGTGTTCCAGTGTTTCAGGCACAGTGGCTGAAAGTGCAACCTCCAATGGTGGGGTGGAGGGTGCGAGGGTCAAGCAGGAGGTCGGTGCCAGTTGAGCGGAAGTGCCAGGTGGTGGATTGGGCAGTGGGGAGGTCGGAGAGGTAGGGAAGTGCCAGAGAGTGAAGGGATTTGAATCCGTTCGGTGATGGGGAGCCAGTGGAGCCTGGCCAGAACTAGTAAGATGTGGGTATACAGTTTGGTCCGGGTCAGTATGCAGGCAGCAAAATGAGCTGGATCTTTTCAATAGTGGAGCTGGGGAGACTGGCAAGGTGTGCGTTTGATTAATCCAAGCGGGAGATGACAAACGCATACGCAAGGCTGCATTTGGGGTAAGGTACGGTTGGAGGCTGGCAATGTGGCAGAGGTGGAAGATGGCGGTCCTGGTCAGGTACTGGATGGGGGGAGGAAAACAGCTGGGGTTCAAACCGGACGCCTAGATTGTGCATTGTTTCAGTGAGTCTAAATTTAGAATTAATTAGGAGAAATTCTTTCATAATCAGTACATTTATGTAAAAAAACTATTCCATTCCGAGTCAGTCCATTTTCCAGTTAAATCTGTACATAATTTGGAATATTTCTCATTCTAGCTTCATTGCATACTTGCTTCTGTTTAACGAAGCAATAGTGCCATCTAGTGAATTGATTTGAATATCATCCAGAATTGTCCTCGCTCATTCCTACCACTGTTGCATTCTTCCTCCAGCTCCATCATAAGCAACAAAAGAGGGATGAACTTTAGGGTTGAATAGTCTTTTGTCATCCCTGACTTTCTCATCTTCTTTGTGATGAAAAAATACCTGCTTTTTAAAAAAAAGACCGGCAGCATGGCAGATCCCTAGTGTTAGCAGAATGAACTACTAAAAGTCTTGAATAAACATAATTAACAAATTTCCTGCTTATAGATGAATATACCAATTTACAATACAAATTACAACACAAATTTACAGTTGTGTGGAGCCTTTCACGTCGGAACCCGAGCAGGGAGTTGGGATCAGGGAGGGTGGAGGGTAGGGAGGGTAGGAGGATGGCTGAAGACGCATTCGAAGAGGAGGGTCTTGAGACGTGCTTTGAAAAAGGCAAGAAAGAGAGGGAGACAAAGGTAATGTGGGACAGTTCCAAAGGGTTGGGACAGAGATGCTGAAGGCCTGACCGCCGATCATGGGAGGTGATGGGTGGTGGACTTGGAGCAGGCCAGAGCCTGCTGAGTGGAGGGAGCGAATAGGTTGATATGGAGTTAGCAACAACAACAACAACAAAATTACATTTATAGAGCACCTTTCATGTCGGGAGGACATCCCAAGGCGCTGGACAGTCAGGGGTCAGGACCCGAGCCTGGGGGAGTGGTGGAGTAAGGGTGAGGTAAGGCAGAGAGGTGGGAGAGTGACTGAAGGCACAATCGAAGAGGAGGGTCGTTTCGCCCACAAATATACAGTCAATTCACTTTATAGTATATTCTGTGAAGTGCTTTGAGATGTCTAGAAGACGTGAAAAGCGCTATATCAAATGCAAGGTTTGTTATAGTATTTACTATAGAATGGCCTTGAAGGAGGCAAGGGAGGAGCAAGGCGAAGGGACCGTGGGATGGAGTTCCAGAATGTGGGGGCAGAGAGGCTGAAAGCACGGCCACCAATGGTAGAGTGGGTCGGGTGGGAGAAATGGAGCAGACCGGAGCCCGCTGAATGGAGGGAGCAGGCAGGTTGATAGGGAGTCAGCAGGTTAGAGAGGTAGAAGGGGGCAAGGCCATGGATGGTCTTGAAAGTGAGGACGAGGATCTTGAATTCGATCATCAGAGGGATGGGGAGCCAGTGGAGTTGGGCGAGGGTGGGAGTGATGGGGCCATGAAGCCTGGTGCGTGAGAGTACCTGAGCTGCAGAGTTTTGGATGGTCTACAGCTTGTGAAGGGAAGAGTTGGGAAGGCCAATGAGGAGGGAATTTCCATAATCAAGCCTTGATGTTGACGAATGCGTGGGTGAGGGTTTTGCAGCCTGAGGGGTGAGGCAATGGCAGAGTTTGGCAATGTTGTGAAGGTGGTGGTAGTCAGTGCCGATTGTGGCGCAGATGTGGGGGAGAAAGGACAGTTCAGGGTCAAACAAGACACCCAGGTTCCTGACTGGCTTAGTGAGGTTGAGTGTGCAACCGTGGAAGCTGATGCTGCCAGCACCTGAGGTAAGGAGGCGCTGGTGTGAGCCAATCAGGAGGGCCTCGGTCTTGCTGACGTTCAGTTGGAGAAAGTTGTCCCTCGTCTAGGACTTGATGTCGGACAGGCAGTTGGTCAGGATGCCAGTAGTCCTGGAGTTCAGGGTGGAGGCAGAGAAATAGAGTTGGGTGTCATCTGCATACATGTGGAAATTTACCCCATGTCTGTGGATGATGTCACCTTGGGGGAGCATGTAGAGGGTGAAGAGGAGGGGACCGAGGACAGAGCCCTGAGGAACACCGCACAAGACAGCGCGGGGGCTGGAGGAGAACAACAACAACAACAACAAGATTCCATTTATAAAGCGCCTTTCACGTCAGGAGGACGTCCCAAGGCGCTGGAGAAGCCATTTGCAGAAACGAAGTGGAGGCGGTGTGAAAGGTAGGACCTGAACCAGTCAAGGACAGAACCTTGAAGGTTGAGGTGGGAGGAGAGGAAGTGGAGGAGGATTGAGTGGTCCACAGTATCAAAGGCGGCGCAGAGAGGTCGAGGAGGATGAGGAGGCAGAGGGAGCCCTGGTCACCCATGCAGTGGGCAGCGCGGAAATCCAATTGGAGGGGCTCAAGGAGGGAGTGGGAGGAGAGGAAAGAGTAAAGCTGGGAGGCAACTTCTCTCTCAATGACCTTAGACAGAAAAGGGAGGTTGGAGATGGGCCGGTAGCTGGATAGCTGTGATGGGTCAAGGGAAGGTCACAAAAGTAGGAAGGAGCAAGGCCGTGGAGGGCCTTAAAGGCGAGGACAAGGATTTTGAATTCTATCCTCTGAGGGATGGGAAGCCAGTGATAGGATCACGGAGAGTACACAAGCTGCTGAGTTCTGGATGATCTGCAGCTTGTGGAGGGACGAGTTGGGAAGCCTGACAAGCAGGGAGTTGGTGTAGTCGAGCCTAGATGTGATCCACTTTTAAACGGAATTGAGAATGTAAACTCAAAACAACAATTTTTAACCTTGACAACCAGACAAGAAGGCATGGATCTAGGGCTGTAAAAGGTAATTTCAGGACAGAAAATGGGAAGTATTTATTTACCAGGAGGTAATGAACAACTGTACAACAACAACAAGATTACATTTGTATAGATTACATTTCACATCGGGAGGACGTCCCAAGGCGCTGGACAGAGTACAGCATTTCAGACCCGAGCTGGGGTTGGGGGTGTAAGGGAGGGGAGGGGAAGGGGGGTGGCCGATGGCATGGACGAAGAGGAGGGTCTTGAGGGGAGACCTGAAGGAGACTAAGGAGGGGGCGAGGCGGAGTGACTGGGGATGGAATTCCAGAGGGTGGGGGCAGAGTGGCTGAAGGCTCTGCCGCCAATGGTGGGGCGGGTGGGTCGGGGACGTGGAGCAGGCCAGAACCGGCTGACAGGAGGGAATGGGCGGGTTGGTAGGGGGTCAGTAGATCGCAGAGGTAGGGTGGGGCAAGGCCATGGAGGGCTTTGTATGTGAGGACCAGGATCTTGAACTGGATCCTCTGAAGGGTAGGGAGCCAATGGAGTCGGGCGAGAGTGGGGGAGATGGGGTCATGGAGTTTGGTGCGGGAGAGGACACGGGCTGCAGAGTTCTGGATTATCTGCAGCCTGTGGAGGGAGGAGTTGGGAAGGCCGACAAGCAGGACGTTTGCATAGTCGAGCCTGGAGGTGATGAAGGCATGAACAAGAGTTTCAGCGGCTTGTAATGGGTTATTATTTTCCTTGAACATATTCAAGACTGAGATAGATAGATTTCTTATTGCAAAAGGGATTAAGGGATATGGGGATAAGGCAGGGTCAGGTTATTAGCTGGAGTTAGATTAGAAGATCAACCATGATTGAATGATGGGGCAGGCTCGAAGGGCCGAATGGCCTACTCCTGCTCCTACATGTTATGTTATGTTATTAGGAAGGCGAGTTAAGGCCAGGACACTGGATCTTTTTTTTTAAAAAAAGCATGATGCTGTGTTAAGATGGCACTATAGAAGAATGAGATAAATTTGGCATTTTCTGTAACTCCAATGCTTTGCATCAAATAGCTTAGTAATTGTTTTTCACTCTTTGAGTAAAGAAGGTTCTATATTGGCTTTTCTGGGCTGAGCCAGGTGTCTGCCACATGTGGAAACCCATTACAATGTTTAAGCGTCTCCAAACCAGACAAAGTTCCATGCATGCCACTACACATAACGTTTCCCTATATCTGGAATGGATTGTACTATCATTTTACGTGGATCATTTAACTAATGCTATGTTGTAATGCATTTGGAGTTCTTTTGTTAAGAAATCTGAAATTGACACTTTACCACTGTAACAGCATCAGGTTGCAACTTTGTAAAGAAATAGAATTCTTTTAAAAGTTGCAATTATTTTGCCAGATGAAGTGGTTTTAAGAGCATTGCAGCAGATTGGTTGGCAGGTTTTTATATGGTTCAGTATTTAGCCAGCGTACTTGAAAATAGAAACATTCTACATCACATCCTCTTCAGCGATACAAAACCCAGAGGAGCTAGTGAGATGAGAAAAATAAAGAATAAGTGTTGCTGTGTCTTCTATTCTTGCATCACATGTCTTGCCAACAAACTTAAAAATACGTGAATGTTGTTGTTCTGATGTCAACTTTGTATCTAGTTTTTGGACAAAAGTTTGAGGAACAGCCTTCTGCAATAATTATGGATGTGCGTCCAAGCTTTGAAAGCAGAGTTTCCAAAAAATCAAAAGGAGGAAAAGAGAAAGTCATATCAAGACCAGAGTCTCGGGTATGTTCCCATTATTCTTTTTCTTTCTGTTTTGTCAGACTGCTCTTATTTCAGATGTAAATTTTGTGGTTGTTTATCTACCAAAAACGAGCATGGGATAATTATGAAAGGTCACTGATGATTTCTAAAGGAATTGTGAAACTTGTTGGAAAAAGCTCAGTGTGTCCTGCCAGTAACTGATTACAGCAGCCAGTGCCAAAGAACATTAGAAATCCTTTCAAATAATATGTAAATAAGATGAAATAGTAATTAATATTGAGAATGGACCAATAAGCTGTGGAGAATGTATTGTAGAAGAGAATGGTGCAGTGATAGGTTTGCTTTGATGAGCATGCATTACATATCCAGGTGGACACTCTGGATCCAGTTCTGTAAATCAACTTCACTTGCTCCTGACACCCAGTTCCTGAGATAGACATAACCTCTGGTTCTGTGGAATATCTGATGGGGCAGGTGCCTGATAGAAGCAGTCCCTCATTAATTCCTTAATGGCCCCCAATTCCTTTACCACCACCACTCTCCCACCCTTTCCTATTCCTCCATTCAATACTTCATCTTGAATATAGTGGCAAAATAAGAAGATAGCAGGAAAATAAGAGATTTAAAGATGTTGATGGCAGGCATAATTAAACAGATGTATTTTAGGAGATTTTGCCGGATTAAGTGGAATTAAGAGCATTGTTGCAGATAGGTGTATGGGAGTGGAGTTAAAGATTCAGCCACTCATGGTGTAGAAGATAGAAATGCAGAATAAGCAACAGACGTCAGAAGAGTACCATTTGGTTTGTAGTGCTGGAGAAGATTGCAAGGTAGGGTAGGAGGGATGAGTCCTGAGGTTAACTTTATGTGGGAGTGAATTTTGGCTACAAGCTTTGGATCTTGGGAAGCCAGCAATAATATTTTGGAAAAATGTACCTTTATGATGACAAAGCATGCCTAAGGATTTCAGCAGCAATGAGAGGACAGTGAACATGAAACATGGTGCTCACTGAGCGGGTGGGTCTGAGGGTTTGAGGAGCCGCAGAGGTAGGATGGGGCATTAATAAAATAATAAAAATATAACTAATTTTAAGACTGTAAAATATATTTTTTTACTGCTATACCTCTATTTAATTTATGCAACCAAATCTGCAGTAATCCATGTGCTTCATTTTGCCATTTCTGAGTAACAACAAGATTACATTTGTATAGCGCCCTTCATGTCAGGAGGATGTCCCAAGGTGCTAGACAGTGTGCAGCAGACCCGAGCTGGGGTCAGGTGGGGGAGAAGGGGAGGGGAAGGGGGGGTGGCCGATGGCATGGTCGAGGAGGAGGGTCTTGAGGCGGGACTTGAAGGAGGCTAAGGAGGAGGCGAGGCAGAGTGACTGGGGGATGGAATTCCAGAGGTTGGGGGCAGAGTGGCTGAAGGTTCTCTTGCCAATGGTGAGGCGGGTGGGTCGGAGGACGTGGACCAGGCCGGAGCCGATTGAGCGGAGGGAAAGGGCAGGCTGGTAGCGTGTTAGGAGGTCGTAGAAGTAGGGTGGGGTGAGGCCATGAAAGGCTTTGTAGATGAGAACCAGGATCTTGAACTGGATCCTCTGAAGGATAGGGAGCCAATGGAGTCGGGCGCGAATGGGGGAGATGGGGTCACGGAGTTTGATGCGGGAGAGGACATGGATGCAGAGCTCTGAATTATCTGCAGCCTGTGGAGACAGGAGTTGGGAAGGCCGACAAGCAGGGCGTTTGCAAAGTCGAGTCTGGAGGTGATGAACACATGAACAAGAGTTTCAGCGGCCTGAGGGATGAGGTAGTGGCGGAGTTGGGCAGTCTGTCAGGACAGCAGTGGTCCTGGAGTTGATGGTGGAAGCAGAAAGATAGAGTTGGGTGTCATCCGCATACATATGGAAGTTGTCCCCATACCTGCGGATGATGTCACCAAGGAGGAGCATGTAGATATTAAAGAGGAGAGGGCCAAGGACAAAGCCCTGGGGGACACCAGACGTGACAGTGCGAGGCTGGAGGAGAAACCATTGGAGGCAACAAAGTGGAGATGGTGAGAGAGATAGGAATCGAACCAGGCAAGGGCGGGTCCGCGAAGATTAAGTAAAGAGGAGAGGCAGTGTATGAGGATGGAGTGGTCGACAGTGTCAAAGGCGGCAGAAAGGTCGAGGAGGACAAAGAGGCAGAGAGAGCCCTGATCACAGATGCTCAGAATGTCATTAGTGACTTTGACCAGGGCTGTTTCCGTGCTGTGGGCAGCACGGAAGCCGGATTGGAGGGGTTCAGAGAGGGAATGGCGAGAAAGAAAGGAGCGGAGCTGGGACACAACGACTCGTTCCAGGACCTTGGAGAGGAATGAGAGGTTAGAGCTGGAGAGAAGGAATGGGTCCAGGGAAGGTTTTTTCAAGATGGGGCTGATGACGGCTGTTTTTAGTGGGGTGGGAACTGAACCAGTGGAGGTTGATGACGTCGGACAGGAAAGGGGCCAGAAGGTGGAGCTGGGAGATGAGGAGAGAGATGGGGATGGGATCGAGGGAGCAGGTGGTGAGTTTGAGTTTGCGGACAGTCGTGGTGAGGGAGAAGGGAGAGATAGGGTCGAAGGAGGATAGGGGAGGAATGGGTGGGGTGGTGGGTCATGAGGGAGAGATGGTGTGGGGGTGGCTGTGGGCAGGGCAGAGGTGGCTAAATGTATCTCCTCGATTTTGGATTCAAGGAAGTCCAGCATCTCCTCACAGTTGGAGTTTGAGGAGAGGATGGGCGAGGCATGGGAAGGTGGACGGAGGAGACGGTTTGTGGTGGAAGAGAGAAAGCCTGGGGTTGTCCTTTGCCTCCAAGATAGCCTTGGAGGAGAAGGAGGATTTGGTGGAGGCAAGAGCTCAGCGGTAGGTCTTGGTGTGGTGAAGCCAAATCTGCCGATGGATTAGTATTGCTCCAATTGCAAGCCAGGCCAGAAAGCACAATCGCTAATAAATCAAAAAATGCCCAATTATCACCACTATGTTACTAAAACTACATTAAGCATCTATTAAGGGTTTTAACCTCCACTCCCTTAAAGCACAGATGCATGCTGCAGAACCCACCTGGCTTAAATTGAACTTAATGGTCCATCGGCAGATCTGGCTGGACCTTATCAAGTTCTACCACTCCACCCTCGCCTCTGCTAAATCGTCGTTCTATTCCAAGACAATCTTGTGGGCCAACGATAACCCCAGGCTTCTCTTCTCCATCACCAACCGGCTCCTCCGCCCACCCTCTCAAGCCTCACCCGTCCTCACCTCCAATGCCAACTGCAAGACGATGCTTCCTCAAGTCCAAAGTTGAAGGGATTCGCCCAGCTGCCTCTGCCGTTCCGTCTACTACCCTCTCCCCATCTCCCCCTTTCACTCTAGCCCCAACCCATCCCTCCCAGCTCCAAGACTCTGAGCGTCCAGCATCTTGGGACGTCCTCCCAACGTGAAAGGCGCCATACAAATGTGATGTTGTTGTTGTTGTTGTTGTTAACACATTCAATACATTTCCCGAACAAATAATTTGAGACTATTTCTTTTATCATTAACACTTTCATCGCTACATAAAAGCAACATGCACACCTCAGTATACAATTGCTCTGTTGCATTAACAAAGTGCATAAAATATTTTTGTTCCTATGGGGGAGGAGTGACAACACAGTTAAAAATAAAACTAGATTTTTCAGTTTGATTTAGGCTATCGAGAAAAAGTTAACTATAATGCAGTTAATGTAATCTATTTTAACAATGCTTTGCTTAATGCAGCAACTCTCTGGACTCAGTAAAATCTTTCATGCAATAGCTTTCAGTGCAAGATGATCATCATTCTTTTGACTATGAAACAGCCTTTGAGTAAAAAGAAGTTGTCACATTTTAATGCTCCAGTTATCTAAAAGTGTTGTTTGTTGTTTTCAGGTGAATCAGCTTGATTTTAATAAGCCCCACTACATAATGCATATCGTCAGCGACCAGAATGAAGCTGACATGATTGAAATTAAGAAAGACAGCGAAAGGGTGGATGAAATCCGTGCTATGAAACAAGCTTGGGAGGATACGGAACCAGGAAGGGCTCTCAAAGTACAGTAATCATTTTCAAAGTAGAATTTAGTGATTTTAATGATGTCTCCCCCCCCACCCCATTTTTGCCAATTATTATTTTGCTTAATTCTGCAAACATCCCCCATTTTTTATCAATTTATCTGTAAGTATATCACAGTCTGAGAAAAATTATTGATTTTTCATTTCGTTAAGGGTCTGAGAGTAGTTTTTTGAGACAAAACACGGCAGCCAAATGTGCACAGCAGTTTCCCACAAACAGTTGTGGATTGAGTGATCATTTTTTTTAAGGAATATGCCTATATTCCGACAACATAAGGAGATTCCAAAAGTGGTATTTTCATTTTTAGATAGGATTAAGGATTGTTTTATGGACCTTAAAATGTTATATGTTACAATGCTAATTTAAAATGTTTACCCCAGGCCATGCAGTCCCGTTTGAAATACATAAAAAAATCCTCATTACAAGAATCTGATAATATTGAGTCGATCGGTGAGGAACCTGTTGAGGAGGCCGCAGAAGAGGCCGCTGAGGACCTTGCTGAGGAAACCACTGAGGAATTTGATGAAGCTGATCAGGAAATTGAAGAAACGAAGGATTTGCCTGAAACAGGTATAATTTAGTTCTTCACAACAAGTCACTTGTAAAGAATACTCGATCTCATACTCTCACACACGAAAGGTACAATATAAATTCTATGGTAAAATTATTGTGGGATTTAGAGCTGAACCCAATTCCTTCTAGTCAGCCCTTCCAGCAAGGATCTCTTAGCTCAGGGAGCACCTAGGCCAATTGTCGTACTCCAATGGATGCCTAATCAGAACACCAAACTCATCACAAATCAGGATTTGAAATGGCATCCCTCTTATGTGCACGACTTGATTTTTCATTGCTCGCTGGGGAAGCATAGAAAACTGATTTGTTAGTAATATTAATGGAATATATTTGTGTGGTAAATTTGATGCATATAAGGCAGTAACAAACTACCAAAATGATTTGTGTTTGTTAACTATCCTTAATATATTATTAAAATCAATAAATTGTCACCCTCTTACATCACCCTCTGTACAGATGTACCAACGCCTTTAAGGCCATTGACATCTCCAACAATTCAAGTTACTACTACATCAGAAGTGAATAAGCAGTATGAAGAACAAATTGAGAGGACTTCAGCTCCAAGGTATTTACATAATGTGTTGTTAATCATATTTCTGAAATCTATAATCATTCTTTGTGCGATCTATTAAATAAAATATTTTTAAATTACTTCTTGATAAAATACAGCCTAATCTGCTTGTTATCATGCTTAGAATTTCCTCACAGTGGCAGATCTAGATCAGGTGTGATGATTGAAAGGTTATTTCAGTGAAAGATGGGTATGAGATGATGCTGAGAATATAGAATGTTTTGTAAAAGTAGAGTTATAAAGCAAAGTAAAGCAGCAGTAGTGTTAAGTAAGGGAATAGGGAGGATGTTGAGAAGTGAATACAACAGCACTATGGAAAATGACAGAAGCAATTTAGGTAGAAATTAGCAACAAAATGGTAATTGCTGACTCCCATCATCACCACCAGCAAGAAGAAGAACAGAATTCTGCACTTACATAGCATCTTTAACATAGGAAAATGTCTCAAAGTGCTTTGCAAAGGTGGAATGGGAGCACAAGATGGGAAAGAGACGGGAGGGGTAGGGGAGAGGGGTACCTGAATCCATAGTTGAATAGATAGATTTTTAAATGGGTTTTAAAAGCATAGGATGAGTGAGTGTGATGGGGGAATTTTTGAAGGTAGCTCCAGAGAGGAGGGTAAAGTTGCCGAAATTTCACCTGCGATGTTGGGAACAGAGCGGGGAGAAAGCATGAAATAAGCCAGAGTTGGCAAATAAGCCAGAGTTTGCAAAATGTATACATTGTTTATAGATTATGTTGGAAATTCTTGCAATGGCTGCTGAGATATCAGGAAAGTGGACCACAATTTTACAGTAGCAACAATGGAGGTAAAGCATATGCATTTGTTTTGTTAATTCGTGTAACTATTGCATAGATCAGAAGGTCCATGAACAATAACTGTTTTCTCAGTGGAAAAAGTGATAGTGAAGCAGCTCAAAATGAAGAGATAGGCATTAAGAATCTGGATCAGCTTGATAACATTCATCAGTTCCGCAAAATACGAGAAGCAATGTTGGAACGGAGAGAGAGAGAACAAAATGCTCGCGTGAAGCTCCAGTTAAAGCAATTGGAGACCTATGAGAATTTGCAGGTGAGATAATTTCTGGACAAATATTGCTTGCAAAGATAGCTTTTGTAAAACATTTAAATTGTCTGCACCTGATATTAATACATCACACACAATGATCAAAGTATGTATGCATTTTAAAATTAATCCTTGGTCCTCGTCTCTTCACCATCTATATGCTCCCTTTTGGTGACATGATCCATAGTCGTGGGGTTCATTTTCACATGTAATTGGATGACACCCAACTCTACCTCTCTGCCTCTACTGTCAATCCAGGACCACTGCTGTTAATGACTGATGTCTGTCAGATAACAAGTCTTGGATGAGCTCTAACTTTCTTTAGTTAAATATAGACAAGACCGAGGTGCTCCTGTTTAGCTACCGTCACCACCTGCTCAACTCAAACCCCAACAACTTTAAGCTTCATGGACGCACACTTCACCTTGTGGAACAATGGTGTCTTGTTTGACTTCCAACTATTCTTCAAACTCATCTGTCCTCTTGCCCGCTCATCTTTCCCTCACCTCTGTAACATTGCCCACCTCTGCAACTGCCTCTTTCCCCCAAGCTGCCGAAACTCTCATCCATGCTTTTATAACGTCCAGGCTTGACTACGCTAATGCACCGCTCATCCTACATAGGCTGTAGACTATCCAGAATTTTGCAGTCTATGCCCTCTCCCACACCTGCTCTGCAAGCCTATCGCCCTGATTCTTGCCCGGTTCCTTGAGCTCCCCATCTCCCAGTAGATTGGATTCAAGCTCATCATTCTCATCTTCAAATCTGACCATGGTCTTATCTAACCCTACCTTTCTAACTCCTTTAACCCTACCAACCTGGTCACTGCCTTCATTCAGGGTACACCAGTCTGCTTCATGTCTCCTGCCCTAACTGCCCCACCATCAGCATCCAGGCTTGCGCCAACTCTGCCCTGCTCTCTGGAACTACATCTGAGTCCCGCTAACTCCCTCCCCTCAATCAAAGACCATTCGTTTGACCATGCTTTCAGTTTATCCTTTCTCTCCCCATTTCTCCCATCCACAGCCCTGGTGCCCATTAAGCAGTGTTGAGCGCTTTGAGGCTTCCTCGAATAATGAATGGCACAATATAAATGTAAATTGTATTGCATTGTATTAATTGTGTGAAGAGAATGGCTATCCCTATCTTCACTACAAAATCTCTTGCCTCAGACCTGACGACACTGAATCTGTTTTCACAAGCTACTCATTCAAAGTTTGGAGAGTGAATTTGACAATTAACACATCTGTAACACATCTTCTAATATATTCTGCTTCACTGAAACAAACAGAATGGATAGTTACATATTCAAATTCCAGCCTCTGCTGATTCATCTCATCTCACCTGATTCTCAAAAGAACTACAATTGGCTCAAATACTTCAAGATTTGGAAAGGGCGGGGGGGAAGCAGCTAGAGTTCCTTCTCCTATTGACTATTCATGGACCCTGCAGGTAGGTGGTGGGTTGGGACAGGACTAGTTTCAGCTGTGATGAACCACCCAGTAAGCCTACAAGCAGCCTTACTGTTAAGGTTAACACATGAATAAGGGCGATTGATGAGGAACCAGTTAAATTCATGAATTCACAAAGCCTTACCCCAGTAAAAGTAGAAGTTTTTTTTTAAAAAGCATTCGAGAGAAGAGGGAAGTAACTGGTGAAATGGGGGCAGGGGTGGAGTCAGGAGTGCTGTAGCTCAGTGGTTAGAGCACTCGCCTCACAAGCGAGAGACCTGGGTTCGATTCCCAGCAGGGTGAAACTTTAGGCAAGTTTCCTTACTCCACACACCTGATAATAATCCCTCAAGAAAAAAACAATAATAAATTGGTCATTTCAATTCACGACTGTTTGTGGGACACTGCTGTGCGCAATTGGCTGCTGCGTTTTGCCCACAAATATACAGTCAATTCACTTTACATTATATTCGTGAAGCGCTTTGAGACATCTAGAAGATGTGAAAAGCGCTATATCAAATGCAAGGATTATTATTATGGAAAGATTTATTTTTGCAAAAAGGCACCCCAATGGTCCTCATACAAACGTCTTTTAGGAAAACACAGCCTTTTCTACCACACTAAATCAGATATTATTTTCTCAACAAACAATGTGTAGAACACTCTTTTATATCAGCAGTTACAAAATCAAGCATCCAGCCAAAAACTCTCTGCTGAGTGCTTCCTGCTTTTTTACCTCCTGAACCCCTTCCATTGATCCTAGACATTTGGTAATGTCTTGATGAGTATCCAACACCAGATGGTAAGAATCTTTAGCTAGGATAATGTTTCTAATCAAAACTTTATTATCTCTTCAATTACTACTGTGAAGATTGGCTAAGAAACATAAAGCAGACCACGTTGACTTGGTTCCACTGTGACACAGGGACAGATTGTTTCACCCAGCTGGTTGCTCTTGAAATGGATTTATTATTGACTAGCTGCCCCGATCACCTAAATTATTCATCAAAGCACCAATTGTCCCTTGCCCACCAGTTTCCTGAGGAGCACGCAGATTATTTCCAATGTCAGCATGTCTGTAACATGCAGGCACAAATTTAAGATGAGCACAAAAAGAACTAAAATATAAAAAGAAAGTTAGAAAAAAATCTTTACACAGAGTTGGTTGAAAGTGGAATTCCTGACCACAAGACAATTTGAAGCAGAGCCCATAAATTATTTTTTAGGGAATTAGAGAATTTCTTCAAGAGGAGGAATATTAAAGGAAATGGGAAGTGAGCAGGAAAATGGGATCAGATTTGGTTACTCGAGGAGAAAATGACCCCAATGACGTGTCGGCAGGGTGGCCTTCATTTCCAAAGCCTCCCTTGGTCTCACCTCCTACTCCTCTGGCTGCTTCCCCTCCTTCGAGCACCTCGCCCTCTTCCACCCTTCTCTCCCTTTGAAAATCCTCCTTGTCTACTGCCCCCCTAAGCCCCACGACTCCTTCCACACAGACATCTCTACTCTCCTCTCTTCCCTGTCCCTCTGCTCCGAGCACCTGCTCATAATGGGCGATTTCAACCTCCACCTAAACTCCCCCTGCACTACTTCTGCCGATTTCACTGCCCTCCTCTCCTCTCTAAACCTTACCCTCCATATAAATTCACCCACCCACAACCGTGGTCATGCACTTGACCTCGTCATCACCCATGGCCTTGACATTTCCAACCTCAGCCTAGTGGACAAGGCCATCTCGGACCACTTTTTCATCTCCTCCTCTCACATCCCTCTCTCCTCCACCAAGCCCTCAACCAACCTCTACTGCCCTTGGAAAAGGCTACCCCTGAGATCCTCACAAAGGCCCTCTCATCATCAAACATCCTATCCCCCGGCCTTCCACCCGCGGAGATCCTGAAGCAGCCGTCCAGCTGCTCCATGTTCTCCTCCACCTTCAACTCCCTCGTCCCCCTAAAATCCAGGACCATCTCCAAACCCACCCAATCCCCCTGGTACAACAACCATCTCCGCCGCCAAAAAACCCAAAGCCGTCTGCTCGAGTGCAGATGGCGGAAAACTGGCCTGACAGTCCACCGCCAACTGTGGCTCGAGCATCTCCACAGCTTGACACGCACAAAAATCGGCCTTCTACTCCAACATCATCTTGGAGGCTAAACACAACTCTAAAATCCTTTTTTCCACCACCCACTACCTCCTCCGTGCCCCCTCTCAGGCCTCCTCTATCTTCGTATCAAATGCCAAGTGCGAGTAGGTCATGGACTTTTCATCTAAAATTCTTAGCATCCGCCAGGCAGCCTCATCCACCTGTCCCTTGTCATCCACTACCTCACCTTCTCTGTCCCCCTCACCTTCCTCATCATCTGCTCCTACCACCACCCCCATTCTACATTCCTTCCTCCCCATCTCTCCCTCCTCCCTCTCACCCACCATCACCTCCATGAAACCCACCACCTGCTGCCTCGACCCCCTCCCCACCAACTTGCTGGTCACCCAGCTCCCCCTCCTCTGCCCACTACTGGCTGACGTCATCATCCAGTCCCTCTCCTCCGGATCAGTCCCTGCCTCCCTCAAAACTACTATCATCACCTCCCTCTTCAAAAAACCCTCCCTAGATCCCTCAAACCCTGGCCACTACCACCCCATTTCTAACCTGTCCTTCCTCGCAAAAGTTCTAGAACGCGTTATTGCCAACCAACTCCTCACACACCTCTCCTCCCACTCCCTCTTCGAACCCCTCAAGTCTGGTTTCCGCCCACAGTACAGAGACTGCGCTTGTGAAAGTCACAAACGACATCCTCTCTATCTGTGACCAGGGTTCCCTCTGCCTCCTTGTCCTCCTGGACCTCTCTGCTGCGTTCGACACAGTCGATCACGCCATCCTCCTTCACCGCCTTTCCTCCACCTCAGTGGGACTGCACTCGCCTGGTTCGAGGCCTACCTCACAAACCGCCAGCAGTACATCTGCACAAACGGCTTCTCCTCCCGCTCTCACCCGGTCACCTGTGGGGTACCCAAAGGATCCATCCTTGGCCCCCTCTTTCTGATCTACATGCTCCCTCTTGGGGATGTCATCCGCAGACATTTCCACATGTATGCAGATGACACCCAACTCTATTTTTCCACCATCTCTTTGCGACCTCCAGTCCCCTGATGTTCTGTCAGTCTGCCTGTCAGATCTCAGGGGCTGGATGAGCGCAAACTTCCTTCAGCTGAACATTGACAAGACGGAAGCCATACTGTTTGGCTCTCGTCAACATCTAAAATCGCATGGCTCTCACCTCCTCCACCTACCTGACCTCCCCCTAAAACGCTCCGAACCCGTACGCAACCTAGGCGTCAGGTTCGACCCCCAGTTATCCTTTTTTCCCCCACATCCGGTCCCTCACCAGCACCACTTTCTTCCACCTCCGGTGCATCACCCGTCTCCGCCAATACCTCTCCTCAAAAGCCGCTGAAACCCTGGTCCATGCCTTTGTCACCTCTCGACTGGACTACTCTAATGCCCTCCTCGCCGGTCTCCCATCCAAATCCAAATCATTCAAAACTCTGCCACCCGCATTCTCACCCGCACGAAACTCCGCTCCCCGATCACCCCAGTCCTCGCCAGACCACACTGGCTGCCTATCCCTGAGAAGATTGACTTCAAGATCCTCACCCTTGTATTCAAGTCCCTGCACTCCTCTGCAACCCCTACCTCTCTGACCTCCTCTCTGCTCATATCCTCCACCCGGCAGACACTGGCCTGCTTCATGTCCTCTGCTCTACCTGCCCCACCATTGGTGGTCGGGCCATCAGCCTCTATGCCCCACTTTTTGGAACTCCATCCCGGAATCTCTTCGCTTTGCCCTTTCAAGGTTTGTATCAAGACCTTCGGTAATCTTCCAACCCCTCCTGAATCCAAACTCCAGCTCGGACGACAGTCCTTGCCTGTCCAGGACTTGGAACAGATTCCTGACATGAGAAGTGCTATAAAAATGCATTTTGTTGTTGAGTAGAGGAAGCAGCTTAGGCTGTATCTGTCTGGTATAGTGGTTCATTAACGCACATTGCTTTTTGCAGCAAATTACAGTGAATATACAGTCAATCTGGTGCACTGCAGAGTCATCTGGTAATAAAGCAATTCGCACTGGACCCGGCTTCTGAGAGAGCATTGACAGTGTGATTTACTTAACCAACTGCCTCCACTTCATCTCAGCAAATGGTTTCTCTTCCCGTCCTTGCCCGGTCACCTGCGGGTACTCCAGGGCTCCATCCTTGGCCCTCTTCTTTTCCTCAGCTTTATGCTCCCTCTTGGCGATGTCATCCGCAGACACGGGGAAAACTGCCATATGTATGCGGATGACACACAAATCTACTTTGCCTCCTCCAGCATTGTCTACGTCCACCATTGTTCTATCAGTTTGTCTGGCAGACATCAGAGCCTGGATGAGTACAAGTTTCCTGCAGCTGAATGTGGACAAGACGGAAGCCATACTCCTTGGCTCTCACCAAAGTCTTCACTCCTGCGGATCTGAACTCCTCAACCTCCCTGGGCTCTCCCTGAGACTCACCGAATCAGTGCGCAATCTAGGCATCTGGTTCGACCCCCAGCTGTCCTTCCTTCAAACACACTCCTCGCCGGTCTCCCCAGCTTCATTATTCAAAGAATCCAGCTCATTCAGAACTCTACTGCTCGAATACCTACCCAGATTAAACTCCGTACCCCCATCTCACCAGTTCTGGCCAGACTCCGGCTTCCTGCTTGTCTCTCGCACCCTCCCCTCCACCATTGGAGGTCGCACTTTCAGCCACTACGCCCTGAAACTCTGGAACAAATTCCCTCAATCCCTGTACCTTATCCCTCTCTCCCCTTTTTCAAGTCCCGCCTGAAAACCTTCCTTTTGGATCGTGCTTACGGTCACCTCCTCACCCAGGCTCGGAGTCAGGTTCTGCCACTGTTAAGCTTAGACGCTACCCTGCATGGAGGGGCTATATAAGTGCAAGTTGTTGTGGTTGATTTCCCTGGACATTGAATTTGTATCACTTGCGTAAACCCAGGCAGTGAAAATCAGTTTGACAGTAGGAAAATAAGTGAAACCTTAAATATCAAATAAATGTGAAGTTAAATTGTCAGCCATTTGCAGGTTAAAGTTATGATTGTTATTTGTACCCAATATGATGTATTCCTTGATTATACATAACAACATATCTACTATTGAGTGCAAAGTGTACTGCAGATAAGGAACAGTCAATATTCTGGGATTAAGAGCCCTTGCTTTATCTGCATTCAGATTTCGTTCAACAGTTTTTTGTCTACCCAACTATTTCAAATAGTTTATATTGAAAAGTATTTACTCTTTTAAAACATATGTTTTTTTACCTTTAACTGACAGCAACTCCAGTCCAGAGCATGTCAGCCTCCCTGGGCTAAGCACTTTAACATTTTGGTGCACACATTGACACTGACTGAAACAAACCCCAATAGAATGCTGCTTTATTAATGAAGCTACACATGCTACATGCGTCAAAAACATTTTAAAACTTCTATAAATTCATGCCTTAAAAATAACATTTGGATTCTTTGGATTAATTTATCCATTTTAAAGATGGAACCCAAATGATAAAACCTGGCTCAGAGAGTGAGTAAACATTAAAGATTCATGCAGTCAAATCAGAGATGGAATCAAATGAACTCTTAACACAATATTTCAGTGTCAAAGTGTGAGCTCTGCCACTGAGTGAGTTATCTCACTGGTGGCCCCTGCCACTGAATTCGTTATTTTGCTGGCAGCTTGGTGGCTGAGCTGTAACCAGGCCAGTTAAGCTCAATGGTAGATTTTGAACTGCTAACATTTGTTTAGTAATTTAGTAAGCCCATGTATGGAGGCAGCATCATATATCTTTTGCTTTCATGAACTGCAGGTCAAGTTAGACGAAGCTCGAGAAGCCATTTTTAAAAAGAGAGAAGCATACCGAAGTAAACTTATTGAAGCGGAAACAAAAAAGCAACAGGAAATCGCAGCACAAGAAGCGGCTCTTTATTCAGAACAAGAGAAGAAAAGTCCAACATCAAAAAAGAAATCTTCCAATGAATCAAAGAACACAGGAAAGAAAAAGAAAAAATAATGTGCATTATATAGGATTTAAATTGCATCTATCTAGTTTAATTTGAATTAGTAAAATAATTATTTACTTGAAAATTACTGTTTATTTCAATTTAAACCTTGGCTAATTTTAGCTGATCTACAGGGTATATCAAGATGGCGTATCCTTTTGGCTGCTGAAGTCCGGATGCCCCATTTGAGAAATGTGCGCGGACTACATAAGCAACATTTTTGTGGTTCCCTTCCAGAAACGTCCTCCCGACGTGAAAAGCGCTATATTCAAATGCAAGGATTATTATTATTATAACAACATTTCATTTACACAGTGCCTTTTTCATGTCAGAAGGACATCTCAAAGCACTCAACATTGGCGGCTGGGCCATTGAATTGGAGGTGGAAGCCGAGGGAGGTAGGGTGGGGAAAAGATGACCAAAAGCGCGGTTTTGACATGCCTTGAAAGAGGGGAGAGAGGGAGTCGGAGAGACTCGAGGAAGGGAATTGCTGAGTTGAGAGATTGCAGAGGCCGGGGGATGGGAGTGAAGGCCATTGAGGAGTTTCTCACTGGGGGAAGAGGCAGCTTGCTGTGAGGAAACAATACAGCGCTTGGTATCTGGCCTCAGTTCCCACCCCTCCGCGATGGCCGAGTGAGCCACCGATTGTCTGTCCTGACAGTGAACCACAAAATGCTGCCCTCAAGTCCTCTCTCTCTTTCTCTCACCCTCTCCCTCGCGTTCTCTCTCTCTCTGGCAATCACTTTCTCTATCTCCCCTCTGTCTGGCAATCGTCTCCCCTCTATCTCTCAATCACACATTCTCTCTCTTGCACATCTCTCACTCTTTCTCTCTCCCCCTCTGTCTCTTCACCCCATTCAATCACTTTCTCTACTCTCTCACTCAGCCGCCCTCATCACTTGGCAGCGGGAACCTCCACTCCAACTCACTATCTGGCAGTGGGTAAGCGCTCGCCATCTTCTCAGCTCAGGCGATTTTATTTCCACACGGTGTGTGTCGAGCTGCTACAATGGGAGGACAGTTAGCTGGGGGAGGGGGGGTGGGGGGTTGCGGGGGACCAGACAGCCCAAAGTTGGAAATGGGGCAGTTGAAATCATCTTTCAGGTTGGATGTGGCCAGTACATAATTCCTTTCAATTCTAAAATCATACTAATCAAACTTCCTTTTCCTCTAGTTATTAGTCTTACTATTTATATTTGTGAAACTTTAAAAAGTTAAAGTGTTGAATTACAGATTACTAATCTATTTCAAATAAAGTTGGATACATCAATCTTCAGTAACCATTGAGTTGTGTATCTTCAAAGGAAGCTCAATGAGTCAATCTTATTAGTATGCTACTATGGTTGGTACAGGCCAAGATATGCACACCGATCAAGACCTGTTTTGTAGCATGTAGAGCCGGTTTCCAAGCGCAGTTTAACTGAGATTACAGATGGGAATTAAAGTATTTTCTCAACATCAGTGTATTTTTGATATATATAACAATTAAGTATTTTAGTTGTTCTCTAAGTTGGGGGAGCTTAATTTCTGAAGGCATAGGATGTTGTGAACAAAAATAACTGCCTTGACCAAAAACAACAAAGGGAGCAATATGCTTAAATTTACATTCAGAAACGAACACTGAAGAAAAAGGATTGCACTTGAAACAGGATATGTATGAAAGCAAAGGCTGACGCAGACTTTTACTATAATTTGACATCCAGTTTACCTTTGAATTGAACTGCAGTCTTTTGCTGAACAGCTCAAGGATACCAGTAGGTTCAGATGAGGGGCAAAGTATAATGGGACAACCATTATCAATTATTATGCAATATTAGTATGTCAGTAATTTTGTAGATCTCTCTGCAACAAGATTTCTGTCTGCTTTGTTTCAAGATGATCTTTCAAGTTTTGAGTAATGGCCTGCTTTTGTGTCTTGTTTTATGATTTTTCATTCCAGCTGGAAAACAGAGTAGATGGTAATTTATATTCAATAGAAGCTATGTTTGTCCAATTCATTGACTGAAAGGCAAGTTTTGGAACTTACTAAACATATCAATTGTGTTGTTTCTGAGGTAACACAGCATTTCAATGTGTTCAGAAATCAACATCTGTGTTTCTTGATATACATCCAAAAATAGTCATAGGATTTATGGATGTCTGCCTGCAAAGGTATATTGTCTTGAACCACGTTATAAACATCAGCCAAGTTTAGTCCAGATAATTCCAATTCTGACAGGCAAGCACAAGTGCCATTCCTTGAAACTCTGAATGAGGTCCAAGTACAACAAAAGCTTTGTCAATGTGAATATTTTGGTAAGTCATGACACCTTCACTGAACTCAGATTGTTTGATTCCACTGATTGTTCAGATGTAGTGTTGACTTAAATCTTCATGAAATCTTTGCTAAATTTAATTAATAATAATAATAAATAATTATTATTATGTAGCGTTGACTTAAATCTTCGCTAAATTTAATTGCTTTCAATTTATTTAATTTGAATGAAATTGTTGACTAAAATTGGACAATGTATTTTTGGACCACAAGGTGATCAAGCTCGCAGACAGAAAGCCTTTATATACCAATGTGCACGATACAAAAAGGTGTAGTTACTAGTTAGATGAGATAAATAAACTCAAATAATGGAATGAGCCTAAATTCTAGACATGAAAAAGGCTTTTGTCATGGTGGGCAATGGACTGAATTCAGTTGATTAGATTCACCCGTAAACTGGATAAATTGACAGAGCTTAACATGGTACAGAAACACTTTGTATGGTACCCAAAATACAGTATACATGGGGTGGGCAATTTGGACTGCTGCCTTTCTGCATAAACCTTTTTTTGCCCAACTTCTAACTTTCTAACTGCTTGAAAACAAATGGAGATTCTAGTGATACATAACAATCCTTCCATCTTTATAGGGTATCCAATTGTAGAACATTAATCATTTTTACAATGATGAATTTTATACAATTGGACAAACCAAGCTCAATCCCATAAAATAATTGGAGTACTGTAGTCTTTTTTGTGTAGTAATTTACTTTGCAAAATCTATATTTTATTGTAGAAATTCAATGTCAACTCAAAAAACCTGGGTTTTCTTTGGTCAGCTGAGTGTCTGACTGATACAGAAACCCATCATCATGCTTAAAGAGTATCCAAACCAACTGAGAATTCCATGATTCCCACCTACATGTGGAAATGCCAGAGATAGATAGTTGGAATGGAATACACACACTCTCCCTGGAGGGTTGCATGCTATTTATCTAATTCCAGAAAGTATTAGGTGTAGGTTGGCAAGAGGCAAACAAGCCTTGGAGGAGAAAGAAAGGTAACTATTTCTTAACTAGACTCTTAGGTCATCATTCCTTAAACAGAATTTTACTACAAATGTGTGCTTGAGCAAAATATGAAATACAGAATGCATCTAACATCTTAGTAGAAATAAAACATTTTACTTTTAAGGGCCACCTAGCACAGCCTAAAATAGTTTGCTGTAAAAACAGTATCGCACGATAAAAGCATTTAACAGGAATTCAATAGCAGGTTACCATTATCCACCCACATACCAGAGGAATTGTGTGTCTTCGCACCAGATTCTCATTGCAAGTAACTTTCTAAACATGATCATACTTACATATCTCTCGCCCACTCTGTCAGTTTTAAATGTTGAAAACCCTGCAATGTAGTAGTAAATTTTTTTTACCTGTGATTTTATTTTGCAAATGAGTTATCTGGATATTTCTTTCAATGATAACCAGTACTATAATCCAATTTTAAATGTTGCTTCTAAATCACTCAATTTTGACTCATGGTTATGATGTTAAACTGATCCCTAAATTAGATTACTACCTTGTAATTCCATTCAGTCATCCATTAATCCATTAATAGTTGTACCGCATTGCAGCCGTTATCAGATTGCGCCAAAGGAAGAGAAACAATATTATTCTTTCACACTTTATTGAACAAAATAAACACACCTACATAAGAGTGTTAAACTGTACAATCCATTGCTGGTTACAATCCATACTCAGTGGGTAGCACTCTTGCCTAAGTCGCAAAGTTGTAGGTTCAAGCCCTACATCGGGCCTTTGAACTCAAAGTCAAGGCTGACACTTCAATGCTATGCTGGGGGAGCACTGAATTGTCGGAGGTGTCGTCCTTCAGATGAGATATTAAACTGGCTTCCCACCTAGTGTTCAGGAGGATGTTAAAATCCAATGGCACTCATAAAAAGAAAGATTCATTGTTTTGGCCAACAATCCCCCAGATAAAAGTCGTCATTCACTTCATAGCTGTTTGTGGGACTTTGATGTGTGCAAATTGGTTGCCATTTGCCTACAGACACATGCACCCCACGTTACAACATATCCTGTAATGTGCATTATTATCAAATGAAGGGATTATTATATTTAAATATGTGGACATAAAATGTCTTTTATATTTATCTTTACTTTGGGTGAATTTTTGCACTATTTTTTGTGTCCGTGTGTGGGTCTTTATATAAAGCTCTCTGAGCAAGTAACACAGAGGAGATGCAGAGGGAAGGTTTGCCTTAAAAATTTGCCAACCAAAAGAATGTACCGTGACTGCACCAATATTAAGTTTCAGTTTCCCACCATTCTAATGGCTTATGAACAAGATTTATTTATTCCAGTTCTGCCTTCCACTATCTGTAGCCCTTTGGATCCTATTTCCTCTAAATTTCTCTCTGTCTTCACTTTTAAAGCTCTCCACGGTCTTGCTCCTTCCTACCTCTGTGATCTACGAATACTTACCAACCTGCCTGCACCCTCCTGTCGATAGACACTGGCCTGCTCCATGTCCCCCCGGCTTCTCAATATCCCCGCCATCACAGTCGGGTCTTCAGCCTTTCTGCCCCCACCCTCTGGAACTCAATCCTGCCTCATCCCCTCCCTTGCCTCCTTTAAGGTCTGATTCAAGTTGTATCAGTCAGGACGATAACATTTAATATGACTTAAGCAAACTATGAATTACAGGAAAACTTGTGTAAGTCGGATAAAATCCGATTTCATCAAATAATCTACACTGCACATGGGTAATTCAATGTGGCCTGCTCACGCATCAATGGGTCAGAACTTCATTTCCCATGTTTTGATTCAGCCAGTAAGTGTGCCAGGGACATTATCAGTTAGGAGATGATTTGCCTTATAAAATAGGGGGTACAACTTAGGCAATTGTACGATTCATAAAGATAAAACTTATGCAAGTTTTGCTGTGCTTAAATTTAGCATTCTGCAAATGCACACTCGAGGGAAAGCATGGAACATG